ATAATGATTATTAACACTAAATATATAGAAATTTTATTTAGTCAAATTTACTTATAAGGTTGCTAATTTAATAATTCATTACGTATCCTACCATCAATTATAAAGGAAATATTAAAAATTGATTAATTACTTATTGGAGTTTCTATAATTATAAACACTTCGTATTTCTTAGATTGTTCTGGAGTAATTTATTGTTTCAAAATTAATAGATTCTAATTTTATTGAATGCTCAAATTTATTATCAATCAAAGAATTTAATATTGAAAAATTATTCATCTAAGGATAATCAACTATTTTAATCAACCAAAAATCTTCAAAGCTAGAATTTGTTTAATTAAAAAATGGTGGATTTATTGAAAACACTAATCAAGCATTTAAGTTACTATAAAATTATGAAAACCTTAATTGTATAGTTTTTTTCAATACTATACATATTATCAAGAATTCAATATATTATCTGAACAAGTAAGATTAATTTGTAACTAATATAGTTAATTTGGATAATATGAATTAATAAAAAGAAGTGAAAATGATATTGGGTTATAAAACTTTAGATATAAACATTTCATCATTTATATTATGTACAGGATACAAATCATATTATATTACATAAATAGATCAAGATTGTCTTATCATAATTAAATAGTTTTAAATCTATAAAATAATAATTGTTAGATTTTAAATACAACTTTGAGTTATTCTAATACAAAACATGCATAGAAAAGCATAGGTTATATTAAGGATAATGTATTCCATGCAGAAAATATTGCTTAAATTTATATATTTCAAGGATGAAATTGACAGATCATATTATAATAAATGTATTATTTGTTTGGATAACACAAAATACTTTTAAATGCAATTGATTGTTTAGAAAATTTAGAATTTTTTAAAGTTAGATTATTATTACCTATTTAGTACTGTTTTTCATCTTTTTGGATTTTTACAATTAGGAATCTTAAAAATAATCCATAAAAAAAAGAAATTTTTAAAATTATTGAACTTAAGCTTTTGAGATTAGTAGATTTGTAACTATATAATAGAAAATATAGATTTAAATGGATGAATAATTTAATGGAATTAATTAACTAATTGAGCCTGCTATTCTAATTTCTTCAGAATAATAATTAGAAATTACAATTAAAAATTAATAATTCAAAAATAATAAATATCATTCCTTTATGAAATATAAGACTCTGATTCAGCTTTGAACTTAGTTATTATAATATATTTTGCTAAAATATAATTAATTAATAACTAATTTATCTAAAATTATATCTCATAAAGTTAAAATAGCTTAATATATATAAAAAAAAAAGTGAACAAAAAAATATAATTAATTCGACTTTTATTTCAAATAATAGAAGAGGATTTTTTTAAGTATATAAATTTAGAAATTTATTACTAAGTAATTAGCAATTAATTAATTTAACACTATTTCTCAATCTCATAAGTCAAATTAAATTATAGAGAAAAACTATATAAGATAGTTTTTCTCTATAAGCAGGATGCTTTAAGGCATAAAAATAAAATTCGGCATTTCAAATATAAAAACTGAAATTTTAGAAGAACCATATAAAAGGGGCTGCTTGTATATACAGGCTTTTTATTATCAATTTATAGATGAAATAATTTTCATTTTAAATTTCAAGTAAACCTTATCTCATTTCTGTCCATATAATTTACAAAAGAAAACTAAAAATTAAATATATAAAATCTAATAATTAAATTATTATAAATGTATATTATTGTTTTAAATGCATTTTTAAAGTTTCATTTTAGCTAAAGTTTATAAATAAAAAATTTCCCTCCATCAAAATATATAAATAAACTGCCATCAAGAGCTAAAGTTCCACAAGTATTTACTGTTTTACAATCAATTCCTTCAATTTTTTCAAGCTATCCTTGGTAATTCTATTTCATAATCAATATTTTTTATTTCTATTTGATGATTAGGATATTTTTTTCTCTATTTTATATTATATCAAATAAATGAAAATCCGATTGTTATTTATTTTCATTTAATTTTATCTTTGTTTCTTGCTCCAAAAATTAATGATTTTATTATTCAAATATACATATAGAATCTAAACCTAGTTTTTCTCCAGTAACCCATATGAAACAAGTATCATTTAAAAAACTAATTCTTGATCCTAATTCATTAGTTATTTTAATAGCTTATGTTTTGATAGACCATTTATTATTTATTTATTCTTACCAGTATATGCTAAAATTGTTTCAGATGGACTTAAAGCTAAACCTTCAACTTAAGTGTCAGCTTGAATTGTTTTAATCTTTTCAAACTCATAAGATTAACAATTAACTTTCCATATAATTATTAATTATTCTGAATTTCCACTAACAAGTAAATTCTCTTCTTTATTTAATATCATACAATTTATCTCTCCAGTATGAAATTATTAAGACTTTGATATAAAATCTTCTTTATTATTATATTACCAAAAATTAATTCTACCTTCTCCAGATCCAGAAAATAAAGAATTTGTATTAATTTTATTTAAGCTTCCTCCTTTTTTACTTGATCCTATTATAGATAATTTTTTAGTAATTGATATTCTTTACAATTTTATATATTGTTTAAAGACCCAGAAATTTTAGTTTTCCAAATTATATTATGATTTTTGATTTATTGATATTGTTATTCTTTAGGAATTTTTTAAAAATTATTGTTCTCTTAATTCCATTCTTCAAGAATATTTTAAATTTATTAAATTTATGCTAAGACAGCAGACTTCATATTGTCAAAAATACTTCTTATCTCTTCGATTTGATAATTAGTGTGAATTTGAAAGTTTATGATATCAATTGAATCATTTTCTATCATTTTAAATTATTAAATAAAAATTTAAAATATAATTTTATAAATAAATTTTCAATAATTAAAATTCATGAAATATTAGCTAATTGTTTTTCATCAATTCTTTCTAAATTTAATAAAATTATTGAATAATACTTTCGATAATTCTAGCGGACTCATAATTCTAGTCGATTTTAAGAGCTTCTTCTATAAAACATTTTGCGTTTCCAAAATCATTTAATCCTAAGTAAATTTCAGCTATGATTATTATTTAATTTACCTTTATTTTGATAATAAACTTTCAGTTTTTTTTCATATTTATTTTTTTTTTATTCAATTGCTCTATTAATATAATATAAAGCTTCTTAGTTTTTTCCAATAAACTTATTACAATCAGCTATCATTTAAATTATTCACATACCCAAATGAAAATTTAATTAAGGAGAAGTTTAATTTTTTTTTAAACCTTTTTATGCATAATATAAGGCTTCTTCATAATTGCCTTTCATTTTTAAAGATATTGCTTAAAATCAAATATTAAATATTTACCGATTCCTTTTAAAGCTTTAATATTTTTAGGGTCTTACTTCAAGACTTCTTCAAAATCAAATAACGCTTATTCATAATCAAGGCCAAAATTCATTTTCCCTTTATTTTTTTAATTATATTATTGAACCTCTTTCTAATCTTGCAATAATAAAATTTTAATTCAAATCAAGTGCTTATGAATATTTCTTCTTAGCATCCTCTTTTTCTCTTTTTGAATACAATTTCCGAGCTTCATAAAATAAATTTAACATTTGATCAACATTTGTCTTTCTCATATTATTATTATTATCTTTTTGTGAATTCTTATTAAAACCATATTGTTCAATAATTTCAATATTTTCATTAATCAAAATATTCAAAACCAAATACTTAGTAAAACTGTTTCAAATTATCAAATGAACTTAAATAGTTCTACAATTATATCTAAAAATCCTGTAATTATTTTAATATGCCTAATTGAACCTGTGAATAATAATTTATCTCATCCAATACGCCATTAATATTGTTTACTTAGTCTATGTGAGATTGATGCATCTTTTGACCATTAATAGAGCATAATCTAGGCTATTATCATATCTAAATTTAAACAAATAAAATTAATATGATGCTCCTAGCCCAATTGATTTTATTATGAATTTCCATTTAAGTTTTTCATATTTTAATTATAAAATCTATTATTTTAATTTATTAAGTGATGAAAAATAATTTTAATTATTCTGAATATGCAAATTTCAGAATATTGGCTTAAATTATGATCCAAACTAATTTGTTTTAATTGATTCCTAAATTTAATAATTTCTAAGAACTTTATTATAAAATATAAAAAATTCTGTAATTTTATTTAATTAAATTAAGAGGAGAAAATGAAAAATACCAATAGCGAATAGGGCGATCTTTAAACTCGTGTTTAAGAAAAATTTATATAAAGAATAAATGATAAGTTTAATTTTAAATATTTTTAGTTCAAACCTTATTACTAATTGCAAAGAATTTTAAAATATATTCTAAGAATGTGTTTAAGTTCAATTAAATGATTTTTATTTTTTTGAGTAAAAGTAAAATATTTATCTAGCCAACATCCTGATTTTCTTCCTTATTTTAAAATGATTTATAATGACGAAGAGTAATTTATTTTTAATGTTAGTGGATGTTAAATTATATGTTTAGGATAATATTTCAAAGGAACAAAAATAAATAAATATTAATATAAATTCAGGGAAAACTTAGATGAGATTTTTAAACCAATATTAATTAATTAACTCAATATAAATTGTGAATATTAGGAAGGTCAAAAACATGGAAATTGGATTAAAATAGGAAAAAATTTCTCTAAGTTTAAATTTCTTTAATTTGTTGTATAGAAGATGTTAAATAATTTATAATGGAGATTATAATAATGGAGTAAAATGTAATAAATGGGACATTTTATACAGAAAGTATTCAAGTGAAGAATGAACAATTATGTATTTTAAATGTTAAATTCTAGAGGAGGAGGAAATTATGATAATAAAGGATAAAAAATAGGAATATGGAGATGCTTAAATAAAGAAATTTTGTAATTATTGAAAATGTTATCAATAGTGAAATCGTTAATTGGGAAATATTATATAAAAATGTGATTAACAAAGATATTTGTTTCAGAAAATCGGATTAATATTTTAGATCAATGTATGTTATATAGGAATAATATTAGAGGAAAGAATGATTTATATGATGATAAAAATTTTCCAGTTATGTGCAATAAATTAATAAAACATAATTTTAACTTTTGTAAATTGAATGCTCTAGTAATTTTACATAATTTATATTAGATATTTAAAATTGGGTTCTATGAAGAAGGGATAAAATAAGGTTTATGGAAGATAACATATGACAATATCAAACTGTAATTTTAATATCAATCAGTAGAGGAGGAGGCATATATAATTAGAATGGAAGAAAAGAGGGGTTTTGGAGGAAATTATTCAAATTAATAGGACCGTATAATAATTGTTATAAAAATAAAGTCAAATTTTTGTAGTTTTTGAAGGAAAATATAATGATGGCAAAAAATAAGATTAATGGAATTATTTATGGATTGAACCTTTGAATAGAAATAATAAAATTATGTATGAAATTTAGAAATGTTTTAGAGGTGGTGGGAATTATAACATTGAAGGGTAAAAATTAGGTTAATGGAAGACTTTAAGCAAAAAATTTACAGAGTAGATATAACTTTAAGGTTTAGAGATTTCTAAGTTATTTATACTGGACTTTATTGTAGTGGTATTAAACAAGGTTAATGGGATATTTGTTTTACAAGAAATCAAAAAGCAAGCTTAAAAAGACTGTTTAAAATTATATATTTAAATTTTTAGTGGAGGAGGGCTTTATGAAAATGGAGTGAAAATTTAAAAATGGATAAAATTATCAAATAATTTTTCAGAGTTTATTTAAAATAATATTTAAGAAATTGTAAAATTTTAGTTTCTGGAAGTTATAGTTGGGGTATAAAATAAGGAGAATGGTTATATGAATAGATTAAGAATTCATTTTAAAGATAAAACTAAATATTGTAATTTATCTTAATAATTTATAAGAGCAGGAGGAAATTACAAAAATTATGGTTAGAAAGTGGGAAATTGGATAGAATTACATTAAGATTATAATGAGTAAGTATTAAATTTTTATCTTTTGAAATTGTTAAGTCCTTTATGAAGGTTAATATTAGATGGATAAAAAGATTAACAAGTGGATAACAAAATATAGATATAGTGAAAATGATTAATTTGAGATATTGTAATTATTAAGGAGGAGGTGAATATGATTTAAATGGATTAAAATAAGATTAATGGTATGATTTAATTAAGCATTTTTCTAAGTAAAATTTTTTACTCATCATAGCTCTAATTAATTAATTCTTATTGGAAATTATTCTATAAATAGATTACAAGGCTAATTTAAAATACAATATCGAGATACATTTGAAGCTAATTCAGAGTTTGAATTAATGTAATTATAACAAAAAAAAATCTAGAGGATAAGGATTTATATAAAAAGGGAAGAAAGAGGGATATTTCATAGAAGTAGGGAATAATTTTAGTGAGTATTACAATATTCAATTTAAGGATCTGTTAAATTTAATTTAGAGGTAATTATGAAGAAGGGATTAAAGAAGGAAAATGGGAAATACTGTTTCGAAATTATAAGAATGAAAGTTTTATTCAAATGTATTGAATAATAATTTTATTTAGAGGAGGAGGTAGTTTTTAAAAAGGTACAAAAATAAATTAATGGATAGATGTAGATGAAGAATTTTGTAGGTAAAATAAATTTATAATTGAAGATTCCGTTAAATAATATTTAAGTTATAATATAAATGTGGGATTAAATCTGGTCCATGTGAGATTTTATTTAAAGATCTTGAAAAAGAAAATTTTTAGATTATGTATTTAAGAATTTAAATAAATTAGTGGATAGGGAGAGTATAATTAAAATGGCTTAAAGGATAATTAATGGGTTGAACCTAATGAAGGTTTTTGGAAGTAATATATATTTGAGATTTATTTAAGAAACTTTTAAATATTTAATGAAGGATCATATCAAAATGGGATTAAAATTAATTAATGGTATATCAAGAGAGAGATGGAGAGAATAACAATAATGTATTTTATGACTTTATAATTAAAAGAGAGCAAGGTTAATATAATTAGTAAGGAAAAAGACATGGTTTTTGGTGTGAATTTGTTAATAAAGGATTTAAGTAAGATTGATTTAATTACTTTAAGAAATTTTATTATTAATATTAGAGGAAATTATGAAGATGGTAAAAAGGTCGGAAATTGGGTATTGTATCATCACAATACACTATAGCCAACTTTATGGAAAGAAGTGTAATTATAAATTGAAATAATATAAAGGAAATTTTCATTTAGATGATGAAGAATTGAAAGATGGAGATTCAATTGATCTAGATCATAATTTTACTTTGTAAATAAAATTTATAATACAAGGAACAAATGTATATATAGTGGAAAATATTCTCATGGATATAAGGAAGGTATATTTAAAGATAGTTTTGTTTAAATCTGAGAAATTGAATTTCAATCATTATGTAGTTTTTATATTTATGTTTTAATTGTTTTAAAAATACTTAAGTTTTTCATATTAATCACTCCTAAAGATTTTTTTAGATAGAAAAACTATATATATAGGACCACTCAAAATGTTTGAAGAAGAAATATAATTTTAAGATTCTTTGATTTCATCTCCATTATTATAAAATTTTCAAAACCTTGACAAAATAATCTTGTAATTTAAATAATTCTATTGATGGTAGATTTTATCATATATTACTATTAATATTCATTAGACCTGATTTGATTCTAGTAAATCATTTAAATTTCATTTAGTTTGATAATTTATAAATAGTGTAATTTTTTTTAGTAAAATAAATATAAATTTTTCAAGTCATATAATTCCATTGAAAACACTTGAAAATTCAAATTATTGAAAAAATGAAATTTGCTCTTAAATAATGTACCGAAATTTATCTCCCAAAATATCTAAAAATAGCTTTTGTTTTGAAGATAAATTTCTTGAATTTTTTATTTATATCATTTTATTTAATGATTATATATTGAATATAAAAAGAATATTAATTTTCAAATCAAATTGACAATTTTTAAATAATTTATTTCTCTTTTTTTATTATTTCATTTTTAAATTTACAGTTTAGAAAATTTTCAAGAAAGAAAATTAAATGAATTAAGGAATATAAAAAAATGAAATAGTAATTAAATATTGATATAAATATAATTTGAATCAAATTTTTGAAATGTTATCTTCAGTAAAATATAGGTTCTAATTACTATTTAGGTTTATTAATAGCATTTATGATAACATTTATTAACTTCTTAATTTATTACAAAATGTCAAGAATAAAAGTTATAGCTAAAATTGACGAAAAAGTAATAATATGTAACCATCCTAGAGTAATGACTGATTCTGAGCTTAGTTCTAATTCAATTTTGTAATGGTATATTAGGAATGACAATACATTAAAAATAATGATTGTTTCAGTAATTACAATTTTTATATATTCATTTATATTGTCTAAAGGTTTATTGAGAATAGTATGCATCAAGAAAAATGTTTATAAAATTGATATAGCTATAACTTGAATATATCCATTCTCTTACAGAAATACTACGAAAGATATAAAAATTAACTTCTTAATCATTTAAATTGAGTTGTATTAAAAAGTCCAAATATTTTTATTTTAATTTATTCCATCAAATACAGCTTTGTATTTAGATTTATTTTTGAATGAAGTATTCTATGAAAATACACTTGAAATTCTAATTAAATAGAGAATCGAAACAATTATACCAAAATACATAAGAAAGGAAAGATAATAATTGAAAATTAGAACAGGATTATCTTCAGTTGGATAATTTGCTAATTGGATGGCACATGCAAAACTTATATCATATGAGTTTGATAGTAGAATTCTTAAAATTGCATTATAATAAAACTCCGATATCTTTTGTTTTAATAGAGATCTAGCTTTTATGATTTATTTTCCAACAATAAAGCCTATTTAAACAATCTCTTTTTATTGGATCTTCCTTAGCAAGAAATACAATATTTATGCAGAAAAGAAACTTAAGTATGTAGTTAGGATGCAGAATATAAAGCTTTAAAAATTAGTAAAGAAGTATGCATTAACTTCATCTTTAAGGAATTTGTTTTTAGTTTGAACAAAATATTATTTCTCTCCATCTAAGGAATTGAATAGTGTTTCAAAGCCTAATGCTGATATTAAAGGGGATATTGTTATTATTTTGAATAGTTCGAAATATATATTTAGGTTTGGTGAGAATTGAATATTGATGTATTTAACATATGATAAATATTGTAATTGATCCATTAGATTCCAAAAGATATCTGATTAACCCGTCAATAAGCAAATTGAAGATATGCTCATAAGTGAAATAATAATTCTTTCATTAAAACTAGAAGCTTACGATGCTATATCTATTTGGGTTTATGCTAAAACGATTGGAGTTTGAAGCTTAATTCTAGCTTGTTTTTTGGAAAGAGTTTGATTAAATTCAGATAAGATAGGATTATCAATAAATTCTATTTAAAATACAGGATTTTCAAGAGGAGATAGAAATGTGACCCTATATTCAAGAACTAAATCTATGACTTAGTCATAGATAATTTCAATTTCTTTTTTAAATTCAATTTTATAATCATCATCTTCAAAATCAGGAAGACTAGTTAAAATATGTGTATTTAATTTATTTTAAATAATTGGTGAGAATTTGACTTATTAAGTAAATACTATTTAGATGTCACTAAATTCTTGAGGATGAGGAGTAAGGGAAATTATGGAAAAATCTGGTTACTTTTCATATGTGCAAACAGAAAATGTATTTAAGTTATTAATACAAATCCAATCTTTTTCAATTTAACACTTTGAATTACAACCATCACCATTTTCTATATTACCATCATCACATTACTCAAATAATTTAAGATTAAATGCATCTCCACATTTAGGTTAACAAATATGATCAAATAGATGCATTCCTGCTGGACATTCTTTACAAATTCCTTCTTCACAATCAATACAATATTAATCACACATAAATTTACATTCATAACATCCATCATTTTCAATAGAATTCATATCATCACATTATTCATATCCAACAACAAGACCATCACCACAAAAAGGTGTACATTAATTATTTTATATTATCCAACCTAATTGATTGCATTCATAACAAATTCCTAACTCACATAATGTGCATAGTTATTCACATTAAAATTCACAATAATGACAACCATCATATGGTGTTATATTACCATCGTCACATTATTCATATGGTTGAATAGTAACACCATCTCCACAAAAAGTAGCACATAAATTATTTAAATTAAGAACCCATCCTGGTTTAATACAAGCTTAACAAACTCCTAATAAGCAATCGGTGCATTATTCTTAACATTAAAATTTGCACTCATAGCATCCATCATGAGGGGTTATATTACCATCGTCACATTCCTCTCTATTTATAACTAATTTATCTCCACATATTGTTGTACATCTATTAATATTTAATTACCATCCTTCAGTATTGCATTCTCTACACTCACCTTTTTCACAAAGAGTGCATTATTCTTAACATTAAAAATAACAATCTATACAACCATCATCATTTATGTCATTTCCATCGTCACATTATTCATCTCCTACAATTAATAAATCACCACAAATAGGCTAACAATTCATATCAATCAAGTTTAATTACCAACCTATTGAAACACATTCAAAGCATTGACCATCAACACAATTAATACATTATTCTTAACATATTAATTTACAATTAACACATTCTTAATATTATAATAAATTGCCATCATCACATTATTCATCATGTGTAACAATTCCGTCGCCACATATACTTTAACATATATTTTTAGATTAATCTAATTAATAACCCATTTAACATTAAGAACATACACCTAAATGGCAAGTTTGACAATAATAATTGCATGAAAATTCACATAAAAAGCAACCATCATATGGAATGTTGTTAGCATCGTCGCATTATTCATTATGTGATAATTATCCATTTCCACATAATGATATACATTAATTATTTAGAGTATTAAGCTAAGTAGATTCTTTATTACATAATAAACATTATCCTTAATAACATTACTCACAATCTTCAGGACAATCAAATTAACCATTAAAACAACCATCTTCTGCTATTAAATTCTGATCATCACATTGTTCGTTCCCTAAAATCTACCCATCATTTAAGATTTCATAACATTTACCATCTAGATTCTAATATCCTTATAAACATTAGATACATTTTCCAAATTCACAATGATTACATTATTATTAACACTAATATTTTGAAAGATAACAACCATCATACATAAGTGAATTTTTATCATCACATTGTTCATCTCCAACAATTTAAGAATCTCCTGTTGATGAATAGCATTTCTAATCTAAATTTAAAAACCACCCTAATTTGCATTTTAAGCAGTTACCCTTATAGCAAATTAAACAAGAGTCTTAACAATCAAATTTACATCTGAAACAATTCTAATCAGTCAAATCATCACATTCTTCATAATTTTATACAGTAATACCATCTCCACAAACAGTTTCACATTTATTGTACAATTAATTCAATACCCACCCAGTAGTGTTACATTCTAAACATCCAATTTTACTACATAAAGTACAAGATTGTTAACAACTTAATTAACATTAATAGCAGCCATCATTTAATAGATTATTTCCATCTTCACATGTACTTTCTTATTTTACAATAATACCATTTTAACACACTTTAATACATTTCTAGATTGATTACTCCAATTTATATCCTTCAATACATTTAATACAGATTCCCTTATTGCAATTTGAACAGTTCTTATCGCAAGTTATTTAACATTAATTACATACACTTCTAATAGTATTATTATCACATTCTTCATTTTGTAAAACAAGAATATTGTCTCCACAAATACTTTAGCATGATCCATCATTTTGTAGGTACCAACCAATTGCTTCATTACATTTTTAACATATACCAAATTGACAATCTATACAATACTCTGAACATTAAAATTTACAATTGAAACAACCATCAAAAGGTGCTATATTTCCATCTTCACATTATTCAGGAAACACTAATTATCCATCTTAACAAATTGGAACACATTTATTCTCTATTAGATAATAACCATTTTAACAAGTTACACATAAAGAGTTAATACAAGTTTAACAAAATGTATCACAAGAGAATCTACAATAACTACATCCATCTTATTAATTAGTATTTCCATCATCACACATTTCAGTTAGACTAGTAACTATTCCATCTCCACAAATAGAATTACAGGTTCCATCTATTTAAGCGTACCATCCTCGATGTTCATCACATAGAGAACATTTTCCAAAACGACAATCAACACAGTTTAAAGAACATTCATATTAGCAATTAACACAATTTCTTGAGTTTTCTGTACATTATTAAAGTAATGTTAACTAATTTCCTTAACAAAGAGACCGACAATCATTATTATGTACTTCATATCCATTTTTACATTAATAACATTTTCCATTTAAGCAAATATCACATGCAAAATTACAAGCAAATTTACAATTATGACAACCATCAAATGGATTATTATTACCATCATCACAATCTTCTTGTTCTACTACTATTAAATCACCACAAAGTGGAAGACATGGTAAATTAATTCCATCATCATAATATCCAGGTAGACATAAGCATTGATGTCTTTTGATTCCCCTATGATGATCTTAAACGCATGTTAAACAATTGTTGTTAGAACTACCATAACAATTTTCACAGTATTTATTGCATTTGATGCAATCATCTCCTTATAAAAATGTGAATGGATTACACAAGCATATTCCATTTAATAATTAAAATTTATTATTTTTACATTAAGTACATTCATTTAAACTAATACATGTATGACATCCTGGCTATGTACAATCCTTACAATTATAAACTTGAGTTATAGAATTAAAATCCAAATATTAGGTAATTGCACAATTAGGACCAGAATAACCTCCATTGCATGTAGTTAAACTTGTGCAACCCAAACAAAAAGGAGGACACTAAAATAAATTAATAATAATACATAATGAACAACAATGAAATAATCTGATATTGCACAGAATTCTTTTGTTATATTTGTAGATGCAGCATCACATAAAAATTCAACATATAAACTGTTATCATAAAAATTAGTTAAACTTACATTAAAATAACGAGTGCTTTCAAGACCAGTACGACCAATTAAATTTGATCCACCTCCAGGATTATTAAATGATGTTGAATATGTATTACTAGACAAACCAACCTTATATTTAAAAGATCCAGTATATCCATCACCATAAGTTAAATTAAAATATATCGATACGGCATAATGAGGTTTTTAGATATTCCATGTCTTTTTATAGGATCCATCATTCCAAACCAATAAACCCCCTAATACAATTTTATTATTTAAAAATGAAAATTTTTATTTGGTTGATAAACTAAAAGATGGATCTGTGGTTTAATCATAGAAGCTTACTATTTCATCATAAGTCATGTTTAAATTATAAAATCCTTTGGCTAAGTATCTTGAATCTAAAATATATATATTGTATTAAATTTTACATGGAATTATATCTTCATAATCTATACAATTTGATGAATAAATGGGACAAGTTTGAACACATTAATTTTTATATAAATTATATCCTGAATCACATTACGAACAAGTAGAAAAACCAGAGCAAATTAAACAATTTTCTTAACAAAAACCAGTGTCAATAGTAATATTTCTCATTCCCCAAGATTCGCTTTCTTATTGAAGTTATCCTTAAATATAAATGGTTGGATTAGAATTAAAAAGTTAAAATGTCATCTCTGCTCTTAACAAAGTGTAACTAGAGCTACAACTATCAGCTTTTTCATAAATTTTTAATAAATTTTCAACTTAAAAACCTGATGCATTTTTTATAATTTTAGATTGTAATTGATTATTGTGTAAAATTTAAATTTCACTTGTCTATTGAAAATTAAACAAATAAAACGTTATACGAATTCTAATAAATTTGACTTAATTTTCTAAACTCATTTAATAAACCATTCCTTCACTATATTAAAGTTTTCCTATAAAACTTTTTCCATTACAATTTTCAAATACTAAATCAGTGTTTTTAGGATAAAATTCATCATTTCCAAATATTAATGGCAAATATCTTTGATCTTATTGAGGAATCCCATCATCTTAAAATAGTGTAAACTTTGATTTTATTCGAGTGTCTTCTACACAAATTTTATCATCACGAGCTATAGAATCATCTCGATTACATTCTTATCTACAACCTATAAAAGTTTCTGAGAATTATTATGAATCAATGCATTTACATTCTCCATTTTATACACTTTAATTATCATAACAACTTAAACAATCTGATTCAGTAGGACCATCACAAGTTAAACAAGTTGGATGACAAGCTTTAATATATACCAACAAGTTTCTAATTCCGATTTATATATAATCATCATTGCAATTAGGATCACCATATTAATGATCCCAATCACAACCATCTCTACATCTATGATCATAAGGATCAAAACAAATTTATATTGAAAAATTATTAGAGTTTGATGAAACAGAATTACTTACAATCGTTTCTAATTGAAATTTTGATAGGCTACTATGACAGGTTAGACGACTATCTTAGATTAAATCACTTTAATCATAATCTTTTATATAGAGTTGCATGTCATTTGAACCTCTGTTACTATCATATGTTACGCTTAATTCAGAATTCTGACTTATAGCTCCATCAAAAAATGCATCAAAAATTATTTATACTTGATAACTTTTATACCTGAAAGATTTCTCTAAATATCTCTTCTATTTAGTCAATCTCACATATTCTAACTGATTTGAACTACAAACATTTTTCTCAATACTGTCATTCAAAGAAAAACTAGAATACCCATAATTACCAGAATAACCTGGGCAACATTCACTTGTTTTCCATTAATTCTGAGAAATTTACTTATCGGTAAAACTTAAGTCTATTAGTCTCCAGTTTGCTCTTACAAAAGAAATGAGGACTGTTAGCATGATTTTGAATTAATTATTTGTAATCATTAAATAAGGATTATTTGTGATAAAAAATTTATATTTAAAGGCTAACCAAATTACGTAATCAAATTATGTTTTCTCCTAATTCACAATAGCATTTAAAATTGATATCTAATTTAAGCTTTTTAGGCCTTTATTAAGTATTTAAAACTTTAATTATAGGATCTTATGCTGCTTTCATGTGTTTTTTTTTAAAGTATTTTTGTTTAATAAAAATAATCAAAAGCAAAATAATTAATTTTTCAACATTTTTTATTCATTACTAACTAATGAATCCGTGCCCTAAATCTAATTAAGACCTAACAAAAAGTAATGACGAATATCAATTAGCGTTTAAAATAGAAAAAAATTCAAATCAGAAATATAGGGTATGTTACAACTTTTAAGAAAAAATTATTATACTCATATGATAAATTATTTAATATATAAATAATCTAAGAATATTTATACTTTTTAGGATTTTTCTCAGAAAAAGTGATTAATATTGAGTAACATAACTAAGAAATAAGCAAGTTATCCTCTTTATCATAGTAGAAGAAATTTAATCAGATAAAAAACTAAAAAAAATTAAAATTAATTAATAATTAATCGATCTTTTCAAGTACATGCATATCATATTTTAATTTCGTATTTTGAATAAAGGAAGGAAAAGATAATAAATTATCTAATAAGAAATAAGAAATCATCTTTTAAACATTCAAGTTCAATTAAAAGAAAAAAACATGTCATATTCATGCTTGAGCAGAATCAATATTCAGAGCTCTACCATTTTTATAACTGAGAGCATCTTTGTGATTTGTTGTTTCTGTTATTATTCTTCTATAACTTTTTCATTTGGTTTAACGATGGCAAATTTACCTCTTTATAACTATTTTTTTTTTTAAGTTCTTATTTTTCGTTAGTTTTTTTATTGATTTACCCTATCTACATCAACAATATTTTTGTATTAAGATTAATAAAACTAATTATTAGGAAAGTAATGATTTTCCGACTATATTTTATTCAAATACACTATTGATTTCTTTATTATTTACAGTATTAAGATTATTAATATAATTATTTATTTCTTAAGTAGTCATTTTTATTCTAATTTTTTTATTTTAAATTATATAAGGGTAGTCTATTTTGTATTTTTTACTATTTTTATCTGCCTTATAGATTCTCTGTTAGGCTTGCCAAAAAGTTAAGTTTTGTCTTCCATTCTTAAAAATAAGCTTGAATTAAATTATATAAGAGTTAAAGATGAGTTATTGATATTTCCTCCACTTACCTTCTTTTCTGTTTTAAATCTCTTAATTATCTACTTGCCTTTATAATTTAAATGAGTCAATATTATCGTCGAAGAATATTTATAAAGTAGTATACGTTTCATGGAATTTGAATACTATATTATTTTTTTCATAGGTACAAAGCTATTAGTAATTCAATAATTAGATCTCTTCTTTCATAATTAATTAGTATCTTTTCATACTTCTAATTTCATTTCTTAAAAATTTCCACTTTTGAGCTATGTTAGATTACTCTTATTTAAGGTTTTTAACTTTATATTTGACTAGTTCTGGAGTTAGTCGTTCATATTATATTAAGACATAAACTTATGCTGATTTGAAGGATTGAATAAGCCATTCTTATTATATAATTAATGTTATGATGTTATTTTGGAGGGATAAGGACGATTGTTTATCTGAAAAAACTCACCTAAAATGAGTTCATAATTGATAAATTAAAAATATTTTATATTTATAATTAACTGTTTTTAATGAATTCTAAATATAATAATATGTTATTTCTAAATTCTATTGCCATTCTAGTTTAAATTTCATATTAAAAAAATGGCTTAATCAAAATCGTCTAATGTTGATTCCCCATTAACAAAGATGGTAGAAGTATTTCAATATATTCTAAGAGAATTTAAAAAATTTTAATATTTAAATTATTTATGAACCTAATAATAGTTATGTCTATCTATAAAAACAAATCTTTAAATTATGATTTTTAATATTTCAGAGAATAATGTAATTTAATTAATTATCATTTAAGTAGCAGAAGTCTTAAATCACAATATTTTAAATAGCATTTGCTAAAACAATAGTATTTTTTAACAAATGAATGAAGTCATTATTTAGTTTGTTTATTAGAATTAGAGACTAAGAGAAAACTCTTAAAATTTGTGTTAGTACATAACGATCAGGAATATAAGAGGTTGGTAAATATTTAGTTATGAAACCTTAAGCTAACCATTTCCAAGATTCTTAATAATTATCTTCAAAACATTATTTTACGTATTCAAGACCACACAATAAACAAATTCCTGTTTTTGAAGAAGATTAATAACGATCTTCACAAAGAAAAAATTTGATTAAAAGGTTTTAATACATTATTTACATTTAAGAATGAGATTTTGACAATTTATGATTTCAAAAGCAATACTGAAATCAGCAATTGCAAATAAAGTGCAAATTTCTTCATTTTTAAAATTAATATATGATCTTAAACAATTTTCTTAAGATGGTTTCTTTTCAATACATTTTCCTGTTTCAAATTCAAAAATAAATCCTTCATTGCATTAAGCTACAATTTTGAAAATATTTATGTTTAAGATTGCACATCATTGACTTTATTTGATGATTTGGATTATTTTTAGGGAAAAAAATATAGCTATTAATATTTTAATGAAATTGCCCCTTACATAAGTAATTTAGTTTTAGTTCGAGGAAAATTGTGTTTATTATAATTGTGATTTAATTATTAAGAATTATTTTAAAGAAAATATCTTTGCAATGTAATTTACAAAATTGAAAATTTAAGGCAATCTTTATTCTTTAATATTGCGCGACTATTAATTTTATAATTTGATTCAATTATACTTAGCCAGCTTAAATATGAAATAAAAAAATAGTTAGTTTAAATATTAGGAAGTGGGGGTTCTTCAATTGATTTAAAAATTCTAGATACTAATTTCTATTCCATTACAAATTATCCATCATTAATATCCTTCAAAGCAGAGAAATTTCTCAATTTTTATATATAAAACTTAGAAATCTGAGACTTAAGTATTTTAAACTCAGTGCTTTTTAATATTACATGCACTGAACAGGAGGGGGATGATATCATTATTAATAATTTTTAACTTTAGAATTGTATATTTATTATTTCAACATTATTTCTATTTTTAAACACTAGAAGAAACATTATAATTAATAATTTTGCCATTAATTCTTGCCAATTTTATAATTCATTAATCATAGATTTAATTAATCAAAATGTTGAATCAAAATTATTATTTAATAAAGTATTAATAAAAAACTCTCTATTTCCTAATTCAATGTTAATTAAAAGAATTGATAAAACAACCATATCAATCAATTAAGTTTTAATGATCCAAAATTAAATTATTTAGAGATTTTTGGTAATACTATATTACAATATTTAATATAGATAATTTCAATAGTTATCAATTAATTTGAAAAGAAAAATCTAATTCTACATAATTTTAGAATGTTTAAAATGTTTTTAAATATTATAAGAGGTGTAATTGAATATTAATATTTTCTATTGTTCATATATTATATTTATTTTAAAACACTCGAATAATATTTGAAAATTTAAATCAAGAACTAAAAGAATTATAATAAGGTCAATCACAATTTATAAGCAATACTTAAGATATTTTCTAAAATAATGAAAAAAGATAAATTTAATTAATTTTATATTGCAAGATGAGATTAATCCAAATTTGAGACTTATGCAAATATTGCTAAAAGGAGTGACATAATATAAAGAACTAATGAACATGAAAGTTTTTTTTTAACAAGCAGAACACAATAATTCATTGAGGGTTGTTGGATTAAAATTGATGTACAATTATTAAGGAGGATGGTACAAAATTAATTAAAAAGCTATTTAGAGTTGCTAAAGAACACATGCATTCTTTATAGAGGAGAAAAAGAAATTTAAAGAAAAATATTTTTTAGTGTTTACAGCACTTTTTGCATTTATAGGTTAGGTTTTATTGTAATATTTAACTTCTAGGACTAGATGAATATCATTCAGTTCTGATTTTAAGAATGTCTAATTAATTATCTATCTTTAAATTGATCAGCTGTAACTGAATATTGAATTTTATCTAATTTGAACATAAGTTCTATAAATAATTTTCATTTCTTTGATCATATATTTTACAATTAAAGTTTGTTAATATTTTATACTTAATAAATATAACTAAAAATTGTCTTATCTAATGCATAAAAATTTCCTTTCTTAAACTCTTACCAAATTTATTTTGATTCTGAAAATCAAAAATTTATCAACCAGGTTTTGATGATGTAATTAGAAAAATTATTCATTGAAATTTAAGTTTCAAGTATTCAGGCTATTTACTTTTCAATCTTATTTACGTAAACTTTCTTTCTTAATATCAGAAATTCTGTATAATAGTATAAACTTTCTTTTTTCAACATTTTATTAATGAATTAGATTCTGAAATACCTAATTTTATGTCTAATTTAGAAATAATTAATAATAATAATTATAATAAAAACATCCAATAAAAATAAAAAGTTTTAGTATTTTTCAACTTAATAATTCTAATACATACCTTTTGTTTATANTATATTCAAATAATTTAAAAATTTTGTAAATTAATAATAGTATTTTATAATAATGAGATAAATAAAAAATATTAATTATACTTAAGATATTTTCTAAAATAATGAAAAAAGATAAATTTAATTAATTTTATATTGCAAGATGAGATTAATCCAAATTTGAGACTTATGCAAATATTGCTAAAAGGAGTGACATAATATAAAGAACTAATGAACATGAAAGTTTTTTTTTAACAAGCAGAACACAATAATTCATTGAGGGTTGTTGGATTAAAATTGATGTACAATTATTAAGGAGGATGGTACAAAATTAATTAAAAAGCTATTTAGAGTTGCTAAAGAACACATGCATTCTTTATAGAGGAGAAAAAGAAATTTAAAGAAAAATATTTTTTAGTGTTTACAGCACTTTTTGCATTTATAGGTTAGGTTTTATTGTAATATTTAACTTCTAGGACTAGATGAATATCATTCAGTTCTGATTTTAAGAATGTCTAATTAATTATCTATCTTTAAATTGATCAGCTGTAACTGAATATTGAATTTTATCTAATTTGAACATAAGTTCTATAAATAATTTTCATTTCTTTGATCATATATTTTACAATTAAAGTTTGTTAATATTTTATACTTAATAAATATAACTAAAAATTGTCTTATCTAATGCATAAAAATTTCCTTTCTTAAACTCTTACCAAATTTATTTTGATTCTGAAAATCAAAAATTTATCAACCAGGTTTTGATGATGTAATTAGAAAAATTATTCATTGAAATTTAAGTTTCAAGTATTCAGGCTATTTACTTTTCAATCTTATTTACGTAAACTTTCTTTCTTAATATCAGAAATTCTGTATAATAGTATAAACTTTCTTTTTTCAACATTTTATTAATGAATTAGATTCTGAAATACCTAATTTTATGTCTAATTTAGAAATAATTAATAATAATAATTATAATAAAAACATCCAATAAAAATAAAAAGTTTTAGTATTTTTCAACTTAATAATTCTAATACATACCTTTTGTTTATATATTTTTGTATTGATAAAAATAATCATCAAAATCTGCCTTTTTAAAACATTTTTAGATTTCTTAATCAATCATTTCTGATCCAAATCTTATGGTTTTCTTTTTAATTCAAATCATGTGATGTTTCGAAATTAATCAATAAATCAATACTATGTAAGAACAGTTCATATATCAAAAAAAGGTGTTACTTTTGAAAATGGTTATGATCAGACATATTCATAAAAATAAAAAAAAAACTTCAGAATTGCTATACATAGAACTTAATAATTGATATAAACTTTTTAGATTTAACCAAGCCTCATTAATAAATGATTATAAATGAAATTTGGCCTCTTTCCTATATAAATTTGTGATTTTTATAAATAGAACAAAACTAAAAATATTTAAAATTTAAATTGTTTAATTCATCATCCTTCATTGCTACACAATATTGACAATATATAAAACAACAAAAGCAAACAGAGGATAAATGATAAAATAGTTATTCCAATCAAAAGCAGCAGTGCTGCAATCCAATAGTCTTTTGTGTTAAGTTAATGCTTAAATGATATGTAATCAATTTACTTTCCCATTCATTATTGAGATTAACTCTAATATCAATATTATAAATTAAAAGTTCATGATGATTAAAATAACCCAAATTACAGTACTATATTCTTCATGTGCTACAAGAAATAATATCCCTGCTACAACAATTTAGGCTATACTTATAATTAAATAAGAGTCTTTTAATATATATATATTTATTTCTTACTTCCAAATGCTAGTTCGTCTCTCTATTTCTTCACATTTAAATAAAAAGCAAAAATACTAGCATATGTGAAGAAAGACAACATTCCTACGCAAGCATATACTTTTGTTTCATCTACTGCTTCATTTTCTTCAATCGATAAGGCATAGCCAATAGGCATTCCGATAACAATTGATATGGATATTGTGAAACCAATAAAAACAATGTAGTTAAAAGGTTTCTAAAATAGTTAAATTATTACAATTCTTATAGATTTTGAGCAATAACATATTATTCCAATAATAAAAGAGGTAAACAAGAAAATATAATATAATACTTTGGTTTCTTTATTTTCATGATCAAAGAATAAATTACGAAATTACCTCCAAGCAAAACTAATCAAAATAAATGAATAAATAAATGTCAAGATTAATGCTAAGATGCCTAAGACTTTACAAAGAAATTTTATCACAGTAGGACTGCTGGCTGTTTCATATTATTCCTATGAATAATTCACATAATATTTCTCATCTAAAATAATATACAAATATACAATAGGCAATTTATGTATTATGACTTTAGATAATTTAAATCCTCTCTACTTCATGGTAAACATCAGCCATTTATAATATCTTTTTATAATTCTATTAAAAAAAATGATTAAAAATATAAATTTTTATAGAATTAATAGGCAAACTTAAATAATAACTTCATATATTAGTTTTAATTTATTGTAGGTTTAGCATATCCTAAATTAAATATTTTTATTAAAGAGGAATGATATATAAAAAATAAAAAAATGTAAAAAGGCTGGAATTTGTTTGTATAGAAAGACATACAATTTGGGAAGAAATTAGGTAGATTATATAAGGGAAATTAGATAAGAAGAATTTGAGTCTTATTATAGCTTTTTATTTAAATTACATATGTATAGCCAATTTCATAAAAGGGTTAATTATCCTAATTATTAAGGAAGTTCTATATAAATTGTATTAAGCCTATATATAGATTCTTTACTAATCTTTTCCTGTTCATTAGAAATATCACATTTCTAATCATCAAATAACTATTACTAATTGTCATCATAATTTTATTAAAAAAAGAAAGAATTTGGTTAAATATATGTAATAGAATCTATTTTCTGTTATCGGAGTTTGAAAACAGAAATCTCTTCGTAAGGAGATACTCAAAAAAATAATTCTATTTAGTAAATCCAGATATACTATATTTGTTTTCATTAACACAAGCTATGTCATTTATTTTATCAGAGAACAGTTTGGTAAACTCAAAGTATCTATGCTGATTAGAAGAATTATAATTAAAAAATTGATAGGTGGATTTTTTCAATAAAAAGCTATTGCAAAAAAAATAATTCATGATTCAAATATATATTCGATTAGACTTTTTTTAACTATTAAGAAAATTTTGATAATCTTCTGTTGGGTGAGCTAAAATTTTAATCATGAAAATCTGAAAAATAAAAAGTTCTGAAATTTCTAAAGATTTTTCATATTCATGATGTGATAAGATAAAAAATAGATAGTATCCATCATCTTTTATTTGTATCTTCCAAACTAATTGATTCTTCAAAAAATATTAAAGTATTCTAAACTTTATTTATATATTAAATAATAATTATTATTTTTACCATTAATTTAATTATAAAGTATTGTTAAAATGCACGAATAAACTTTTTCTAGTGTTAATTCTAAAACAAAAATCAAAGAATGCTTTCAAGATATATAAGATTAAATTGAAGTAAATTAATTAATGTTAAACAATTTATAGACATCATACAATAAAATTGATACTTATTTAGACTCAGTACTTAGTGATTCTTTTGATTTTATTGATATCAAATCACAAACATCTCTTTAAACATAATAACCTACATTTTTTATAGAAATGCCTTAAATAAATTCTGAAAATATAAAATTCCATCAAGACTTATCTCCTTAATTATTATAAGTAATCGAAATTAAAATAAAGACTTAAGTATTGCTTAAGGAATAATATATAAAATATGCACAATATTAAAAAATTACATAATTTTCATAGTTATTAAAATAAGAAATGGAATAATAGAAGTTTATGATTAAGAGGCATTTAGAAAATTTATAAAGAGAAATGGTAAGGTAATATGAGTAGTAATTTTTAGAGTCATAATAACCAATAAATAAATAATTAGCAATTACATCTGGATCATCTTCATAAAGCATAATACCCTTCAAATATTAATTAATGGAAAAACATTCAATTTCATAAAATGAATGGTGTCATGCTATTGCAATTGATAAAGATTGTTCAACTTTAGTAGCGGCATGTGAATCGAAGATCAAAGTGTTCGAATTTAACTAAGGATAATTAAAATAAATTTAAATTCTTAGTGGACATTAGAATTGGATAAACACATTAAATTTTATGAAACAATCAAATTATTTTATATCAGGAAGTTAAGATTTTTCAATTATTATATGGGTTAAATAAGCAAATAACTAATGGATTTTAAAATAGATATTAAATGAACATAGTGGATCAATTTTTTGTTTAGTTGTAAATAATAATGATGATCTATTTATATCTGGTAGTAGTGATAAATCTATTAAAATTTGGAACAAATAAAATTAATGGCATTGTTAATAAACAATTAAAGATCATTCTAATTCTGTTCGTGGATTAAGTTTAAATTAATAATAAAATATATTGATATCTTGTAGCATTGATTATTAGATATTAATATTTGAAAAACTAGAATAAAATAATTAATGGATTATAAAACAGAAAATAACACTTGAATAATATGGGAATCGTATATGCTTTATAGATAATCATATTTTTACATTTTAAGAAATTGGTAAGGAATAAATGTGTGTTTTTGAATTGAATAGTGTTAATAAATAATTCGAAAAGACTAAGGATATTGCTGTTAAATGTGGATAAGCATCAGGGGATATTAGTTTATTTCCTTTATAATATATAAATTAAAAATGTCTCCTTGTAAATAGGAATGGTGAATATATTAATTTAATAAGAAAAAAATAAGATGGAGATTTTATACTTGAATAATCAATTCTATTTGAAACAACTGATATCTTTGGAAGTATGACTATTAATGGAGATTATTTAATTACATGGGATAAAATATCAAAATAGATACAAGTTAGAATATATACAGAATAATGAACATTTTTATAATTATTTTTAATACCTTATTAATTTCATTTATAGAATACAATTTTTTATTACAATGTATTTATATGGCAGTCGATTATATTTAAATTCTTTATAGGAAATGATAGGAATATTATTTTATATTGAGTAAAATCTAAAAAGTTAAATTAACAATGACATATTTCAGTCTAGGCATTTGCTAATTATTTTGATCAAAGAAATGCACTTTGCATTATTATTTAAAAATTTTCACCATTTGAAGTCATTATATTATCTATTCAAGATTTTGATTAAGAATTTATTTTCTTAAAGCTCTCAAATAAATAAATGATTATTTGAAAGACATATTTAAAACTATATATATTATTTGTATTTTTTAAATATTTAGAATGAGATCATAAGTTCTGTCGGAAATTTCTTTGAAATAGATAAAATTTGTAAATAACTATTATGTCTATGATAGATGATTTTACTATTAAAATGTAATAGATTTGACTTTTTGGTATTTTGAGTTAAATAAAGATAATATCAAAACTAAATAGAGAAATACATACATATCAACAAGCCATTTAAATAAACTATTATCTTAAGATGTGTTATTTGTAGAAATTTATATTAAATTTTATTATAAAATATAGAAAATAATTAGAAAGTACCGAGCCATTTTTGAATCAAGCAGTTCTCTAGAAAAAATCAATTTCCTCAATAAAAATTAGCAGAAATTCAATTTTAATATGGCCTTTTACTAATTTTTGAAAACTCATAACTTATTTGAAATTTAACGTAGATAACAATATTTGGTAAATAAAATAATTAGTAAAATAGTTATTTAAGGATTAATAAAAATAAGAGAATTGCCTTATAAAAATTTAAGCTTTTTCAAATATTAATGATATGAAAAAAAAAATATATAAATATAGTATTTCAAAGTATAATTAATGTATTTGCTGAAAATAATATCCAAATAAAGCTAATAAATTTTTAATACATTAAAATTGAAATTAAAATAGAGAATTGTTAATTTACGTAATTTAGGGGTTTTTTTAATTATAAATATAAAATCATTATCATAATTTTTTGAATATATTAAATGTTTTCTATTTTGATACTAAGCATATTGTCATGCAAGTAAAGTTTCTTTATATTATGCAAGCTTGAAGATTGCAAAATCATCTTGCGATGTCTTTGACATAATAACATCTGCTGAAAATGATCCAAGAATGATATTTTAAGATCTTTCTGATGAAGTTAATAAAGATTATTCTTGGGGAGTATGGACAAAATATTTGTCTAAATATGAGGCAATCGAGGATTTAAAATTGAAAACAATTAAAATGCATGTACTATCAGAAAGTTTTGAAAAAAAGAATTAATTAGTTTATTTTATAGTTTTAGATAGAGAGGAGTTATATATATATCATTAGTTATTCATTTATTAGAACAATAATATTGAGATAAGAGAATTGAAAGTTGATTAAGAATTAATTAAAGACAATTGGACTTTTTTCTATTTTTGTTATTCATAGACATCTTAAATTTATAATATATTTCTTTATATTAATGAGGATCGAGAAAATGTTTAGATGATTTCAGGAGGACCTTTTTAGATTGAAAATGATGGATTAAAAATATATTAATTGGGTGGAACATAATAATTAAAATATTAGATTTCAATATTATTGGAAGAATAGATTAATTTGAGTTTATTTTCAGGGGAAATAACAGATATGGATTTAAGAATTGGGTATTCTAATTTTTATGAGGATATCCCAACTTTTTTAGCAAATATTGAAGATGCTAATTGTAAAAAATAATATTGTACAAATGCAATAATAAGAGAATTAGTATTAGGAAAATAATTTTTGAGTGAATAAGAGAAAATATCAGTATCTTATTTAGATTAAAAGTTTATGATTTATGGTTGGGTGAAATTATAAGAGTTAGAAAATGTAAAATATAAATAGATATGATTAGTTATCAACAGTATCATCAGTTTTAATGAGAGCTAGCTTAAGAAAGACATATTTTAATGATTTATATTAAGGAGATAAAGCTATATATTGGGAATATCTATAAAGTACTTAAAATAATGAATAAAATGGATTTACTTTTACAACTTATCATAATGATCCATTGAAACCATTATCAAATTATTAATCTCTTGATAGTGATTCATGGGTAATAAGAGGATAATATTATTAATAAGCTATAACATTTTGGCATTGGTTTGTATATTAAGAAGGAATTAATGAATTAAATAATATTAAATTGTAAATTTATTTCGGTTCAAATCAATAAACGAAAACTTTTAAAATGAGATAAAATCATTTTGAAAAATCCTCTTTGCATTTTACAATTGGTGGAGATAAATTTAATAAAAATTTTAGAGGAGAAATTCGTAATTTAACTATTTACTATTGCTACAGCGCAGATACTCCTAAAACTAGATGTAAATAATTGATATTATCATTAGTTTGTCATTATAGTTGTAAAAACTGTTTTGGACCTGAATAAAGCTAATGTCTTGAATGTGATAATTCAGCAAGAACTTTGAACAAAGGAGAATGTAAATGTTAATAGGGATTTATTGATAATAAAGAAAAAGGATGTTAATGTAATTATTTATTATTTAAAACAATAGCTATTGCATCATTAGTTAAAATAGAGATATAAGAAGCTAAATATTTAGATACAACAAATTGTAAATTAGGAGAATTTATAGTATAACTTTTAGGCAAATATTATTGTTTACCATGTCCTGGATAATATACTCCTTGGAGTTTGAATTGTGTTGAATGTATAGCAGATCCTAAAAATTGGTATTTAAATCCAATTTGTAAAAGTGACTACTTTTAACCATTATAAGATAAAAGTGATTATGTTTTTTTAGAAATATAACGCAACTAAATTGATTACCAATACTATTTGATCAATTAACTAAATATTTATGAACAACCAAATGTAGAACTTTGTTAAGGATGCTTGGAATAAACATCTACTAATTTTAATTTTATTGAAAACTATTAATTAAATGTCCTATCCAGATTTGCATGTAAAACATGTTATTCTGTTATTAATGGTTAATGCATTAACATTAATTAAAACTGTCTTAATTGTGATTCCTAATTTTAATGTTAAAAATGTTTTGAAAATTTTACATTTTTTGATGGTCATTGTTATTAATGTCCGAACTATTGTCCTGATTGTAAATATAATAAAACAGGACTCTATTGTTAAAGTTGTATTTCTGGATATTTTTATAATTCAACCATAGAATAATGTATTTAATGTGGTTAATATTGCTCTGTTTGTATTTATAATTAAAACTTACCTTACTTATAATGTATAAAATGTATCGATGAAAAAGAATATTTTATATCTGCAGATAGATAAATGTGTAGAGAAAAAAATTTAGAGCACTGCGTCATTTAAGGAGAAGAATATGTAAATGATGATTACACCAATTTTACAGATAAAACTTAAAATTATCCTTATGGATCAACAATCGATATTGAATCCTATTTACCATCTTAAGATACAATTTAAGTTTGTTTTTTGTGTGAGGATTAATATGTTAATAAATTAATCTTATTTTCCTCAAATGAATGTGTTCATGCGAGCGATACAAGTAAATTACCAGATTTAAATGATGAACTGAGAAATCAAGTATTAGCTTCTGAAAATTATTAATATTAATTGGCATTTTCAGATAAGTCTAGTTTAGAAACAAAGTATACAGTAATTTATGGTAAACCAACTAAAATAATGATTTCTAATTATTCAAATACATCGTCTGAAATTTTATATAATTATAGTAGTGTTGTACTATCAAAAAATTATCTTTATGAAGATCCTTTACTTTACTGTGAAGACCCACATTGTATAGACTGCATAAAAAATTATGTTTGGTCATAAGAGTTTTGTGTAAAATGTTAAAATGGTTACTATGCAAGTTTTTTTACAGGTCTTTGTTATTTATGCTAAGATGATTGTTAAGAATGTTTATTATAGCATCAAACTTATAAGGATGCATGGAAATGGTAAATTATACCTTATTATCAGTTCAGAAACAATATATTTTATAGTTTCCATAACTTTAATTTATATTGTGTTTCTACTGATAATACAAAGTATGAATAAATATGTACAAAATGCAAAGGTAAAGATGCCTTGCATGATGGTAAATGTTATAAAGATTGTAATTGTGATGAATGTATATTCCAAAATGGTTAAAATAAATGTTTAAGATGTAAAGATTCTAAGACTTACATTAATGGTGAATGTGTTTTATGTCCTAATTATTGTGATGTGTGTAAATAATTAACAAACTAAGAAATTAAATAAATTAATCCATATTTTGACCCTAAGGATATATCATTATATAGATTTGCGAAATAATGTTTAAAATAATCAAATGCTCCTCCTGTTAATGGTTTTATATATCATGATGCTAGTTTAGGATTAGAAGTTAATTGTTTGAATGTTGAAACTCAACCATGTTATAAATTTGCAGAAAAAATACTTAATGTCTATTGTGATGATAATAAATTTTATTCAGATTATTCTTTACTTATAGATGAAAATGATTAATTTCAATTCTTAGACTAAAATATTCGTTTAAATGAAATCTTTTCAATATAATCTTCATCTCATTTTTCTAATTAAGAAATTGATCTCTTATTTGAATAATTTAATGATAAAAGTGTTAAATTAATGAAATATATATTAAAGATTAAATAAAACACTGGATTATGTAAAATCTAGAATAATGTATTTGTTTAATCAAACTTAAGGAAAAATGTTTTTATGCTTTAATCTTTAGAACTTATATTAGAATCTTAATTAGATATTCCAATTTATTTTGGAAACAATGTTACATTTCAAGAATTTACGTCAATTACTTTTAAAAATATACTTTTGGATTCACTTTAAGGAACCATACAGATTTTCTGCTAAAATTTTTAAGATATTAAATTTACTTTATACAATTTTTAGGTAATTAATGGTGATAACTTATAATTACAATTTGTCTTACAAAACCCAGCTGAAATAAATCTCGAAAAAGTAGGTTTGAAAAATACAAAATTCGTGAATACTAATGGATTCATAAGCTATTTTTTTACTAAACCAAAATTAGTTTAATAATTAGTTATTTCGATCAATGACTTTGTTATTTAAGATTCTCAACTATTAAATACACATATCATTATTTAAAATTTAAATACTAATTATGGGAATTAGTTATTGAAAATACATAATTTAAAATCTTTAAATAATAATTATACAAATTCTTAATTAATATATACAAGTTTTTTAAATTAAATTCGACAATCTGAAATTATTATTTAAAATTTTATTTCAGATACTGATTAATAAACTTAATCAAGCTTTTTTATCTTGAATGGTGCTTTAAGTGTATAAATGAATAACACTATAATACAGAATGGAAAATATCATAAATAAGCAATTTTATTTAAATTGCCTTTATTCAAGATTTATAATTTGAATATCACAGACAACATTTTCCTTAGTTTTGATAATTGTGTTCTCACAAATATTTTAGATTCTTTATATGCTGATAATATATTAGAAAATACATTAATTTTAAATGATATCTATTTTACAAGAAATTCTTATGTAGGAAGTAATGTCTTTTTTTAATTGATAAATAGTAATAATTTTAAAAATTTGAACATTGAAATTGATTAATTGATCTTAGATTCAAATTAATTTAAAATTTTAGGAAAAATTAATGGTCCAATAATTGCTTCTAATGCCTCAATTTATTTAGATGCTAAGAAATTATTTTTAAAAAATATTAAGATTATTCGTTCCTTTAATTTACCTGAGTTTTCAATAAATAATGCTGATCTAGTTGAAGTATCTATATTCAATATAACTTTAAGTAAACATTATCTATTTAAACCTATCCATTCATTATAATCTTGCTTAAATACAAGTTTAGAAAATGGATATGGAAGCATTATTTTATTTTATAATATAAAAAAACTTATATTTAGAAATGCTTTATTGAAAAATTTAATAACAATAAATTCTCCTTTAATAATAATAAAATCTATAGAGAGAACAAACTTTAGAGTCTAAGAATTCATTAGTATTATTGATCATATTTATCTTAACAATAGTTTAATTACAACAAGATAATCTGAAGAAGTTGCTATTTTAAGTATTGTTTCTTAATAAGAACAAACTATAAATCTAAATGGTATAGTTGCTAAGAATAATATGTTACATTGTTATTAAGAAGATCAAAAGCTTAGATAATCTTCAACAATTTTGGTAGTGAATCCATACTCATTTATCGATCTTTAAGATTCGATTTTTTCTGAAAATATAGTCACAGCTAGTCTTGGTTCAAATCTAATTATTTTTAGCAGATCTTTAATATTATAAAATACTCAATTTTATGAATAAAATATTTTGAAATTTGAGAATCTAAAAGATAAATTGATTTGGGGTTATTCAGAAGATGAATAAATATACTTTGAACATTTATAAAATGAATTTCCAATCAAATCAAAAGGTGGAAATGGATTTTTATCTGCAGAAGAAATATATATAATAAATATTACAACTAATAATTCTATGGCATTACAAGGTGGGTCATTTTATTTATTTACTGTCTCAAATGGAATTGTTAAAATTACAAATTCAAGTTTTATTTAGAGTCAATCTAATTTATTATATCAAGATAAATCATAAGGTGGAACATTATTTCTAGATGCATCCTAATCTATGTTAAATTTTTAATTATCAAATTGTTTGATTTCTGGAAGTTCAAGTAGAAAAGAAGGAGGAGTAATTTTTATTGAACCATCTAGAAATTAAAATTTAATAGTTTTTGATTAAAATATTGTATAAGAAATCTATTCCCTCTATTATGCTTTCCTTAAACTACCTATTCAATTCACTAGTAAGACTTTAGTACTTAATATTAAGATAATTAAAACATATATTTAAAATTCTTATTAAGGATTTCTTTTATTTTATGGGAAGGTACGTGAATTAACTAAAAATGAAATCTCAAATGCCTACCAAAACTTCTTAATATCAATTGAAGGTGGCAAAATAATTTTTGAAGATGTTTATTTTAGTAATATCTTTTAATATGGTATTATGAATGTTAAAAATGCTCATTAAATTTTTATGACTAATGTTACTATATCATTTATAACATTAATAAATGATAATTTAATTCTTATTAACTAAAATACAAGTAAATTTTATTTATTATAATTTAGAATATGAGACTTCAATAAAATTTACAAATGTTTAATTTGAATCAATTAATGAATATTCAATATCTTTATCCAATCCAGAAATACCATCAACTTCATTATAAGTGAAAACCAATAAATGTTTATAGAATTCTAAAGCTCCTAAAGGAATAAAAGAATTTTATGATTAAAAGCAACTAGAATTATAATCAAATTACAATTTATACAGTATTTTAGCAGAAAATAAAAAACCTTCATTTATAATTGGAATTAATTCAGTTTCAAGTAACCATAAATTGTTTTTTGATCAATTAAAGTTTAATTCTATAAATTGTCAAAGTTGTAAGGAAGGAATCTTTTAAATTATAAATATAGACGGAGGAAATAAAAATAAAAATTTAATTTACTTTAAATCTTTAAATTTGTTCAAAAATTAATGTGGATTATTAGGTTGCTTATTTTTATGTAATTAAGACAAAAAATCTATAAAATTGTTTTCATCAGAAGTAAATAAGAATAGACAATTAGCAGATACTTCATAATTAAGTGAATTAACAATTTTCCCAATAAAAATTGAAGAAAGCAAATTTTATAACAACGAAGCCTCTTTTGGAGGAGCCTTAATAATATCAGGAGTAAGTAGTTAAATTAATCATTGTTAATTTACTAATAATACTGCTAATATTTCAGGTGGAAGTATTTATTTTGATTACAAAGTGAATTCATAATTTTTAATTTTTAATTCAATTTTTGCAGATAATAGAGCAAAAATTGGTGGAGCAATTTTTTTAGGAAATTATTCATTTAATTCTCCAAAAATTTTGAATAATTCTTTTTTTAATAATTAAGCATCAATTTTTGGAAAAAATCTCGCAGATTAACCAATAAAATTAGTATTATAAATTGGATAAAAAATAATAGAAACAGTTAATGTAATTTCAGATATAAATAATATAACAGATATAATAAAAGTTAGTTAATATTAAATTGGTGATTTTAATTATGATTATATAATGATTCCAAGTGGATAATCAATAGGGAATTATTAGATTTTTGATGAAAAAGAATAATAATTTATTCCTTATAATTTTAGTTTTAGAATAGTTCCAATAAATAAAGAAAATGGTTAAGTTTAGGCATTATATGACAGTAAGTGTAGTATAAAAGGAAGATAAGTAATAAATAATACAAAAGGAGAATTTGATGAAAATTATGTTAGTTTTAGAGAGAGTATTTTTAATTAGAGTAGTTAGGATTACAATTTAGATGAGTTGATTATAACATTTGATCCTGATTTAAATAGTTTAGGATATCTTTAATTAGAAATAATGTGTGATTCAATAAAGATACCATAATTTTCTGAAGATCCTCCTTATTAATTCATGAATTATTTTACAAATTATAGATTATGGATAGATTTACAAACATTTAATTGTTAAAGAGGTGAATATAAGACAGATGATGGTAAATGTAAATTATGTGAATCTTCATAAGATTAATATACTGTTTTAGCAGGTTAAAGATGTAAAATAAAAGATTAAATAAAAATGGAGAATGTTACTCCAGCAAGAATAATGTTGAGACCAGAATATTGGAGACCATCAGAAAGTAATGAGATTATTGAATATTGTATAAATTTACCTGAGAATTGTATTGGAGGTTGGGATCCTGGAGATGATCTTTGTGATTATGCACATATTGGAGCACTTTGTGAATAGTGTGATATTTATAATATAAGAGGATAAGGTTCCTTTTCTGTTACTACATAATATAAGTGTGGCAGCTGTTAAGATGTTGGTGATAATACTATTAAGATTATTTTAATTAGTTTATGGACTATGATTTCAATATTCTTATCTGTCAGAGGTACAATTTAAGGAGTTGAAAAAATGATTGCGTAACATAAAATGAATAGATTTAAATCGTTTTAATATGATTAAAAAGCAGGATATGGAGGAGTCTTAATTAAAGTTCTTACTAATTATCTCTAAATTATAGGAGCTGTTACTCTATTTTAACTAGAATTACCTAGTGCTCTTCAATCTTCTATTAGATCAGTTGGAAATCCTGTTGAAGCCATGAGTTATTCATTAGATTGTTTTTTGGCTACTATTACAGATATCAATATTATCTATTTTAGAATGATCTGGGCTTTAATTATGCCTCTATTTTATATTTTGGCATTTGCTCTTATATATTTTTTAGCTGTTATATTAAATATTACCTAATCAAATAAAAGTGCTATTACTACTACTGCTATTTATTTATTTACTTACTTATAACCAACTTTATTAGGTGGATTCATTTCCTTATTATCCTTTCGTCGTATATCTGATATTTACTGGGTTCAAGGAAATGTTGCTTATAAATATATAACTACATAACATTTTAAATGGGTTACAGGTTTTGTTCTTCCATCCACTTTAATTCTAGCCATTTTTATACCTATTTATATGTTTCTTAGTTTGTATTTCTAAAGATTTTAATTAGAAAATGAAAATACAAGAAAAAATTGGGGTTATTTATATAATGAATATTAACATAAAGCATATTTCTGGGAAATAATTAAAATCTTTTAAAAAGGATGTATGATCATGTTCCTAACATTTTATGAAGATTAAATTATTATTAAAGGAGCATTAATATTTATGATTGTTTTTATTTATAAAATATTAACTAAATAATTTCAACCTTTTAAATTACCATATTTGAATCTATTAGATGAGGCTTAAACTATGATTTGTGGAACATCTATTGTTATAGGAATGACCATTTATTAAGCTAATAAATCAGATAATTAAGAAATTATATGGCCATTTTATATTCTTTTAATTGTAATTAATGCCATCTTTATTATAATTATTGTTTGGGAAATCTTATGGGCTTAAATAGAAGACAATTAAGATAAACTCGATAAGTTTAGAGATAAAATTAATAAGTAGTATCCTTACTTAAAAAAGAAAAATATCTTATTGAATAGACTATTAACAAATAGAAGTGAATAGTAATAAAGGGTTAAAAAAAGATACATGAAAATAAAGAAATATTTGATGAAGATTGTGCACCAACATCCTGGATTTTATTAATAACCAATAGTTTCTTCTAGTAATAAACAAAGCAATATCTATCAATCTTCTGAGTTTGTTTTTTATCATACTCCCCTATCGATTGAAAATAAAAGTGCATAAAATTACCCTGGTTATCCCATGACATAAAACAAAATATATCCAGCCATAGATGTAATTCTAAGAGATAATAATAGTTCCTAAGAATAAGAATAAGATAATATTTGATAAAAAAAACATTTATTAAAATATATAAAATTATTAAAATAATATCTTTTCAAAACTAAAATTATTAAGGGAACTTAGTATGAATTAATTTTTTAATAAATTTATCAATATATGTGTATAAATACAGATTAAAGTTTACATTTTTTCTATTCATTTCTATATGCTCAACATTTAACAAAAATAAGAATGCTTATCTTAAAATTCAAATTAAATCAAGTTAATTGAATTCATGAAGATGAAGAATTAGTTAAATAAAACAACAATTTAGTTAGATTTAAAATATAATATTTGAGGTAGCATTTTTACAAGAATTTGTTTATTTTATCAATTTTATGGAAAAAGTAATTAAATGGTAAAATAAACAAATTCAAGAGGAATATATCATTTATGTTTAAATTACCTATTTTAAATTAAATTAATTTTTAAAGTTAGAGAGGACACATGATTTAAAATTATTATATTAATATTAAATTTAAGTTTAGATATATTATGTAAAATTGTCAATATTCTTGTTTTGGTTATATAGAAAGCAAATGTTAGTCGCTTAAAAGAAATAGTCTGTTTAAATTTTGTTTAGTAATGTAAACATCCTTCTATAAAAAAGAAACAATAATTTTTTACAACTAGAGTACAAAAGTTATTGTAAATCTTTGTTTTTATAAATTAAGTGTTATCTGTAAATAATTTTTATGATAAGAACTATACTATTTTTAAAAATTAAAATTTAAAACTATTAAAGAACCTAATAATTGATTAAGGATTAAATTGAAATTAATCAAATGTGAAAATCTTGATAGAGAATACAGATCATTTTGCAAAAGAATATCATACAATCATTCAAAAATTTAATTAATATAATATATAAATGAATGAATAAATTCAATGTTTTTTGAATAATGCTTGTATATTTTGGTTTCTTTAATTTTTAATAAATAATATAAATAATTAATTTATCTAAAATAAACTTGAAAAATAGAAATCATTATAATTATTTTATGATTAAAATAATACTTGAATTTTTTGTGAAGCGAATATTTATTAATGTAAATAGAGATAAATTAAAGTTAATATGTAATTATTTTTTGCATCATGTAAATAAGCACACACTATTCTAAACCTTAATTTATTTGAGTGAAAAAATAAAAATTATTACTTAAATTAAATATAATGAATTAGAAGGGGTAATTATGCTATTTTATGTTAATTAAGATGATTTCTTCTTTTATTTCTAATTTAGATGACCAAGAATAATTGGAAATTAGAACAGTTAATATTGAAGGATCAACTTATGATGGAAAAGATTGTTTTTAAATTGGTGTTTTTTCAAAATATAATCCATTGGGAAATGTTAGATAGGTTGGAAAAGTTGGAATTTTTGATAGTAATTGTTTCCACTTACTTTCTATTGCTGATTAATCCACTTAAAGTCTCAACTTTATATATTACTAATGTATAAATTATGAATCAAAGGAAATAAACGTAAATATAGACTTTATAAATCCTGATTCAGAATAAATAAATAAACAAGCAAATATTGATATATTCAAATATGAAAATAGATGGCATTTCTTTTCAATATATTACTGTCCTGATATAGTGAATATCCATATTTTGAATAACGAATAATCTACTTTAATTCATTTGATATTGAATAAATTTCCAGCCAAAGAGAGTGCTATTATAATTACATATGGAGGAGGTTTAATTGTATAGAAATCTCTAGTGGATTCAATATAAAATGGAAGAAAATTTTCATTTTTTCCAGGAAAGATTTATTTAATTGATTATGAATTCTTTATAAGATTATCTGTAGATGAGTTCATAAATTAAACTCTTTAAAAATTTTTGAAAAATATCAAATGTGAATGTATTTAAAATAACCCTAAAAGTATTGATGATATAGATATCAAGTGGTTAAAATAAGAAATATATACTATTTCTAATTAGAATTGTGAATCTTTTATTTTTAATGGTTGGTTTAGGATACAAGAAATAATCTAATAAGATGAAGAATTTGTATATCATTTTTTTTAAATAAAAGCAAATTTTGAAAATCCATAATTATCAAATTAAAATTTAGCTCCTCTCTAAATATTTTATAAGTTATCTCCTATTAGAAATTAAATAATAATTACAACATATAGTTACACTTTTCCTAGTGTAAATATTGATTTTACTAATAATCCTTTTCTTATTCTAAAAGAAATTGATATATAAAATGATATAAAACTATGGCATAATATATATGTTAATCTTTAAGACTAATAGTTAACTATAAAATTAAATTTTTATGAGCATAACAATATTTATTCATAGAAAATAGAAATAAATGCCCATTAATTTTCTTATGTTCAATTTAAATTATATTATGGGAATTTATAATAACTCACTAAAAATTACTTAAATATATAAGTAAGGAATTTAATATTTTAAAATTGTGATGATAGCCTTAATGAAAATAATTGCCATTATAGTTGTGAAACTTGTGAGGGTCCAACAAGTACAGATTGTATTACTTGTTCTGAATAATCTTAAAGATTATATTTAAAATCATTTAAATCATGTATATGTCCATATGGAATGATTGAATAAAATTAATAGTGCATTTCCTCTTAAGATTTCAATTTCTAAATAAAACAAGATTAGAATTAATATTAGCATTGTTAATATGGATACTTTGAATTTGAAGACTCTTGTATTAGATGGTAATAATTTTAAATAATATAAGTCCATCAATAATAAATAAGAATTCATAAATGTGTATAGAATGTTTAAATAATCCAATTTCTTGGTGGAAGAATCCATATTGTGAAACAAATTTAGTTTTAAATACTGATGGAGATGTAGCTTAAAAATTATATCAAAAAAAAATATATTATAATTTTGATGGTGATACTTTATAAGCTTGTTTAAACTGTGATTAATAAGATTTGACATTTTAAGACACATAATATTAAGATTTAATATTATTAAATCATTAATTTATTCCATTTTGTTTGAAAACTTTTAATAATGCAAAATAGGAATTTAATTGTTATGAATGTCCAGAAGGTTGTGAAATATGTTTCACATCATCTACAACTATTAAATGTCTTAAATGTTATTTCCCATTTTATTTAGATAATGGAATTTGTACACAATAACCAGATTACATATAAGTAAATAAATGTCTTTCACCTTATTATTTTACATCAAATAAAGAATGTAAATTATGTCCAATTAAAAAATGTTTATATTGTTTTGAATATTATAGTAATGATTTAAGTAAATGTACTTTATACAAAAATTTTGAACCGTTTCCTTTAAATGAATATTTAAAAGTAGGATGTGCTTTATGTGAAGATAGTTATATTTTTAATTTTAATATTAATTTATGTGAGTATTAAAATCCAAAAATAGTTAATTGCTTAAGATCATATATTAATGAAAATGGTGATGAAATTTGTACATTATCTTCAAGTGAAGATTTCGATGTTGCACCAGAAATAATAAATTGTGAAAAATATATTTCTAATTGTTTGTAATGTATTATGACTAAATTTTTTGTAATTAAATGTACCATTTGTAAAAGTGATTATACTGCAACTATATAAGGAGGATTTTGTAGAAAAAGTTTATTTTAAAATTCTAAAATCAGTGTTGAAGCAAATGCCATTTTATAAGATGGTTGGGTTTAATTAATTCTAAGCTTTATAATGTAATTCTTACCTAATTAATATTTTTACACTTCTGGAACTGGTTGGGTTATTTAAGAAATATCTATTTAATGTTAAAATGGTTATGAAAGAAATTAATTTGGAATATGTGTAAAATATTGTGATTCAAATTGTTAATAATGTTAACCAAAATACTTAGATATGAAAGGAGATAGATATGAATGCAAGTCTTGTTCATTAAATTACTTTAAATAACCAATTAGAGTTCAAAATTCTGGTAAATGTATTTAATGTTCTTCATTATGCGAAGTTTGCTCCATAAGATCAAAAGAGGAAATTTAAGTATAAATTATTTTAATTATAGAAAATTAATCCTAACTTTGTTATAAACAATTTAAATGAAATTTATACTATGAAATGTATTAAATAAGTTTCTGATCCAAAAGTTTAATTGAATCATTATTTAGGAGTAGCAAAATATTGTTTTGAAGATGAAACATGCAATAGTCATATTTTTAAAGAAATAAATTAACTATGTATTGGATGTACTTGGTACTATTTTGAACCATAATATATTAATTTTTAATTGTGTAATGAATTAGGGGTTAAAAAAATAACCATATCAAGATAATATCAAAAGTTTGATTAGGAAGGTTATTTAGCTGCCAATTAATTTTTTGAAATTAAATCTGGTTTAAAGGAAAATATATTTTCATTACAAGCAATCATAATAAAAATTATAGGATTTGATAATTAAATAATGATAATAAAAAATGATACATTCCCTTCTATTATTAATTTTGATTACATTGAATTTCATAATTTAATTTTTATAATTAAGGATTCAGATTATTTTACTTTTGAGAATAATAATTCAAAGATTGATCTTTTATTTAAAGATTGTGTAATTAATTCAAGTGAATTAGTTAATACAGATTCAATTTTCTAAACTATTAAATATGGTGAATTAATTATATTAAATTTAACTTTAAGCAATTTAAATTTTATAAATTCATCTTTCTTTACTATTTCTTAATAAAATGAAATATAAATCATTAAAATTAATACACTTTATTTGATGAATTGCTCATTTACTAATTCACAATTATTTTCATTCAAATTAAATAAAATGAAAATACAAATAGAAAATATCAAAATAGATTAATGTTATTTTTAAAATTCTTCCATTTTTTAATTTTCTTCTAATGATATCTTAAATAATAATATACTATTCTCATAGATTAATTTACAAAGAAGTGACTTTTATCAGTCATAAATAATAAACAGTATTGATAAATGTTTCTTAATAATTTAGCATTTGTTATTGTAATAGAATTATTTTTATGAATCTTAAGCAATTACACATCTGAATAATTTTTCAATATTTTATGTTGAAGTTGGAGAAAATTCTTTTATTAAATCCTCATTGATTGTAATTGATGCAATTTAATCTTCTTTGACTAAATGCTAAATTTATTTTGTTTTGTTGTAAAGTAATTTTATTTAATAATCAATTTTATTAAAGTTTTCTACAACTTAGGAAATTGATGGTTTAATTGTTGATCTAAATAATTTAAATTTCTAAAAAAATGATAATTTAAATAATTTTAATGATCAGAGTTCAATAATAAAAGCTTCCTGCTTTAAACTAAATATATCAAATATAAAAATAATAAATTCACATTAATTATAGACTTTTTCATTAATTAATATTTAAGAAATATTGATTTAAAATTTATTTTATGAAAATGATGAAATATTTAGGAGAATTCCAATATCTTTAGATTGTGTTAGCTCTTTAAATTTTTAACATAAATTATTAGAAACAAAAGATTGTAGGATTATAAGAATTATGAATGCAAGAATAATAAATTAATTTAACTCTGATTAAGCACTTTTATCTTTTATATCATACAAATAAGATCTAAAAAATGAATAAGAAAAAATTTATTTATAAAATATTGATATATTTGGAAATTTGCTTTCAAAATAATCATTAACAAGCTTTTAATCAATAATCTCAATTTATTCAGAAAATTAATAATATATGAAATTAGAAAACTTATCATTTTAGTAAAACTTTTTTCATTAACATATAGATGATCCATCAGAAGCTTTTGCAAGTTTAATATATATTTCATCTTCAAAAAGTGAAGTAGAAATAATAAATTTAAATTCATAAAATAATGCTTTAACAAATTCATCAACTTCCTATATATTTATTAATTCTAAAATAGTAAAATTCATTAATTACACTGTTTTTAATCATAATATTTTGGATTAAAGTTTATGGAGTAAATATTATGAAATAAATTTTGAGTAAGAATTAGAATAAAATTAAATTAATGCTATAATTTCATAAACATTTAAATTTTTAAATAAAGGAGGAGCTAGTTTAATAACTGCAGCATCATTTTTTTGTTTGAATAGTAATTTTTAAAATATTATTTCTTAAAGAAGCTCTTTATTTGAAATTAAAACTCAAGGATAAGGCAAAATTGTAATATAAAATGTAAGTATTAAATCTTTAAATAATGATTTAATATCTGAATTTGAATACTCAGGATGTATTTCTATATAATCAGAAAATAGTCTTTTAGACCTTCGTCTTAAAAATGTGAATTTTGAAAATGTATTTAATAAAAGAAGTTCTTCTATATTTACTATATTCCCATCTTTAAAGTAAAATTATCTTTACATATCAAACATTTAGATTATAAATTGTATTTCTTTAAAAAATCCATTTCTTAAAATATAATTTACATTACATAATTCATATTCAAATAAGATGATAATTGAAAATGTAATTATACTTTAGAATGAAGATATGTGGATTGATTTTATTGAAAAAATAGGATTGCTGAGTCTTTCAGAAATATCTGATATAATAAGTGAAAACTCTTTAATTTATATAAAAGGAGGGGATTTAAGAATCTTAAATTTTTAAGTTATAGGAATTTTTATCACTTAAATTATAAATCTTCAAAGTCCATCTAAAGCTATTCTCAAAAATATTTAGATTAGCTAAATTAAAACCTTTTATTCTTTAAATTTAATATCAATAACTGTGTCTTAAGATATAACATCATAATTATATATTAATTCAATAATGATTGATAAATTGTAAATTTATTAAATTTCAAATTCAAATACTTATAAAATATAAAACAAAGTAATTTATTAAATTGTAGGTTGTTTAATAGTTCAAAATAGTTAATTTATTGATTAAGATAATCTTGAAGATTTATCATTTGGTAGTTTAATAAGTAGAATATAATTTAATACTTAATAATTAGGATCCATTATAAATTTTGAAAGCTTTTCTGATAATGTATAAATACATTTTACTTGTATTAGTCTTTTTAATAATATTTGTACTAATTGTTTTTAAGGTTTAATAAATTTATAATTACAAAATAAGAATTAAGTAATTATTAAAGAATTAACTTGTATTGATAATTATATTGCATAAACAGGGTGTATAAATTTATAATCTAAAGTTAATTTAATATAGAGTGTTAAAATTAGTTAATCAACATTTTTAAACAATAATGGCACTTAAGGTGTTGCTATTAATTCTATAAATGTAAAACTTAGTTTATTTAAATGTTTAATTATGTATAACAATGCAAAAATTAATGGAGGTGGATTACATTTAGAATTAAATAACAATGAATTATAATTAAAATAAGTTTCAATTATGCATAACATTGCAAATGAAGGAGGAGGTATTTATTTAGTTGGAAATTCTAATTTGAATTCATAAAATTTTGAAAAATCAATTATAAATTTTAATGAAGCAAGAAAATTAGCAAATAATATTGTTGAATAACCTTCGCATTTGGCTTTATACATTAATTAAAAAGAATTGAATTCTATTTCAATTAGTGTTAATGATACTTAAAATAATATATTATAATTATAACCTTATAAAATACTATAATAAGGAAAAATCATTACAGCTAATTATTTATTTGTACCTAGTAATTAATAAATATCTAAATTTTATATTTTTAATCCTAAAAAATAGACTTATTAATCATATATTGATAGCATTTAAATTTTATTCAAAAATAGTTAAAATGAAATACTACCATATGTTGAAAATTGTAATTGTTAAATAGAGGAAATATTCTATTTCCATAATCATTCATTCATTTAAGGCCCTATTCTATCATAAAATTAGAAATTTGATACAGAAACAAATTCAATTGAATTAGATTCTATTAAGTTTGAATTTGATCCTTATTAAGTAGAATATTCATATTTTTAAGTTAAGATAAGTTGTTAAATAGAAGAATATTAAAAAAAATTATAATATTTTTTTAATGCTAAAACTTTATAATGTTAATTAGGTGAATTTAAAGTAGATAATGGTTGTTAAAAATGCCAATCAAATTAAGGGTATTACTCTGTTACATATAATACTTCAAAATGTTCAATTTTTGACTAAACCAAATTTTAAAATATTACTTCTAATAGTATATAATTGTTAGATGGATATTGGAGACCTAATTATTAATCTGATTACACTGAATATTGTTTTAAAAATCCAGAATATTGTTAAGGTGGATGGGGAGTTGGAAATTAACTTTGTAAAATGGGAAATTTAGGAGGATTATGCGAAGAATGTGATAAATATAATATTGAAGGATTAGGACATTTTTTTAAAGATTAATAAAATTTAAATTGTTTAGAATGTTTTTAATTTGAAGATAGTATTTTACCATTTATTTTAACATCTTTTTGGTAAATATTTTAATTATTTTAGGGCTTTCTTTTCTATATTTATGACATTAAGAAGCATTGATAAATCTAATACATTATTTACATAACTTAAAATAAGATAAAAATTCACAAAAATTATTTTTAAACTTAATTAAGGTAAAAATAAATAATAAATATAATTAGATCATGAAAGTATTTTACTGAAAATGCTACTAAATTATTTTTGGATATTTTCTGTGATATTTTCATTTAATATAAAATTCACGTTTAGTATAAATTTTATGGATTAAGCAAGTAATACATCATTTTTTTTGGCTAATAATTTAGATTGCTATTTATCATAAATACAAGATATAGAATTAATTTATTCAAGAATAATTGCTACAATAATTTTGACATTGTTATAATTAATAATAGTTTTTTTAGGATTTTTATCATATTCTATAACATATAGAAGAAGCTTTAATAGAAGTATGATATCAGGTACTGCTTTATATTTATATGTATCAAATTATGCTGCAATTATAAAATAGTATAAATTAATTATTATTTTAGATTTTGTTCAATTATATCAACTAGATAAATATCAAAAATAAACTATATATAAGGAGATGTTTCCTTATTATTTGGTTTTTCTAATCATAACACTTGGATATTTACTTTTGTCATTCCAGGATTAGGATTTTTTGGATGTTTTATTCCTTTTTCCCTATTTTTTTTAATGTATATCAAATAGGATTAATTAGATAATATTAAACTTAGAAGACATATTTGTTATTTGTTTAATGAATATAATAGTGATAAATATTATTGGGAATAAATTAAATTAACAAAAAAAACAGTTATAATTATTATTATGACTTACTTTGAAATAAACATTTTTTTAAAAGCATCACTTTTAGGATTATGTTTATTATGTTATCAATTATTAGCTGTTAAAAATAAACCATACATTATAAACAGTTTAAATAATTTAGATTTATGGACAGGATAAATATGTTCTATTGCTATGTTTTTAGCTGTAGCTAAATATGTTAGCGAATAATAAGCAGAAGTAAATATTTCTATTATTCTTCAAATTTTAATTATGTTACTTTTCATTAGATTATGTTTTCCATTTATCTTTGCTATTATCAGAGTATATATAAGGAAACATAAAGTATAGTGGGTATCAATTCTCTTAAAGCTATTTTTATATATGAAAGCTGATTTCTGTCTAACTCTTTATTTAAATAGAAAAAAACAATAATTAATATAAAAAGAATAGAAATTAAAAAGAAATTTTATTAAATTGAAGTAGTACTTGTTTTCAATTTCTAAAGCACAAATAAGATAACATAAGTAAATTTATTTATAATTAGGTTAATTACTACTTTGATGAATTCTTAATCAACATTAAGATTTAAATTAAACACTTCTGAATTAGATACAAGGAAAAATTTTAAACATGAAATAGAACATCTATTTGAAACAAATCATTGAGTATAATATTAATTAGTACTTTCATTTTACTATTTTATTTATATTTTACTATCTATACTACAAAATACTTTTTATTTACAATCAATATCTCTATATAGTCTCTTTTATATTTCACTTTATGAATCATTTAAATTTATAAAAACTCATAAAGTTTAGGTTGGGGTTTAATAATAGAAATTTTCAAATTATATAATTAATAATATTTCTTTTTTCTAGAGTGTTAATATTTTCACCAAATTGGTATCAAAATTTAGATATCTTTTTTAATCATTAAAAAGAATTAAAAAAAAATAAAAAATTAATATATTTATATATTTATTTAAATAAATTATATTTACTATTATATAAGTAGATCAATGATTAAAATTATTGGAAATAATAATTTTAATAAAATGGTTGAACCTTTGAATGTAAAAAGAGAATAACAATAAAAATATTTTTAATATTCAATTTTTATTTTTCAATAAACTATCAATGAAATTTAATAATGGAGTAGAAAGTTTTAAGGTAAATTGAGTGATAAAATACTCAAAAGAAGAAAATATTGAATGTGTTAAATTAAAACCTTTTTTATTTTAGATATTTATTGAAAGTGATATTAAAAATTGATGAAATGAAATAATATAATAAATATATTTAGTTATTATGAATGTTTGAGATGGGGAGTTGATAGAAATACGAAAAGATTAGAAAATGACAGTTAATATAAAATAATATAATAGAACATCTAAAGAATAGTAAATATGGAGATAAGACAAAACTGAATATTGATATACTTATTTATTGGATATTTTCATTTATCTTTAAATTGTTTTTCAATTTCTGTCTATCTAATACGAGCTAGAATCGCTTCAATTTTAGCTTTTTTATCAAGCCATTAATCGCAAACAACATCAATTTTATATTATTTATGCCATTCTATTTATAAAAATTTTATTACCATTCATAAATCTCATAGATCTCAGTTTGATAATATCTTAAAAGACTTTGTACATTTCTTAACAAAGTTATGGACTACCTTACAATTCATTTTCTATTTCAAGTATTTAATGTAATTAAGCAAATTATTCCTCAGAGATAGCTTAAACTTAGAATCTCCATAAAGTTTCATAATTATCATTGAATAATAATTTGAGATATTCTGTAATTTTAAGTCCTACAGGATTCTTCTCAAAGGCATCCTTAAATTATTATGATTTGAAATCCATTTTATTTACAGCATTAATGATATTCATTCTTGTTGTTATAAATTCATTATTTAATTCTCCAGCCAATTCTCCATATACATATTACTTAATTGGATCCATTAATCCTTCAAGTCTTTCTACTTCCTTATTTGCTTTGTGCAATCTGTTCTATAAAATTGATTAGACTGTTTAATCAGCTTATCTGCTTACAAATCTAAATTCTAGAAGCTATTTATATTCAATAAAATCATATATCTTTCCAATCAGTTCAGGTCTAAGATTAAAAAATCCTTTCATTTATTGAAGTTCTGGCTCCATCTATTGATTCATTTATGATAAATATTTTATTTATTTAAAAGCAACAATCATTTTTCAGCTTTTCATTTCAAAGAATTTTCAAAATTCGGATTAAATTACAATATCTTCTGATATATATATACATATTTCCTTTCAAAATTATCTAAACTTAGCTAACTATGTTTAAATATATCTTTAAAAATTTAAATATCAATATGATTAAATAAACCAGAATATCATTTTCTTTAATCACAATTAAACTTCATTTGATTAATTAATACAACTATATACATAATCATAATTATAGCAATATTTTTTAATTATTATTTTAAGAAATGAATTTAAGTTAATCAAATTGATAATATTATATAATATATTATTTATTAATATGTGACTATATTATCAGTTGTTAAACATAAATTAAATACCTTTATAATTTTATAAGCATTTACATAATATTATCTTTTTGATTTCTATTTTTATTTAATTCTAAATAAAATAACTATTTTCATTCTTGTTAGTGTTAGTGATAATATTCATCAAATTTACTTAATTTTGGATACATAAATCTTATTTTCAATTGATAAAAATTATGATTTAAATTGATATAAGGTTAATTTGAGGAATGTAATAATAATTATGAAAATTGATTGAATTGAATTTTTAAAATAAAAAAAATTGAAATAAATATGATATTTCATATTTTATTTAAAAGTTCAAAAGATTTTAATTGATGCTTAAATTTATATCTATAACAAAGTAATTATTGAATATAATTAGGATAAGTTTAGAAAAAGATCAATAAAATTTTAATTGAAATTGTAAATATCTAGAAATAGCAATTATATACTATAAATATATAGTAATAAGAATAGTAAAAAAAGTGTTTTAATTTTTTAAAATTATCAAATCAATTTAGTAATTTGAATCCATTAAAATTATTATTGTTTAGTGAATGAATCCCTTTTTCATAAATTAGTTATAAACTATTCATAATAAAATATTTCTCAAAGTAAAATTCTAGAAAAAACAAAAACACAAATATTTCCACTCTAATTAATGAGAAATAATGTTATTATTATCAATTTAACTTATAATACAAAAATTATAAATTTTATTGTAAATTAAGTCTCTATAATTACTTAACAAAAGTGATCAATTTAAATTTTATCCTATAAATTGTGGAGGTTGTTTTCCATTTTATGCAAAAATAACTTTAAGTGATCTAACTACAAAAAAGATTAGTGAAATAATGTAAATCAGATATAAATTAAAATTTATGATGAAATTGAAGTTTCCAAAAATGCCAACATAATTCATAAAAGCATTAATTTATAAGAGAAAAATTTTAATAATAAAAAGGAGTTATTCAAACCCTTTTTGATTAAAATTAAAATAAAAAAAAATTATCAAATTTTAGTTTCTTATGTAGATAAAAATAAAATATAGAAAAAAATGAATCCTTTATTCAAATTGTAATGTATCATATGTTGCGACAAAAAAAAAAGAATACCCAGAGACTTTTAAAATGAAAGAATTATAGAGTAGAAAAATGAGTAAGGAGAACTATTATTTGAATATTTAAAAAGGAAGTTAGTTGATTATTAATCTTTATTTAAATTTATTTAATGTAAAAGTTTATAAATATAAATAACTAATTATGTTTATGATTGAATTGCATAAAAATATCTAAAATGATGAGTATAATTTGATGTAAAAACACTTTAAACTTAATTAACTGAAATGAATTAAAGTATAATATAAATTAAAGATTGATTTGAGTTTGATCCTAAAACATCTTTTAATGTTTTTAGACTTGGTATTCAATCTGAGTTGCTCTAAACGGCAGAAAGAGGATTAGAATAAAAATTTTAAAATAGTGAATTAGATAAAAGTAAAAAAGAAGTGAAGATATAAGAAAAATTATAATTTAATATATGCCAGATCATAACATATCATAATTAGATACAAATCTTGATTTTATTGCATAGACCAAATAAGAGGATTAAGTAATATTATAATTAATGTGATGTTAAATAGATTATAATTGCTTCATCTTAAACTAGGATTAGTATTCATATCCAAAATCATCTTTTGGGTAGATTAAATAAATAATACTAAAATGTAACACCTAATTAAAATATAGATGTTGAACAATTCAAGATCTTTCTAATAGTTATATGACACTAGTTCAATCTGAAAATTATTCAATATCTTTAAACTCTCATATTTTTGTGGTATTTACTTTTTCTTATTTTTATTATAATGACTTTTATAATAATTAAGAAGAGTTTATATATTTATTATAATTAGTTTAAATTATGAATTCCATTAAATGCAAGAACATATTAAATTATTATATTTTTTATCAATTAAAATTATGATTTAGTTGAGACCTTAAATTTCACTAAAAATAGATAGAATATCTAAAGATGGTATATGCATAAGAATATTTGGATGGTTTCTCTTTTATGTCATTTTGTAAATAATGATGATAAACTCTAAAGCAAAATATTAACATAATGAAGTTAAATTAAAACAAGAAGATGGTCAAATGCAATAACCTAGTTTAAATGTTGTCAATGCCACTAGCATGAATGTATTCCTCATTCAAAATATAATTGAAGTAGAAGTTTATCTTAATGTGATAATTTAGAAAGTAATTAAACATTTTATTTTTAGAGCGAGTTTTATGAATCTGTAAAATAAGTTATTGATGATCATAAAATACTTAATGATATGACTTATAATTTAATTGTCCATTCAGAGAATTAAACTCTTGTACTCGATGAAACTCATTAAACTTCATTAAAATGCAAAATAATAAGTGATTTAATTAAATGTAGTGGCTATCTTGAATCCATTACTAATAATGGTTATAAGGATCTTTATTTTTAATTAATAATATCCCATCCTAATGCCTCCATTATTTAATCCCAAAGTTTAAATTTGCTTTATGAGAATAATCAATATTACAACAGAATCTTGTTTTTTTAGGTAATTCATATATTGTAATTATTTAGGTTCTATTTTTATTTTTGATATTATATGGAATTTATTACTTTTTTAGTAATTTAAGTGATTATCCTAAATAAAGTTGGCCAAAAATGTATTCTTATTTTCATGTATTATTAGACATTAATGGTTATCAGTATTATTAATAGAAATGATACTTTATAATTTCCCAATCCTCTTAATTAGAAATCAATATAGCTTATTTGTTCATTATTACTAAAATTTAGTAGAATTGTTCATTTAATCTGGATTGTTTTATTTTTGGTTGTCAATTTTTGAATTAGAATAAACTTAAGCTTCTGACAATGATAAAACAATCACTTTAAATAAATTTAGTATTTGGAATTTACTTAAATTGCTTTTAGTTATTTTATATACAGTTCCTTAAGCAATTATGGATACATTTATATTTATAATGTAAGAAGAATTAGTGTAATATGACCCTAAAGTTGAAATTCCTTTTTATAATTAATACCTTAAATTTATAATTTTAAGTTTAACAGGATATTCTTTATGTTTTGTGTTTCTTTTATACAAATCATTTAATTAAAAAGATAAAGCTATTTTAATAACAGAACCTCCAATAATTGAAAATGAGATATAACATGATCCATTTTATGAAGGTTAATAAATAAAAGAACAAGAAGGTTTAGGAGAGATTAGGAATTATCAATTGCTACATATTTTATCAACAATTTGTTTTTCTGCTTTAGTTTATTATTAATTAGTAACAATATTAGAACCAGGTGAACTTACAAGTTCTAGTACAATTAATGAATGGGCCTTAATAAATATATATTTATGTATGATTGTACAATTGTATATGCCTTACAATCAACCATATGATGATGAATAGCAAAAATAGATGTATGGAGAAGTAGAGATGGATGATCTTAATATGTATTATTGTTTAATATTATTTTTAGTAAAAGTACTAGAGTTAAACATAAACGATTGGCAAACAGAAAGTTTTATACAAAATAGAAAGATGAGGAACCGAGTTAAGAAGATGATATTTAAATATGAGTAGATATGTTGTTAAATATTATTGATTAAAGTTCTTAATAAATAAATAACACATAAAAACAACTCAATTATATGAAGACGATGTTTAGGAGGATGATGAACTAAAATCATAAGTTTTAGATTTTTTTATTTTCTTTTTTATTTTTTTGGAATCTCCTCCATTCATTTGTGAAATAGGCTTTTTATTTTTTGCCAAATATTGGTACTTTTATTTTTATTATTCTTCTTCTAATTTGATGATTGTATTTGGAAGATACTTCTATTTATTTTTGTTCTAGACTCTTGATTGTATTTGATAGTCACTATTATCAGATGATTAAAATAATTCAGATTTGGGTGAATCGAATTCATAAATATCTAATTATGCTGATAGTGAAGCACATTTATCATAGAGTTTAGCTAAGACTTTATAATACTTAGTTTCACTGACGACTCTCATAATTTGTAAAATTTAATTAATAAGATTAAATGAGTAAATAAGAACATAAATTTTAGTAAAATCCTTGTATTTATTGAATTAATATAGTAAGAAATAATAAAATTAATAAGAAGAGAAATTGTTGATATAATAATTATATAAATATGGATTGAATATTATGATATAGAATGTGAATATTATCAATATCATCAAGCTAACAATCCTTAAGTTATTTAATGCATTAACTTATCTTAATTTTTTTCATCAGGTACAAAACAAACCTTAGTTCCATTACTGCCAGCTAATTGTTACAATGTTTCTAAATATCTAACTTACATGGCAGTTTTAGAATCTAAGAATTCAGATGCTTATCTCATTAACTTAGCTGATTCTACATCTGCTTTAGCACTAATTAATTTGCCTTAAGCTAATCTTTATTCAGTGGCAGCTGAACCAAGTGCTTATTAAAGATCAGGAGATAATTAGATGTCTTTCATATATATATTATCAATTAAAACACCCCTATAAAAATATTTATTATTCTATATACCAATCTTTTACATATTCATCTACCTGATCTTCAATTTAATCTGCAACCTCCTATCTTTTCTCTAGTAAATCTTAAAGTACAAACGATCCTACTGTGTTTTTTAAAACTGCATAAGTAATTTAACGAACTGCTTAATCGTAGTTCTCCACTCTATAAACTGCAAATCTAGATGTTTTGATTCTATAATATACTGATGCATCTATAGAAATTGTTACATTATCTTTTGTCATTACAGACTATATAAATTATATATAATAGAATATACCTATCTATCTAAATCAATAACTGTTATTCTTAAATCTAATTATTCTAATGTATCTGTACATGGATTAACATAATGTAATCCTGGTCTAACTACTTTTATATGTCTTCCAAATCTTTTGAATAATCCTTCAGTACCTATAACATAATCTATATAATTATTAACCTTGTTCTACTTCTTAATATGGATAATTAACACACATACAAAATATACATGGAATCCATGTCCTTAAACAACCAAAACATTCACCTAAACAATATTAACATTTTGCATATGCAATCATTGTTTAGTTATCTTAGAATTCAGGAACTTCTAAATGAGCAATCTTTCTTCGTGAATGAGCATTCATATTTTATTCAATTTATTAATATTAAAAATCAAATATGAATTATAACCACCATCAAATTATCGAAAAATGGTTATTAAGATTTAGAAAATGTCTATCTCTTTGTTATCCAGAAGATTCCTAACTAATTACTATGGAATTAAATAAAGGAAGTGTTCAATTACTCAGTGTTCCCTAAGATAAAAATATTTTTAACACGCGTAAATATACAGTATATATTCACATCTATCATCTATTCATTAGTTCCTAAATTTCCTCCCTAAAACTCTATTCACAGGATTAGTGAGATTTGGAAACATCTATCTATTAGTAATTTCATTAATTATGCTAATTGATCCAACTCTCTCACCTTTTTACCGTTGGATTACTATTTTCCCTGTTGGAATCAGTGTTTTACTCTATCTTTTTATTGAATTTCTTCTTGATATTCGTAGATAAAGTCATGATCATAAAATTAATATGTAAACTACTTCTAGAGGAGCAAAAGATGGTTCCATCGAAACTGTTAAATGGAGTGATATTCAAATTGGAGATATTTTATATCTAATCAAAGGAGATATTGTTCCTGCTGATATTATTCTTTTAGATACTGGATAAGTTAGAGATCGAGAAGCCATTTGTATGGTTGATACTTAATATTATGATGGCAAATCAACTCTAACCAAAAAAAAGTCATCCTATCTAACTTAATTAATTGTACTTAGAACTAGATTAAAGAATCAATTTCCTGAATATAGAAAAATGCTAACAGGAAAACTAGAATATCAAGCGCCCAATGGAAATACATAAAAGTTTCATGCCAGATTAAAATTAAAAAAAGATCCCAAAAATGAAGAATTAACTATCGATAATTTTATTCCTAAAGGAACTAAAATTAAATAAACATCCTGGTTGTTTGGACTAGCTATCTATGTTGGTTAAAACACTAAAACTATGCAAAGCAGTAATTACGGAGCTTTAAAAAAGAGTTTTGAAGAAAAATAATGTAATTTCTATTCATTTCTTATGGCATGTTTATCATTATTTTTCACTCTCATATCAATAATTGTACTCTTGGCAAGATCAGACGAAATGAGCTTTGCTCTAATCATTGATAATTATACTACTAATGGTATGAAAGTATTTTAATTGGCAATATTGTATGCTTAACTAATTCCAGCAACTTTATATTTATTATTCGACATAGTAAACTTCATTTCTTTATTTAAATTCGAAATAAATTAAATAGAAGAAAACATAGTGAAATACGTGAAGATAAATTCATCAAATAATTTATGTGATTTAGGACATGTTGATTACATGTTAATAGATAAGACAGGAACATTGACTACATCTTATTACAAATTAGATAATCTATTATTTGGTTAATTAGCTTTCAGTCTTAATTATGATTAGCTTTAATTAACATTAAATTAAAAGTCAGCAAAATAAGATGACTTGGATGATCCAATAAAATTTGCCAGTATAAATGATAATAATGAATATTTGATTCCATATGAGTATGATAAGAAGAGTAGTCATACAACAGAAGTTTAACCAAGTGGCAAATTATTATTAAAGAGTGTTAAGACTTCTAATAATCATCCAGTATTTAACCAAATTACTGCCTAAACATAAAATAAAAGATAGACATTTGTTAATATGGATGTGTAACACTAATAACAATTTTAAGATTATTCATAAACAAGAATGTTTTTACCATAACCAAAATAAAGAAATAGTCCAGGGAATAACAATGACGAATTTATGCAATTAGTTAATTAATTGAAAATCAGTTCTCCATAAAAGGAGTACTTATTAACTAAGGACATAAATACATTATATTATGATGCTTTTTTAAAATGTTTGATGTTGTGTCATGAAGCCAGACCAGTATTTGGAGCAGATTCTATTACATATGAATCATTTTCAAAGAATGAAGAGATATCCTTGACATTTGCTCGTTCTTGTGGTTATTCTTTAGAAAACTTGAATAAATTTGATAGTCCTGATATGTACTTATGCAAAGTTAGGGGAGATTCAATTTGGTATCAAATACTAGGATTAAATTTGTTTACATATAATAGAAATTTAAATTCAGTTGTCATCTAAATACCAATTACAATGGATTTAGAATTAGGATAGGAGCATGAGGCTCTGAATTAATTATGTGGTGAAGGATCTAAGAATAAATCATTGTTGATTTGTAAAGGAGATTATGAAGCCATAAAATTAAAATTATAATTAAATCATAAAGAAAGAGAAGAATTGGATGCTTATATCTAATAATATAAAATGAGAGGAATTAGAATGATTGTTTATGCAACTAAAGTATTGACCGAAAAAGAAACCGAAAATTACAAACAGCAATTCAATTTGTTACATAGTTCATTGACAAATTAAGATAGTTTACTAGAGGAACTTGCTATAGAATATGAAAAGGAATTAAGTTTATTGGGAATGATAGGATTTAAAGAAGAATTAAAGAATGATGCCTTAGATTTTATTAAGACTGTTAAAGAATGCAATATTAATATTTGGTTACTTAGTGGAGATTAAGAAGCATAAACTATTAGTTGTGCTTAAGCTTTGGAAATGACTGAAACTTCTAAATATTTGAGAATCGTTGCTACAGATAAGGAATAGATTTGGTTATAAATAAATACTGCTATTGGCTAAATTTAAAGTGAATTACAAAAAATATAAGAAAAGTAATAAAGTATATTGCAAGAAAAGTAATAAGAAAAAAATTCATAATTATAGTCATAAAGTAGAAGTATGATTAAATCAAGCGTAACTTTATTTGAAGGAGCTTCATATTAATAAATATTATAATTTGTTTTGGTTGTTAATGGATATTCTTTATCATAAATAAGTTAATCTGCAGATTTAATGAGTCATTTTCGATTTTTAGCATGTGTTTGTAAGAATATGATAGGATTTAATATGAATCCACAATAAAAAGAATTAGCATGTATAATAATTAAGGATTATTTTCCAAATAAACCTACAATTCTTGGGGTTGGAGATGGTTATAATGATGCTTTAATGATGTAAGCTTCACATATAAGTATTGAAATAATAAATAGCAAATTAAATCATATATATCCTTAAGTAAATGCAGGAGATATAAGTGTGAATACATTAAAAGAGATAAAGGTGTTATTATTATAAAAGTGTAAATTGCATTCAGAGCGCATCTCATCTATGATAATATATTTATTTTATTGTTCGGGGTTTTTAGGAATGACATTGTTTTTTTTTAATTGGTTTTGCTAATTTACAGCAACATCCTTACATGATTCGATGACAGTGTTTTTATTCATATTTTTATATGTTACTCCAAATGCTTTAGTAATAGGATTGGCTGACTTATAGACAATGCCTCAAGTAAACAGTTAGATTCCAACATTGTATGTAGATGGTTAAATTAGAACAAGAAGATTTGGGTTTTATTATTTGATAGAATCCTTTTTAGAATCATTTTTATCAGCAGCATTTACTTTTTATACATGTACATATATGGTAAACTATGCTTGGACAAATGATGGACATTAGAGTGATTTACAAATGGTAGCAACAAGCATTATTTATGTAATAATTACAGTTTCATGCCTAAAAGTATTATTTAGATTAATTTAACATAATGTACATATAGTAGTAATTATATCTTTATTAACTTTTGGATTGTTGGTTGGTTTTGTATTTGTAAATTATAGAGGAGAATTTAGTCAATTCGATTATTAAGAGTTGACTTATTAATTATTCACTCGTTTTAACAGTATAGTAGCTATGATATTTTGTTTATTTGGATGTTATTTTATAAATTACTTCCTTCACGATTTTATCAAATTAAATTAATTTCCAACAGTTTATGAATAGTTTGCATTTATAAATAAGGATGGAATATAATGGGAAGATTTAACACATAAAGAAATATTAAATTAGTGTTTAGATCAACATTTGTAAATATATTATTTAATATAGAAATGTTTCAACGATAATTTAGAATGTGTTTATAGACTGTACTATAACTTCTCCATACATATCAGAAATGTTAAATCCTGGTGATACAAAAGTGACTGAAATGAAACTAAAAGGTTTAACTTTAGAAATGAAAGAATTAGTTCTAGAATAAAAGTTTCTAGCTCATAGATTAAGTTAATCTTTGAATCATCTACGCTTTTTCTTATGTATCTTATTGCTTTATTTCATTGCTTATTGTTTAACAGATTTCTTTATAAATGATCTTAGAGTATTTACTGGAGTTTATTATTTAATAATCTTTGGTATTGTATTCTTAATTCTATTATTTTCATGCTCATCTATAATGGAATAAGAATATTATACTTATTCACATTTAACAGTGCTTATTATTTTTGGTATGAAGATTGCTGTTGATTGGTTATCTGATGATTTAACTATTACTTTATCAGCAACACTTGTAATATTGTTTAGTACATTTAATACAATGAATATGACAGTGATTCCTATAATGTTGTACAATATTTGTTATTTAATTTAATTAATAGTCAGAATAATAATAATAGTTATTTAATCCGATTTAAATACATCAAAGGCTACTTATTCATAGAGTAGAATATCTGTTTATGCTGCTAGCACTTAAATATTATTGGTGATTAGTATTACAATAAGATTTCTATTTACATATTATAAATCTATAAAACATAGAAGAAATGACTATTTAGCTAAGTATTCAATAGAATAAGATAATATGACAGCATAAGATATTTTGAGTATATTAGTACCAAGATTTGTTAGATAATAAATATCAACTGGAATATATTCAATGTAATAAGCTTAAGATGATGTTTCTATCTTATTTGCTTATATATGTGATTTTGATACAATAATGAAGGAAGAAGGTAAGAATGTAGTATTAATGTTGGATTAATTATTCAGACTATATGATAATTTATGTATTTAACATGGAGTTTAAAAGATTGAAACAGTTGGATATACTTATATGGCTGCAACTGGAATTAAAGCTTGTGAATAGAATATGACAGCGCATGTGATAAGAACTGAAAAAACTATGAGGTTAGTGAATATGGCATTTGATATGATGGAATAAGTACAAGGAAGAAAATATGGAAAAGGTAATTAAATAGAAATGAAAATCGGAATTCATGTAGGAAGAGTAATAGCTGGAGTAATAGGACATCATAAACCCTAATTTTCATTAATAGGAGATCCAGTTAATTAAACAAGTAGAGTTGGTTCCACAGGAGATACAGGAGCAATTACATTAAGTGAATAAGCTTTCAAATAAGCGAGACATGGAATCAAATACTATTCGAAAAAGTAGAAGGAAGCTAAAGGATTAGGAATTATAGATACTTATTAAGTTTATAAGACAAAACCAATTGGTTATTAGATACCTAAAGCATTTTTGCTTTGGTAGAATTGTACTAAAATTGTTGTAAAAGATATGAGATAATAAAGAAGTCAGAGATAGATTGTACCAAAGAAAAAGGGCTAATTCTTATCTCAGCTACACAATTCAATTTATTAAGATAATATGAAATAATCAAATAAATTAGAAATATCTCCTAGAGCTCCTTAAACAGTTTAATTTTTGATGCCTTAGAATTCACCTTAAGAACCAGAGAATAAATCAAAATTAAGTCTGCCTATGCAACCATCTGAAGCTATTTTAACAGATGAATCAATGTTAATTGCAAATGAACAGGAGGAAAAAGATAAATTAGATTTAATAAAACCAAATCTAATATTAGAAATACCTGAGAATGAGATTAAGATCAATTTTAATTAAATATTAAAAGAACAAAATCTTGATGAATCAAAGATAGGTATGATATTTTTATGGTTCACTTATTTTGTAATTACCTTACTTTCGGTTATAGTTCGAAAATTATTCGAATACGATCTACTTATTTTTGTTTTAAGAGTATTAGATTATTTTATAAATTAGGCTATATTTCTAATCTTAGTAATAGTACTATTTCCAATATTATCCAAAGCATATAGATAGGTATTCGTCAATTTTATGTATTATCTATTATTAATTTATGCTGTCTTTACAGTTTTATTCTAGGCTTATTTAACTGATAATTGGGAAGTAGCAATGATTTGTCTTTTAGAAGTATTATATATAATGATTGTTACATGCTAATTGAAAATGTTCACCTTTTTTTAAATCATAATTTATATGTTCATAATGCTTACATTTTTCTTAGCATTTTATATCGCATCAGATTTAGTAACTCATTTTGCAATATTTTATATTTGTTGTTGTATGCTAATACTACTTCTTGGATATTATTTAGCAATGAGTGAATAAATATAGATGTTTAATAATTTATAAATAAATGAGGAAAAGAAAGTTAAACAAATTAATTTGGTTAGTTAATTATTACCTATGCATTCATATTTGAAAATGAAAAATAGTTCGATTTATGACAAAAGTGATTTTATTGATGAATTCGATGATGTAACACTCTTATTTGCAGATATCAAAGGATTTACAGAATATTCGCATACTCAAACACCTGAAGGAGTTGTTACAATGCTTAGAAATCTATTTACAGAATTCGATAAATTATGTTAAAAATATTATGTATATAAAATGTATACAATTGGTGACTGTTATGTTGTTATGGGATTTACTAATAGTGCTAAAAGAAATGTAAATATATATATATTATATTATTTTATAGCCTATTTAAGAAGCCATTAATACTGTTAAAATGGGATTCTAAATGGTTGATATTATAATGTAAGTTAGATTGAAAATTAAATTTGATAAACTTAATATGAGAATAGGTATTCATACTGGATAAGTTACAGGAGGTATTATTGGAACTGATATAGTCAGATATGATATTTATGGTAAAGATGTATCTATTGCAAATAAAATGGAAAGCAGTGGAGAAGAAGGAAGAGTGTAAGTTTCATAAACTACAAAATAAATGATAGAAAGAGCAGAAAAACATCCATTTAAATTTAAATTCCATCATGTATTCATTTCTATTACTGTTAGGATGTTGATTTAAGTAAATTTAATATGACCACTAAAGGATATTTAGTAGAATGGGAGAAAACAAGAGATGAAGTCAGTTTAGAATAATTCTGATACTTAAATATTTAAAATTATTATTATTTTCATATTTTCTGATTGTTATTTTATAATGATTATTATCTTATCCATTTTTATTTCATTCCTACCAATCAAATTATATCTACACTTATCCATTCTAACTTTCAAATTCTATCCAACTACTTTCTATCTTTTTATTCATTCTCTTTTATTAACTCTTTTCTCTTCTATAACACATTCTTATCATAAATCTATCATTACCTTTATTCCAATCTATTATTCTACTTTTTTTTACAATAAAATAAAATTAAAATAAAAGAAGAAGGACAAAATATCCTCTATATTATTAGAAATTGTATTCAATTTATTTAATCTTTATAAAACTATTAAAAATTCATGCACCAAACCCATAAAGAGTTCTTCCTTATCTCTTTAATGAGTAAACAACATCCATTACTGTAACAGTCTTTCTTCTTGCATGCTCTGTGTATGTAATTGCATCTCTTACAACATTCTCTAAGAAACTCTTTAAAACATTTCTTGAATCATCATAAAGAAATGATGAAATTCTTTTTACTCCTCCTCTTCTTGCTAATCTTCTAATTGCTGGCTTTGTTATTCCTTCTATTGAAGCCTTATTTGGTTTTCTTGCATGTCTCTTTGCACTCACTTTCCCTATACCTTTTCCTGATTTTCCTGCCATCTTCTTATTAATTTATTTTAAATTTAGGAAATTAAATTAGGAGCTTGTATATTTTTATTTTTAATCCGAATATTCATAAATCAACCAATCATAATTTTTGTTTAGAAAAGTTTATTTATATAGGTCTATTTCAATTTTATCATATAAATACTTTCCATCTATTTCGATACCATTCATGTTGGCTAAAACTGTAAGGGCTACTTCGGTACTTAGATACTTAATAATGGATAAGTATTTATTTCCAGTTGTCAAAATTCTTAATAAAAGTAATAATTACTTTAGAGCTTTGATTTAACCAAAATCTTGCATAAATTATTACATAACTTAAGTTTAACAAGAGTTTTTGGTTAAATTAGAGATTTAAATTGTATCACAAGGGGGAGCAAGAGTATAAGTAGAATCAGGTTTAATACGATGAGTATCTTCGCTTCCTTAAAAATATTCTTCTTATGTTTTAATATCAAAAACAATCTCTCCAGGTTTTGTAGGCTATGTTTTTAAAGAGATTTCTTCATAATTAGAGAAGAAGATCTATTTATTACAATATTATACCTTAATTGATTATCCATAAAACATGATATCATTTAGAGATTCTTTAGCAATAGCTGCATGTTCTGACATTATATATTATATTAAGCAACTGGATCTTTCTTTTAAAAATATCATTTTGTCAATATTTCCGTAAATGCTAAAAATATTATATAACATAGTTGATGTTACAACCTTTTTATCAAACCATCTTGCATAAATTACTTTAGATTTACGAGCATCTAAAATATAATTAAGAATTTATTTACTTTTTAAGAATTATTAATTGATATTATGATCTATTTTTTCAGGCTATTTTTAAATAGTTTAACTTTTTGATGTTGGTTATTATATTGATCTCTAAATTTTTCCTTTGCTAATTAATTAATCTATATTGTCAACACTTCTAAAAGATTATTCAATTGTATTTTTTTATGTTTATTTTTCTACTTCAATAGCTACTTTATTATCAACTTTATCAAATAACATATCTTAATTTAATTTCTTAAAAACCTACTATTTATCTTTTTCACTAAATCCTTAATTTTAATCAACAAATTTAAATAATTCATTATTTATATCTTCATCATCATCATCAGATTATTCATTTAATAATTAATTTTCAAATTAATTTGAATCATCTTCTTCATTTTCTGAATCTCTCAAACCTAATCCATTAAAATTCAATTCATCAACTTTATTGACACTTCTGCCATCACTTTGATATATGTTTTAAATTTGCATTTAATCTATAAGTTTATCTTAACTATGAAACATAACATCTTTAGTAATATCACTTTCATGATAACTTTAAATGAATTCAATTTGATCACCATTTTTAATTTTTTTATCATTTGGTAATGTTAATTTCTTTATATTTGATCTTCCATTTTTACTAGATTCTAAACTTATAGATTTCTATTCATCTTATTAATTAAATCCCTATAAAAAATTTTAATAATTATCTGTAACATTCTAGAATGTTTATTAAAAGTCATTAATATCTTTTAAAATTGATTGTTATTTTTCGATTTAATTTAATAAATCTGTTGATTATTATAGTGGAGTTGCAAAACCTTCAACACATACTTGTTACAACTAACCCATCAAAGAGTTTATTTATTGAATTTATTATGACATTTGATTTTAAAACTACATTTGGAATTATAAAAATTAAAAATTTTATTAAGGTAATGTTTACACAAGCTTTTAAGATTAAGAAGATTAATTTATTTCATTTGGTGGAGATTATTATTATTATTCTTTTTATTTTTACCTCAATAGCGTATAATCTAACATAATTTTAAAATATCAAATTACCAACACCTCCAGTGTTATTTTCTTAGAATGTTATTATAGTTAATTTACTTGCATAGACATTCATTAACAATGTTTGATCGTCACAGAAATATTTGTCATTCATTTAAATTCTTGCCTTTAAAGCTGATTCTGCATTATCATATTCAATAAATGTTTTCCAAGTAAGAGATCTTTCGAATATGAGCATCTATTCATATATTTAAAAGTAATAATTACTCTTTATATTGTACCAAAAGGACTAAAAACTTTAAAATATTTATCATGTCCCAAAGTTTTATTTGCTTTATTTGTAATGACTACTAAAATTACATTTGTAAGAGGAGTATCAGAATTTCTATCGATTTAAGAATTCATATTTAGATTTAAAGATTTATAAATATTTATTTTTTTATTAAATATTTACTTATACATTATTAAGTAAAATAGATATATATTCATTTGATTCCAATCAAATTAAAACAGAACACAACGAAATATTCTAATAAAAATGCTCTTATTTATTATTTTCTATACTATTTACATTATTTAAAATAATTTTATTAATAATGTCCGATAACACACTAAAAATTTGGATGCAATAATTAAATGATCTTTTAGGACATTTAACCGAAAAAATACAAAATTGTTTTGATTAATGCGCATAATAATAATAATATAAAAAAGAAGAAACAAAAATAAATGATTGGATTAAATATTTGCCATAGGATTAACTCACTTATGATAATCAAGATGTTTATGTAATGAAACACATAAATGATAAATTCATTTTAAAATAATTTGTTTTCTAAAAAAGATATGAAGAATAAATATATGAAGTTAAATTATTTGATAGTTTTTCAGAAGCAGAAATACAGCAAGGATAATATGAAAATTCAATTTTTGAATTCTAAATAATCGATAATAATGCTCTTCTATTAAGTATATAATTTAATGTAGTAAATAGTTAAACAATCATACAAATCAAATACTAACAAATCTGAAAAATAAAATGCTCTCATTATTAAAGAAATTTATACAGGATTTATTTAGGATAACATTTTATGGCTTTCCCTAATAAAAAATGTTAGTCTATGTTAATAAGCAGCCTTTCATCCCTTAAATCCAAATTATTTAGTAGTTTTACAAACATCTTAAGAGTGGAATAGATAACACACTTTTTAAAAGTATTATAATTTTATCATAATTTAGAGAATAATATTTTATGGTGTTTTAAATAAAAAATCCTAGATAACCAATTGTGAGAATCAATCTTAATTAGGCTATGAATGGAAATGCTTTGGCTTTCTCTTTTTCTTAAAGTGAAGATCAAAATTAATTCCTCATTTACTTTATAAATAATTTAGGACTAATATTTTATTATGAATTGATACTTCATGATATGGTTTTTAAATTGTAGACTAAAATGTATCTGCAGGCTTCTAAATAGGAATTAGTTTAGTTTGTCAAAGAAAGACCTGATAAGGATTTTAAAATTAATTATGATGTTACTAAATAAGATGAATATTAAAGAGGAAATATCAAATTCTAATCATTTGAAAACTCCAATTATTAATTTCCAAAAAGTAATAATTATCTTTTATTTTAAAAAATGGCTATTGCTGAATATCATTTATTCTTTATAATTGCTAAATAAACAAACCAAGATCTTATTGTACAAGTACTTATTGCAAAAGATTTATAAAAACTCTATGAAATTTATTAAGATGAAGTTAAATTCTAAAAATAAGTTGACAATGACCTCTTAATATCAAATATATATAAGAATTAATAACCTAAAATTATATATTCAAGTGATAATGTGACTCATGTAGTTCAAAATTAATTAGATTTTCCAAACAGATATCAACTCCTTATATTGTATCATAATTCATTAATATCTATTGATTATTCAAATGTAGTTTAATATAAATAAGATTAATCTCCTATAAATGTTACTTGTATTGACTTAATACCATTTGCAAATGAATATTAAGATTAATCTAATTAAGAACCTTTCATTCTTTAAGTATTATGTTTAGATCTCTACAAATCTAAATAATTACTTCTAAGAATGACTAATAGAACCTAAAAATAAACTTTCCAACTTTTACCTTAAAAATTATTATTAAGTATAACAGAATAAAATTAAGAAATTAATAAATTGGCTTTCGATTTTTTTAATGAATAGAATGTTTATTTGATGAATAAAAAAGCATTATAAGATTTCAAGAAATATCTTGAGTTTATTAACTCATAGAAACTACCATAATGTAAAACAGAAGAAGAAATAATCTCTATAAATGAGGAATTAGCTAATAAATTTCATTAATCAATTAAAGGAGTTGCAATTAAGATTAAATTAGAGGCTGAAAATGTAACTAAATTATAAAATATTTTAGATGCATAATGATATAGAAGTGAAACTTTAAGGAAATTTAAGTTAATAGGAGACAATAAATATTTCACTTCAAAAAAAAATTTCAGAGAAAAACGAAAAAATAAATTCTTTACTAGAATAGTTGCAATCTATACCAGCATCAGCAATAAGACAATAATTAATAAATTAACAAAAACAGTAAGATCTAGATTCTTTTAAAATCTAATTTGATAATATTCAAGAACAATTTAAACAAAATAAATAATAATTGGAAGAATAGATATCATTGAGTAATCGAACAAAATAAGATATAGAGGCTATTTAATCAAATCTAATTTAGCAAATATTATAAAAAAAAGAATGATTATGAGATTTTAGTTGTTTGAATAATTCATTAAAATATTTTAACATTATTTATTATTTAAGCGAATTTCTAAATAATATTAAAATTTATTATACTATACAAGCGAAATGTAAATTGCGATTGGAAAACAATTGAATATATTATTTAACCTATCTATAAATAATGATTGCTTATGTTAGTAAGAGTTTTTAGTAATTTTACATTTTTTTTGAAACTTCTGATCCAACAAAAATGTATAAATAGAAAAGGGCTTTTTTCAGAATAGTCGTTAATATTCTTATGATAAAGGTTAAAAATTGGTTTAAATTTTTTCTTATTTTCCAAGTGTTTAAAAAAAAACTTTTGTATAAAAATAATTATATTACGTATATTTTTGAATAAAATTAAATAATTCCTCATATAGTTATTTATTTATGTAAACTAGAAATTGGGAAAGCAAGAAACAACGATTAGAAAATCTAAATCGCTAAAATGAATCAAGTAAATGGATTATTAAGTTTATTTAGAAGATAAACAGAAAAGTGTCCAGTAGATATCAGAAAATAATCGAAATTTTTTCTGTAATTTTTCAACCTTTTATGAAGCATATAAAGATAAGAAGATCCCATCAATAGAGTATTTAGCATATTTATTTAGATTTTTAAAAGAATAATTCCATATATAAGAACTTTTTACAAATGAATAAATATTAGAGCTGCAATAAGAAATGTCTATTTAATGGATTTCAAGAATTAAAAAGAATTGGACTGATGAAGATAAATAAATACTGATATGGATTGTATTGAAAATCTGTTCAAGAGATGGCATCCACATTAGAAAAATTGTATACAAATATATTTATAAATATAGCCAACTTAAGTATGGGAGGAAGTAGTATAATTAATCAGTAGAAGGACTATTGAATAATGTAAAAAGAAATGGAATGATTTATTAAAATTATCCTTATAACAAATACCATGGACATAAGATTAAGATGAATAATTAATATCATTGATTAAGTAATAATTTAAAAATTAGCCTTAGTTAAAGCAAAGATGATGGAATGTAAAATAAATGGTGTAATTTAGCAAATTAGTTAAATCTATAATTCAAAGATTTTCCAAGAACAGGAAAATAATGTAGAGAAAGATGGAATAATCATCTTAATCCTGATATTAATAAAAATCCCTGGAGTATAGAAGAGGATATTGAATTGTTAGAATTAGTCAAAAAGAAACAAAAAAAATGGGCTTTCATCTCAAAAGTATTAAAATCAAAGAGAAGTGAAAATGCTGTTAAGAACAGATATAATTGTTTATTGAAAAAAAATAACTGTTAATAGATTAGTACTTTAATTGATATTTTGAAAACTAGATAAAGATCTGAGAATCCGAAAGCTTCTAAATAAGTAGTTAAAAGAAATAAATTAACTAATATAAATTAAAGTACTATTTATTAATTAATTTTAATTAAGCTATAAAACCATAAACCCAAAAAATTATTTAAACCAATGAGTACATTATATAATAGTTTGATTTAGTTGATGAAAATAAACTTAAATAATTAGTTCCTGCCTTTTATGATTCAAAAACTTAAACTCTATATTTAAGTAATAATCAACAACTAATCTCATTTTTGAGTAACCAAATGATAAAAATTGAAAGTGAATTTAATATCTAAAATTTTGATCAAAACAATTAATAACATGACTTATCTAATCAGATGAGTGGGTTGTTAAATTAGGTAGACTCATCAAACTTTGCAAAATTGGTATCTGCTGTTTTTACCAATTAATAGCAGCCTAATTAATAAGAAAAAAAGTATTTTAAATTATCAATTAAATTAAGATCTTAATTTAATATACCTGGAGTACAGAATGAAAAAATAAATTCAGATAAGCTTAACGAAAATAATCCTCCTACCACTTTTTCATTTTTTTCTTCAAAATTGAATGATACTTAATTAAATACTTAATTAAATGTCAAAGTTAGAGATCCATAAGAGAAAGAAGATGATAATAATTAAGTAATAAGCTAATTTAAATGAATGATAGCTCAAGATTATTTATCATTGTTAATCAGTAAAATTAAATTTTTAACTCATAAAGTTTCCTCTCTATTGCCTAATTTAATTCTGTTACAATTGTAGATTTGTGCATTTCTTCTCTTATATCAGGAAAATAACCATATTTTAGTTTTGGTTTGAACCCTTATAATGTTTCACAAAAAATATTAAAATATAGTTAAATAGTTTTAGAATTGTTTTTAGCCTTCTATTTTTAATTTAATTGTATTCTAAAGAGCTTTCAATGATAGAGCCAATCAAATATAAAATCTTTTTACTTTTTCTATTATAAAAAATAGTACAGTAATTTTTGTCTTCCAAATTTAATAAATAAATTTAGGTTGTTATTATAAGTGATCATTATATCATTTAAGGTCCAAAACTACTTAATTATACAAATATTAAAAAAGATTTATCAATTGATGTATTTTTTGACAAAGTAGTTTTATTTATCAAAATTTTAATTATAAAATATTGAAAAACAACTAATTACTATTATTAAAAAAAAGAAGTACATTTAAAAAAACAAAAGGATTTACGAATAAATTTTATATTTACAATGATCAAAAAAAAAAAGAAAAATATGATAAAAAAATTAGTAGAAATTGAAGGTTTATATTTTTAAGAATAAAATTTTGATTTTTCTTTTAACTCAACAAATTTTTAAGATAGAATTAATCTTGTTGATTCTTTTTTTTTCTCTTAAGATTGGAAGTGTTTACTAAAAGATGAAAATAAGTTAACTTGTTTCTTCATATTCTTTAATTATGAATCTTTCTCAGAAGTTTTGGTTAAAGAAAAATAAACTATGTTTTAACTTTGCAAATAAGTTGATTAAATTTACATACATATTAAATTTGATATGTTTTTCTTTAAAAAATGATTTATAATTACTTACTATTTAAAAATTAAATATCAATAATATTGATTGTATCAATTATAAAGTAAAGATGAAATAAGAAACTAGTATAATATATATATTTTAAACATTCAAATCAGCTCAATGTGAGATAGTATATTTAGAGTGAGAGATGAGAGTCAAAGATCTCTTTTAAAATTTTATATAAATTTTTCATATATATTATTCGTTATGATTTTAGAATATCATAGTGTTTAAAAAAAACTTAATTAAAACAGATTTAAAGTTCCAATAATGATGAACTCAGTTAGATAGAGAGAGAATAGAAAACTTTCACAAAATCAAAAGAGTTAGAACTACAATCTTCCGAAAAGAGCTTCATCATAATTTAAGTAATAAATTTTAAGAAGATAAAGAATCTATCATTTACCAAGTATCTCTAGCAATTCTACATGCTGTAGTAATTCATGTACTTCAAGTCCTCCTTAAAGTCGTTCCAAATTAGAAGAGGATAATATTGAGAGTATAATATATATAACCAAATAGATGTATTAGTTTCAAAAAATACATAATAAGATCCATTGAGTTACTTTAACTATGATGATTTTAATGGAGTACTACCTGTAACGATAAATGGAATTAAAATTTTGAAAATAGATTGGAGTTATTTTACAGCATCTCCAAATATGTAATCTCCATGGAAAGCTCATTGTTTTTGGACAGTTGGATATACATTTGATATTAATATGAGGAAGATGAAAAGATCATAAAATATTAGATATCGTTTAATCATATAAAGTTGGTGTTGCTTAAATAATAAATCATGGGTTAAATAAAAATGGGATAGATTATTAGAACATGAAACAGGACATTATTTAATTGGTTGTTTATGTGCTTTAGATTTTAAATAAAAGTAAAAATATCAAGAAACCTAAAATTAGAGCAGATAAATTCAAATATACTAAAAATTATCGAATGGAATGTACAAAGTTATTCTAAGATACGTTTTAGTTTTATTTGCAAATGGAGAAATAATATGATGAAGAAACTAATCATAGTCAAAATGTAGCAAAACAAAAAGAATGGAATCAATTCATTAAATAAGAACTTTTAAAATATTGACACAATAAAGTTTCTCAATCAAAATATATTTCTACTCCTTATTAATCATTTATTAATATAAATACAATAAATTATATATTAATGCTATATATATATATCATTTTAATGAAAAATAAATCATGAATTCATTCTTGAATTTTCGTTAAGCTATTTTTTAAATCAACATATTTAATAATACAAATAATAACAAATTAACTAATTTTATGTTCAAAGAAATAAAACAAGAATTAGCTTAAAAATATAAATAGTTAGAACTTGATCAAATTGAAATTATGTAGAAACTGTAGGCTTATAAAGAGTCTGCATAAAATAAATTAAATTTAGATAATAATTCATTATTAATTGATGATATATAAAATTCATCAATCCTTTTGCTTTCTAATACATAAAGGGATATAGCAGATAGAACAATTATTGAATTAAAAAAAGCATTAGAAGAAAGTGAAAGAGATAGAGAGAATAAAATTGAATAAATTAACGAATTAAAAAAATTAAATTAAAAATTATATGAAGAGTTAAATATAGCGAAAAACAATGTTATTAAATAAAATAAGTTATTGAATGAAATCACTTTTTAAAAGGAAGAATTGTTAAATTAGATAAATTTGATGAAAAAATATAAATCAGCAGACTGTTCATTTTATTAAACATCAATTACTGATATTACAAATTAAGATATATCAATATAAATGAATAGAAAAAAATCAATGTCTCAATATGAATCAAATGAATAAAAAGAATTGAAACAGTATAAAAGGTTTTCAGATTGCGTTAAGGATATGATAGTAAAATTATAACCAAAATTATATGATAGTAAGTTAATTTAATAATAACCTTTTAGATTAGAATGTATCACTATAAGATGCTTGGAAATGGTTGAAGATCATTATTAATGATTACGTTCAGATAGCTAATACTATAAAATAGTTAAAATAGATTTTAAATGTAGAGTAGCCTTACATAGTTTTGGAAGTATAATAATTAATCAATATGATTGTTTATAAATAATGATTCATAATCACAATTTTTAATTCTATTTCTATAATAATGATATATATTAATTTAAATAACAAAAATTCAAAAAATGGATAATAAGAAAAAAAAGAATAAGAATAAAGGTAAATAAGAATAATAAACTTAATAATAATAATAACAGACATAAAATTAAATAGTACCTGCAGGTTAATAACATCATCATGATCATCATGGAAATGAAGATCATCATCATGATCATAATAATTGTAATCATGGATTACCTAGTGATCTTCCTAATCTTGATCCTACTAGTTTATTAAATGGTTTAAGTAAAGGAGAAGGATTACTTGGTAGTTTAAGTATGATTCCTAAATTGACTGAAATGTTAAATTAATTAAGTAATTTTGGAGGTTAAGCTTTCAAACCTGATGATCCACTTCCTGATTTCACTAAATTTGATTCAACTAAAGTATTCAATTTAATATTTTATAATAGTAAACCTTAGAAGTCGCTATCGAAGAATTCTAAAAAACTATTGAGAATGTTTAAAAGAAAGATTTTAATCTAACAAAACCTGTTGTATAAAAATAACAATAATAAAAGTTATCCAAATAATAATAACAATAAAGAGAAAAGTATTATATCATCTTATCATTATTATAGAAATAATTAAATTATTAAATAAAACATAGATTATCTAAATACATTATAGAAGGATATGAAGAAACTCTTATAGGATGTAAATAGTTTAATTTAATCTATTAGTAATCCCTTAGTGGAATTGCTCCTATATTAAATTAAGGAATTGAGAATTTAAATTAAGATATCTAGTATTATTAAAAGTAATAGGAAGTATGAGAATTAAATTCTATTAATATTAATATTAATTATCCAATTATAAACAACCATAAATTAATTATCTAGGGTTCTCTATTTTTCATCTGCATTTAACCAATTATAGATTTAATTCTTAGATACAAGTCGAAACTTTCATCTTTACTTGCTTAATTTCATAGTTATTATGCATTCAAGATTTTATATATCATAAATTGTTTTCATTAAAATTTTAATGAATTAAAATACTCAAATACGCACTATTTATATTTGAATACTGAACTAGTTTAAAAACATAATATTAGAAACAAAATGTATTGTGAGATAATTCAGAGTTTGATAAATTCAATATTGGATTTTTGACAATTTAAGTTGGTTTATTTGCTTATTTAATTATTTGAAATATCATCCATTTAAAGGGTAAGAGTTTGAGGAGGAATTTATGTGTATTAATAAAAATATAATATATTCGTCTAATAAGAAATGAATCAATAAGAATATATGAATAGAATCTTTTAAACCTAGTTAGCCAATTCAACTTTTTTAATCTGTCTTTAATAATAACCCTAATTGTTTTAATACAGTATTATTTAATATATAAACCTATTAGTAGTACCTTAATATTTTTATGGAGACATTGCTTAATAAAATGCAGGGATAACATGTGTTTAATATAGTAGCAATTAAAATGAAACTAAAATTAAGGAATAATAAAATTAAAGCAACTTACAATAAGCTTAAGTCTTAGGAGAGCCTTTATATATAAAAAATGAAACAGAACGAGAAATAAGTGAGAATAAATATAATGGTATAAAAAATCTATTCAATTTATTCTATAGGTCATTGGACTAAAGAGGAACATGAATTATATCTTGAATTCGTTGATAGTCATTATGATATATTGAAGTCAAAATATGATAAAAAATCTAAAAAGATTTTTAAAATGATGAGCTAATATATACCATCACGAACTCCTACATAATGTAGATCTCATCATTAAAAATTTAATCCTCTACAATAAAATAAGAGAAAGAAAAGGTTTAAGTTAGAAAAATATTGATAATATAATCATATGAATATTAATATTGATGTCTATTATAATTCTAATCTATTATCCAATTAAATGAAATAAATATTTGATAATGATTAATTGCTTTATTATTATATTGATATAATTTTATTTTAATGGAAATAAATTGTAAATTGCCTCCAAGGATAAAAATGAATCCATTATATTATAGTAATGGTGTTAGACCTATGAATTAATAACGAATTAATCCAAATGATTAGAGAAGATACACAACAGATTTAGATGCTTAAAGAAAATATTCAAAAAGTTAGAATTAATATCAGCAAAATGATTCTAAGTATAAGTATATTTAATTGATTAGTGTAAATAATAAGAATTCTATTTAGAATTAGAAATCACCAGGAATAGCAAGAGCTAATACTGCAGATAAATAATAATTAGAAGATTTAAAAAAGCAATATAATTCTAATTAGGAGAAAAAGAAACCACAGTAACCATAATTATTCAAAGTGTAGAGTTAAGCAAAACCAATTTTTGAGAATTTTAGTAAGACTTAGAGTCAGAAATTAAAGAATCATAGTTTTGTTACTTAACATAAGATGAATGAGAAACCACATTCTTTTAAATAGATTGCATAGACAAGTTCTTCACATTTATCAAATTGTAAATGATGAGAATAATTAATTTAGTGTATTATGTAGGAGATCTATAGAATGCAATATTGAATCAGCAATCTAAAAATTCAGGATTGTTTCGTGAACATATTGAAGCATCTTTTACTTACATACCTATAATAAAGAATTTAGAAATTGAGAAATAGTAGTTAAAAGAGAAACTATTAAATATTCCATTAGATAAAACAAAAAAATGTAAGGAGTAATTTATAAAAATAAGACAATAAGACAATAATATTTGATATGGATGAAACCTTAATACATTGTAATGAAGATGAGAATGATAAATGTTAATTAAAGATAGACATTCAATTTGAAGATGGAGAAATCATCTTAGCTGGTATTAACATTAGGAATTTCGCTAAAGAAATAATTAAAAAGCTAAGTGATTTATGTGAAGTGATGATCTTTACTGCATCATAAGATATTTATGCTAATAAAGTATTTGAAATGTGTGTATAGATATAAGGTTATAAATATTTTGGATCCAAATTAAAAATTAAGTTATAGAATCTTTAGAGAAAGTTGTATCACTGTTGGAGATAACAATTTAATTAAACATTTAGGAGTTCTAAATAGAGATTTGAAGAATGTGGTTTTAATTGATAATTCATCATATAGTTTTGCGTAATAATTGATTTTAACATAAAGTTAGACACCATTTAGAGAACGGGATTCCGATTTTACCATATTACAATGATGAAAAGGATAATCAATTGATCAAATTGTATAGATATTTATGTTAATACATTTTGCCAGTTGATGATGTTAGACCTGTAATTTTAGAACATTTCAAATTGCATAAATTACATTAATATGATAATGTAGAAGAAGCTGTATAAAATTTATATTTTTGAAAATATTCTTCTGTATATTTTGTTAACACATATTTTTTAAATAGGAAATGCTTTAATTTAATACATATTTCAGATTAAATGCAAGCTGAAAATGACCATTAATAAGAGAGTTCTAATAACATTAATCATCTTCGTTATAAATCATCATATGTATGAAGTATTCCAAATATGATTTCAGTTAATAAGATAAAGACGAAAAATTTATGATGACAATGATTTTAAAGAAGTTGTCAAAAATTTCTACAATTTAGTCTCCGAAATGAATAGAGGTTAATAATCCGTATAGCCATTATTAGTGAAGAAAATATAGAAAGCTCCTATACGTAAATAGCCTCAATAAGTGAAATAAAGAAATACAAGCAAAAATAAGTAACTAACAAAAGAACTTCCTTATTCTAAAAGAGAGATTCATTTTGGACCTGATTAATAAGCCAAATAATACTTTAACTCTTGTTTCAGTCATTAAATTATGAGTCATTTATTGCCTAATTTTGATTAATCTTCTGGGAAATAAGCAGCTTTCTTATATGATAAACCCAAACCTCATCTTCAATTTAAACGAAATCAAATGCATATTCAAACAGCTTATTAAATATATATAAAGAAGTTTGATTCTAAATATGTTGAAACACAGGATCCTACATCAATAGCTAGAAAAATTATGAATTCCAACTTTAATTCTAAAGTAAAAATTCATTAAAGAACCAGACCCAATACTAAGAAGAGGAGAAGGAGAGTGATAAATCTGATAAATGCAATAGATCTTATGAAGATGGTAAAAAGAAACCTTTAAAAGAATTAGTTCGAGAATTTTAGAGTGATTAATGATTTTAAAAAACATCAAAAGTAATAAAATAAAAAAAGAGAAGTATAAAAATAAAATAAATCTATTTTTAATAATAGTAGTATTTTATTGTATTATTGTAATTATTTTACAATCATTTAATATGTTCTTTGAAAAGAGAAAAGATCTTTAAGGTTGAGGGGATTTTAATTAGATTAACAATAAAAAATTGAAATAATTCAAATGTTTGTCTTATTCAAATAAGAATAGAGAGAGAGTAGTGTAATATTTTGATTTAAAAAACGGAGTATTATTAAATAATTCTTTTTGTTACATAGAGACATTCTATTATTGATAATTAATTGTAAAAAATAAAAGGACAAAAAAGAATATGAATTGTAATTGAAATTTGTATTTTACACTAGAATACAAACTTGTAGGAAAAAAAGGTGAAGGAACATTTTCAGAGGTGATAAAATCACAATCTTTTAAAACAGGAAACTATGTAGCTATAAAGTGTATGAAAAATAAATTTACATCAATTGAATAAGTAAGGTATTAGATGAAGATAAAAGGTCAATCATTTGAGAGAGATTTAAGCATTAAGAAAATTAAGTCCTCATGAACATATCATAAAGTTGATTGAAGTTCTATAGTAACTTATTTTAATATAATAATGATAGTGATGAACCAACAGGTAGATTGGCATTAGTATTTGAATTAATGGAATAGAATCTATATGAACATATCAAAGGTATAAAGATATTGATTATAAATAGGTAGAAGATAGCCGTTGAATCCATAGAAAGTTAAATCCTTTATGTACTAACTGTTAAAATCGATTGAACATATGCATAGAAATGGTATATTCCATCGAGACATAAAGCCGTAAGTAATTATAATATAAATAGTGAAAACATTTTATTGAATTCAGACCATTTGAAACTTGCAGATTTTGGATCATGTAAAGGCATATATTCTAAACATCCTTATACAGAGTATAATAATCTATGATGATGATAATAGATATATATCGACAAGATGGTATAGAGCTCCAGAATGTTTATTGACAGATGGATATTATGATTAAAAAATGGATTTATGGGGTGTTGGATGTGTAATGTTTGAAATCATAGCATTATTTCCTCTATTTCCAGGAACCAATGAATTAGATCAAGTTAATAAGATTCATAATATTTTGGGAACTCCTAATCCAAAGGTTTTTGATAGATTCAGAAAGTTAAACTATTCAATCTTAAAATTTTAGATAAGCTACACATATGGAAATTAATTTCCCAAATAAACATGGAAGTGGAATTGAAAGACTCTTATAAGGATAAACAAAAGAATGTATTGATTTAATCAAAATGTTATTGGTTTATGATCCTGAGGAAAGAATTACAGCATAATCTGCTTTAAAACATGAATATTTTAAAGAATTATATGAAGCAGATGCAACTCAAAAGAGTTTTTAGCATACTCTATAATAGATTAGAATCTCTAATCATCGAGAATAGTAAGACAAATCTATATAAAATATAGGAATGATAATTCATTAGAAAGAAGTCAAAGAATTGAAGAAAACAAATAAATTCATTAACCTAATTTTAAAAAGACATAAAATTATTATGCAAAATCATAAAAGAAATCAGGAGTATATATATTTAAATATATAGTTACCATCATTATAATTCGATCTTAAAGTTGAAAGTATATATAAGAATACTTAACATCATGATAGTGATGATGATTTAGATAAGTAATCTTCAAATAAATAAATGATGTTGCCTGAAATCAAAAAGAAAAAAAAATATGATCCTAAAGTTATCTATGGTAAATAATAATTCCAATCCAATTAAGCATATTAGTTTAATTCCAAAGGTATATTACATATATATAACAATTAAATAGCTGCTAAAAAAATGGCACCTGGATTATAAGCAGATTATATTGTATATGGAAAGAAAGCTATGAATTAATAAGTCTTAGGCTGACTAATTTAATTTTTGAATTTTATGATTCATCATAATATTAATATGCTTTTTTGAATCATCATCATATTTCCAATTATAATTAAAAATGAAGATATTAGTGATAACATGTTTAATGGTTCTTACCTTAGCTACCCCTTTAGACAAAATCTAAAAGATTAATGTTCCTTGTATTGAAGAAATTGGTTACCTCACCAAAGATCTATTTGTATTTGGCTTAGACATTGCAAGACATAAATTCTGTAGAGAAGTTAAAGATGTTGTCGTCATCATTATGGAAATTGTCAAATTAAAAAAGGCTTGCTCATCATCTGATAACTAAGCTATTTTAGAATAACATAATCAAACTTTAACATGTTTACAAAATTCACTTGATATTGCTGAAGATGCTTATAATGCATATAACACTTTTACTTAAAGTGGATTCACTGATGATTTCATTGATTAAACAACCAATATCTAATAATAACTAGTATCCACTTTAAGTAGATGTAGTGCAAAAACTAAATTACTTGAAGACATCTTTCCTGCTCATTGTATAAACGTCATGAATGATATGGCCAGAGATGCTCTATCTATTAAATAATAAAGACATCAACCTTGGAAGATTATTGAAGGATTGATCTCTATGGGAGAAAATTATCAAGTTGCTAAACAACATTGCCCATTTATGAATTGAATTGAACATTACAAATATAAAAACATAAAATCAATTATTTATTTTCTATTATAATTATAATATTTCTATTTATATCTCATTAATCTTCTTAAAATATCATTCTACTTATCTTTTTAAACAAATAAGTAGAGAATAAATTAGTATAAAAAAATTATTAATTATATATTAATATATTAAGATCTTTATTTATAGTTCATTAATATATTAAATAATAAATATCACAATTAATCATTTCTTTAATCAAATAATAAATTTCTATCTTCTCAGTTTTCTTTAATTTTATTTGAATTAAATTTCTGTGATACCTTTAAAACATTTACAACAAAATAATATATTTTGAGCAGCATTTTTATATCAAAAAACAACATATATTACATTCATATGAATAAAATGATTTTAAAAAAATGAAACAACTTTTTTGGAATTATATAATTATATTATTAATATTTAGAAATTAAATGCTGAATCGAACAGATAAAAGTTCTTAATTTAGACGAACAAATTAAAGTATTGAAGGTGCTTCAAGAAAGGAAATAATTTCAGATTAAAAATCTAGAAAGGAATTAGGTGTTCCTTAAGAAGAAGAGAGAAAAATGTTAGGTTCAAAAGAGAGTGAAAAGCGATCTCAAATAAAGATTGGAAGTCATCAATAATCAAGAAAGACTTTAAGGGGATAAGATGAAGAAGAAAAAGGAGCAAAAGTCATAGGAGAAGGGAGATTGGATGAATATGGTGAAGAGGAAGAAGACATTGTTTGTTTAAGGTTTCCTCATCTTTCATTTTGCCCTTATAACTATTAATCACAATTAAAAGAAACGTTATTCATAGAGATCTAACCTGGTATTTATCTCTGTGGATTTGCCATGGGTTTATGGACTAAATATCTATTATAAAAAGCAGTTACTAATGTATTGAATTTAACTTCAATGGAGTATACCAAAAGAACCAAATATTTTAAATATCTAAATATTGATGTTCATAACACATCAGATGAAGATATAAAAAAACATTTTAGAATTAGTAATAGATTCATAAGAGAAGTAACATATATCAATAATTATTATTTAGACATTACTACAAAAAGGAAAAGTGCTCATACATTGTAGAGATGGACTTAATATTGGTCCATGTTTCATCTTAGCTTATTTGATAAATGAAATTAAAATGCCTTTGAAATTAGGAATTGAGTTATTATAGACATTGATTCCATAATTAGATATTGCTGTTCATTTCTATAAATAATTAGAACAATATGACTTAGAGAAGTTAGCTCTATTATAAATAAAAACTAAGGATTCATGATTTTGAATTGATTCACAAACATAAGATATTATTTTATTATATTTCATACACTATCAATTTGCATTTTTCGGTCAATAAAACTAAATAACACTCATATTATTCGTATTGCCTTTAAACTTGTTGAATTAGTTATAAATGATCTTTTTTTTGGATAGAATCAATTATCCATAATTTTTTGTTATTAGTATCAACAATCAGAAATTTATGAATAAATTTATGAATTTCACATCGAGATAGATCCTAATTGTTATTTTTAAGGAAATTGATAACAAATAAAACTTCATTCATTTTATATATAAAATAATAATAATTTATTTCAATATTCTTTTTTGATCTGATAGTTTTTGAATATTCATATAATACTATTTATTTTAGATAGGTTTATAGAATGTCAATTTTTACATTCAATATTTGTATTTGATCACATCTTTTTAAAACTAATTTAATTTACATAATTTTTTATTGATATGTTAACTTGTAACCAATTCATGATTTATTCTGTATACTTAATAGATATAAAAGGTTATATTTTTGTAAATTTTTTAATGATGATAAACCAAAATAAAATAAAACTAAATTAGATATAGAATTAAAATATAATTTAAAGTTATCACTATATCAGAATAAGAGGAGAATAATTCTTAAATCTTTCATATTTTCATCTTTTGAAGGATTGATTGTTGTCATGTCGTATACTATAATAATTGGATAAAAGTTTAAATTCACAAATAGAAATGTTTTTTAATAAATCTACTTATGACTTTTTTCATTCTACTAAAGGAATTTCTAAATCTCCCTATCTTATAGGAAATACAATATATGATGAGAAATCTGATTTCATATGATGATACTCTCTATGTCTTAAACTTTTCTAAACTTTAAATTAAGCTTCTTTTTATTTCAGATTCTGTCAAATCTGAAATATTATACTTTTAAGGTTGCATCTTCTATGAGAATGTTGGTAGGTTGTAAATTTGGATTCATAATTCTTTTATGAGATAGAGCATTTGGTATTTACATTTAAAAAAATAAATTTAAGACTTCTTTAAAAGAGTGATACTTTAATCTATTAAGTAATTTTGGTTATTTGTAAATTTTTTTAGTTTAATCTTATTTAAATCAAGGAAGGAATAATATTGACTTCTTGATTTATTACTTTATTGATTATTAAGAATTGGTCTGAAATTTTATATTTCATTTATTTATTAATCTTTAAATTATCTCTAAAAAAATTATGTCTAATTTATATTATTATTTATAAATATTTGAGTACTCTCAGTAAAATGTCGATGCGCATTGTGTAATCTACAAAAAAGATTCTAGACATGTCTCATCCTAGTCAAACAGAATTAAACAATCAAAGACCAAAGATGTCATTGATGCCTAAAGAAAAACTTATAATTGGATTAAATTCAAAACAAGAAAAAAAAATAAATAAAATTGTTATCAAATTGGAAGATCATATAAATAAATCTATTGGTGAATAAAACAATATTCAATAATGTTAACATCAAGAAGTTGTTTAAATTTTGTAATAGGAATAATTAGATAATAAAGAAACAAAGATTTCAATGGAAATCACTCAAACTCATTTTGAACTTAAGGTACCAAAGATTATGGTACCAAAATCGATTGAGATTCCAAAAATAATTTTACCTCCTCCTGAAATAAGTGTTGAATAGGAAGATAAAATAATGAGTTTTAAGACTCATTAAACAAATTTACTAAAGTAATAATTAATTTAGATTAAAAAATGTAATGAACCAATTCAATTATTGTTACAAGAGAATGATAAACGTAAAAAATATTACTCAAGAGCATAAAGAGAGAAGGAAGATGTTATTCATTGGGGTCAAAGAAAATTATTGATTAGTGAGATATGGTTTTTAACAAAGTATGGTTGTTTATCTAGGAATATTATATATGCAGGAGCAGCTCCAGGATTTCACATATAATTTTTATCTGAACTATTTTAAAATCACAAATTTTATTTATTTGATCCAAACGACTTTTAAGTTAAATAGGGACCAAAGATTACTATTTACTAACGTTGTTTCACTAATGAAGAAGCCTAAAAATTTAAGGAATTGTTTTAGGTATAAATTAATTAACAAGAATGATTATCTATTCATTTCAGACATTCGAACTGCCAATTTTAAATGTATGACACCTATGGAAAATGAGCAAGCAGTACTAAGAGACAATTAATTACAAATGGAATGGGTTAGAATACTTAAGCCTTAAAAAGTATATATTATTATATTTAGGCCATGTTAAAATTTCGTTGTGCTTATCCTACTGAAATCAATGAACCAACTGAATTCTTCGAAGGGGAAATATATATCCAAGCTTGGGCACCAGCCTCATCAACTGAAACTAGATTAATACCTAATAATTATGTTAATACTATATTTTATGACAATGTTAAATATGAAGAATAAATGTTCTATCATAATGATGTTGTTAGAAAAAAATAAAAAGGAGCCTTAAGTTGGGATGATCGAGCAGAAACTTAAGTCTTAACTGAATATTTAAGAAATTCTGGAATCAATGAAAATTAAATTAGCAAATAAGTAAACTTAATCAAAGATCAAATTACAAAAAAATTGAATTATCAATGAAATTTAATCATATATAATTATTTATTTCATTAATCAAATTATTATATAATATTATAGATCATTCTATAATATTAAATAATTATAGAATGTTCTTATTTAAAATCTCAATATCCTTAGTTTTAATTACAATGAAATATTCTGATAGTTCAGAAAATATAAACCTTTACACACCTAAACCAGATAGATCAGATAAAGATTTCCACAGATAAGTATTTAAAACTTTAAAGTAAATTCAAAAATAATACTTTAAGATTTGATTCTTTAGAAGAGAAGGAGAAACTGTTACTAACATTCAAATTTATAAACCCTTACAACATTTTGAATAACATATCTCGTATTTATTATTCAGATTATGATGCTAGAAGAAACGCTTAATAATGAACTCTCTTTAAAAATTAAATAAAAAGAATAAAAACTAGAAATTCTGATAATAGTACTATGGAAGTTTAAGATATTATTAAAGTTTCTAAATATTCAGAAGAAGATATTGAAAAATTAAGACAAATGTGAAAATGTATTTTCATTCTTTCTATATAAATTTTTCTAGATATAAGATCTAAAATCATTATTTGCTCTTTTTTAACTTAAAATACTTAGATTGATTGATTAGAGCAAAAATTATTTTGAAATGATTAGAGAACAAGTTAAATCACAATCAAGATATTACTAACGAAATATAAATGTGTTTTAAATTTTAGCTAAGAAAAACCTATTTTATCTATTCTTTCCCGAAAATGCGGCATAACGGTGAAATTTCATTTAGGCATCTTTTTTTAGCTGATTAATCATACAATATTATTTTTTCAGTAATTTAATATATAATTATATAAGACTCATATTGATATAAATTGCACAAATTCTGTAATTCTATTATATATTTAGTGGTAATGAATTGAAAGATTAAATTATTCAATCATTTTAAAGAATCATAATATGTTCGATTGTATAATAAATAAATGAATCATATTTTAGAATTAAAATTACAATTAAATGCATCTATATTGAGATTACTCATTATTTTATTATTGAATATTTTAGAATTAACGATGACAAAGCTTTTTACTTACTATATTATTTGAGAATAATTATAAGTTAACATTCCTTTCCTTAAAGAAAAATCAAAACCTATTCTATGAACTTCAATTTAAAAACTGAATTCTTCATTAGACTTGACTGTAGTTGATCTAAAAATCTTTAAACATAAATCATTGATTGCCAGTAGAGTTAAATTTCCAACTAAAATAATAAACTTAATAGAATTATTTTCAAGCAAATTAATCTCTTAATTTATTAAATTTGCAATAAAAATCCTCTAAATATAAATAGTTTATCTAACAATTGAAAATTCCTAAATTTAGAGTTTTATCACGCTATTTTTTAACTTTTATTTAGTATATAATTTTTAAATTTATTATCATAATATATCCTCAAAAATTTAATTCAATATTTTCTTGTAATAATAATTTATTTATTTTAAAGAGTGTAAATAAGATCGCTTGGAAATAATTTATGTTACTAACAATTAAAACACGAATTAGAAATAAATTTAATTTTTAATAATTAAGTTCATAAAATTACTATTATGATATGAATTATGAATGGTTCAGTAATCTAAATCTTCTTCATCATCTTCTTCTTTAAAAAAGAAATCTTACTCGAATGAGTTGATTTGATTCTTTTTAGGTTTTTATTTGAATTCAAAATTATTTTCTTATTTTGGTTAGATAACCATTTGATTAGTTTATGCATTAGATTAATGTTCTTAAGATTTTGTATTGACGGACGTACTTCTACTAGGTTTAATTGTATCCATGTTAATAGTGAGATTCTTTTAATTAAATCGATTATTTTAACGTGTTTATTCATTTACAACAGAACTATTATTTTACATTTAATTGGGAGTAAAAAAAGATTTAGTGGTGGAAATATTCTTGAGAATTTAATGCTTATTTGTAAGATTGGATTTAATTAATTAGTTAGCATATTGATATTAATTAATTTTAGATTGTTTCAATTATTTTTGAGAAAAAGATGAAAAGTTTTTTTTCAAAGCTATTTAAACTTTACTATGATGCATTGTAGGAATAAAGGTTGATTGTGAATGATTAAATTTGTATTTAGAGAATTAAGGTATAGAACCCTAATTAAGTTTATCTAATTTTTAAATAGTTCTTTATTGATTATTATGTTGAGGGGATTGTATTTTATTTATTTTTGTGGATTAAAGTAATGGGAGATTAGTTAAATAATCGAATGCAGGACGAAGATTAAAATCTACTTAAAGCAAGAGTTTAAGAAAATTGATATTATCTTCACTAATATTATTCTATCGACAATTGTATTCAATGTGATAATTAATTTGCTGTTGATTTAATTTAATAAGAAAACTAGGATCTTTTGTTCCAGTAGTTAGACAATAAAGCATTGATCCAAACATCCAAGTCTTCATGAATTAGCTTTATTAATAATTGCTATTATGCTTTTGTTAGTATTTGATTTAAAATTGAGAATATCGTAAACCATAATCAATGATATAAATAGTCTTTTAATTGATATAAAGAAAATCAGGATTGAAATCATAGAATCCTAAACTATCTAACGAATATAGATCATATAATTGTTTCAAGTAAGTATTGAATTAATCATTTGTAATTTTGGAAGGCATTTTGATCCAAGAATCACTGTTAGAATAAGAAATGAGTACATTCTCATCATCTTCATAAGCATCTTTAATATAATTGTAGAATTGAAGTTTAGATTAAATGTTTTAGTACATGATTGAATCTAATTCAGATTTAGGAAAGATGTTAATGTAATAGGATTATTTATTTTGATCTATTCCTCTATATATCAATTAGTAAGAGTATTCTGAAGAAATGGGTAGTTCAATTTAATAATTAGCAATTTTCATAAAAAATAATATTTATGATTTTTATTTTACTTGTACAAATTACTTAGTCTTTAAGTATCTCCCAATTTTTAAATCTTACTCCATTTTAAATATAGGAATTGAAATTAGAAACACTCTAGGAATACTTCATATCAGGTTCAACCTAAGGATACGTAGGATTTAATGAATATTCTGATTTAATAGAGAAATTGGCTAATTCATTTCCAAAATAAGTAACATTACAATCATATGGAAATACTTATCAAGGAACTAAAATAAAGACTATTAAAATATCAGCAACCAAATCTCCGAAATATCAAATAACAATTCTCGGTATGTTGCGTGGTACTACTGATTTAATCTCAGTAAATTATCTACTCTATTAATTGTACTATATAACTATATAATTATGTAATAAGAATCAATTTATGATGACTTTATTTTCAGATAAGTAATTAATAGTCACTCCTTTAATCAATGCAGATGGACTTTAATATATAACAACGTAATTTATTTAAAATTATGAATTACCTATCATATTCAAAAATAGGAACCCATCTAATTAACATCTATGTTCTTAAACAGAATATGGGGTAGATCTTTCAAGGAATTTCTAATACAAATTTGGATTCAATGAAATAGGATCATCTTCAAATAAATGTAGTCAAATCTATAGAGGAAGAAGTGCCTTTTCTGAATCTGAAACTTTGACGATAGATAATTTAATTTAATAAATTAGACCTAATATTATAATTGTAATTGGAGGTGATTTTGATAATTTAGTTATTCCTGATTCTAATTCTGATACTTATGATGAATTGCTCTATTTCATCACCAAATAATACAATCTTAATATGGGAGATTATTAAACCTTATATCAAAATGAAATAAATGGTGATTTATGTCAAAATTATATCTATCAAATCAATAAAATATGTTTCACCATTAATATTGGATAACATGAATTAAATCATACAATCTTTTATTTCTAAAATCTTTTATTAGATTTCTTATCACATTATAGTCCCTCACTTAAGTAAATGATATTAACATATTTAGAATCTAATATGAAACCGGATTTAATTGTTAAAATAGCAAATCACTTTGTAATAAACTTTAGTCCAATGAGAAAGGTTGTGTGATCATCATTTCTGTTTAGAATATAGGTTATAATCAATATAATGACAATATTATTATGGATATTACATTAAATTAAGGAGGTGAGAAATTATATTAAATCGATTCTTATTTAATAGCTTAGAATATCAAAAACTATAGTGATCCAAAATTATAAAATGGTATTAAGATTGATGAAATATCTATAGATAAAGTTTATAGATATTAAATACTTAATTAAAGTAGATTAAGTGAGAACCAGACTATTTATTTCATTTTTTTAATTACTCAATATGGATTCTCTTACAATTACATTAATACAGTTGAATCAATCAATTTAACATTCTCCCTATAAAACACCTTATTAAATTCTTATGTGTTCTAAATATTGAAACCTTCTGATTTAGCCTCCAAATACTCAAATGAATAACTTCAATAGATATTTCCTAATCGATCTGAATCATATGTTTTATTAATAGGTTTTGCTGTAATCTCAATCATTTTCTTTTTTTCTTGGATTATTAGAAAAATATACATTTTGATTTATAATCCTCATTAATTTACAGAAGAAAGTAAATCAAAAAGTGGAGGATCCTCAGACGAAAAGAATTTAGATTAATATCACTCACATAATCTAGTTGAAAGTAGATTAAATACATAAGTTAAATTTTCTTAAATTGTACCATTCTAATCTATAAGATAAAATGATTCACCTAGAACATCTAGTAATTAAGCATAAACAAATTAGGAGATTAAATTACTTAATTGTAATCAAGCTCTACCCTAATTAAATCCTATTGAAATTTAAAATAGAGTGCATAAAGCATTAGAAATAGTTTAATCATAAGATAATTTCAATTAAATAGAATAATAATTAGAATAGAAAGAAGATTTCCATTAAAATTACTATAATAATTAGTAATAACAATCAAACTAACATCAAGTTGAAGAAGCACTTGTTAATACACCAAATATGTAATATCAAAATTAAAATGAAGATTAATTGGTTAAATTTGATGATTGAAATTATAATTAAATAATTAATATATATATATATATGATATTTAATTAAATTTAATCATTTACTCTGATCAATTTTAATTTTCTTTAATATTCTTTAATATTGATGGATACAATTTTACATGAGCATCAACTGCCCATACATAATCCAAATGAGCATAATCCTCTATAAATTCAACTTTCATATGAGTTTAATCCAACTTATTTAACATTTTACCTAAATCATCTGTATCTGTAATCACATCTCTTGTACCTAAATAAAAATATTTAGGAATAGTAAAATTCTTTAAATTATCTACTGGATATAGAGGAGGATCTCTTTATCCATACATAACCAAATTCTAACTAGATCCATAATCAAAATATTGTAATTATTTTGATCTAAAAAATTACATCCTATTTTTAGTAATTTTATATACCATTATACTATATTTTTAGATGCTGAACCTCCAGGTTCATGAGCAACCATATTACCAAAACGATTCAAATCAATTTTATTTTTTTATGGAAATCCACACAATTAATTGGTAACTTCAAAAAAGAAACTACGAAATATTGAAGGAATCATATAACAAAGTGCTCCAATCTTAATATTAAAACCATCATCAAAAACAAAGAAATAAGGAATTCCCAAATAATAGATTAATTCAAATACATAAAGTTTGATTGCCCATTACAGAAAAGTTGATCGCTAAAAATCTAAATTTTATCATTACCAAATTAGATATGAACATAGCTGGACCTAATCCAATAAAACATTTAAGATGTTATTGAAATTCTATGTCATTAGATAAATAAGCAAATCCTTAAGTTGTTCCTTGAGAATGACCTAAATATATCACTTTAGCTCTCTATGTAACATTCTTCACATATAATATGATTGCCTTGAAATCATACTTAGCTAAATCATCAAACGAACAATCCCAATACTTTTAATTGTAGTCAACACTTTATAATTTTGTATGACCAATACTATATTTATTCCCTCGATTATTTGCAAGCCATACGTCATACCCTTATTCTGCCAAAATGTAAGGCAAAGTCAACTTTTTATCATTATTTATAAGCCAAGACCATGAACTGTCCAATAATCCATGTTGCATTATGACCGGATGTGCATGTGGATGTGTTACATCTTTGTAAATTCTCCAAATCGTTAGAATATAACCATCTTCTGTGATTATCTTATGACTTTCAAAATTGTATCCCTATTCAAGTATCATGTCGGCTATAATTGTGATATCAATATCAAAAATTACTTGCTTAGGTATAAACTCCATAATAGGGTTTATGTTTGTTAAGAATTTTTCGAATTTTATGGAAAAAAGTTTAATTTCTTGAATCGCATTCTTTGACAAATAATGAAAGCATAAAGTCTGTAAAAAAGATTGTGATGTAGATTGAATAATATGTGAATGACAATCCTAAATTGGCAAATGGTTTAATAACCCATATGAAAAAGTAAAATGTGATTGTTTGAATTATTTAAAAATTCATAAATAAGAAGAATTATTATGATAATTGTGTTTGATTTAAAATTAATCAAATTTGCCATTCTTCCAATCCTGCAGCTCTCTTTTGACTATCCATGACTCCATTGACTAAAGTGCATGTTAACCAAGCAGTTAAAAACATTTTGCCATAGTAAGGAACAGCACCTGCATAGAATCCATGAATTTTCTCATAAAAATAGATTTGCTTGAAAACATCTAAATAATTTTAGTAATTTAATCTAAATCGTAAAGATTTTGGTTTTACCTGTTTTTAGATGGATCTGGGAAAGCTTTGAGAACTCTGGTTTGAACATTATCTAATGGTAATGTGAAAAGTGTAGCCCAAAATGAAGCCCATGTTAATGCAAGAAAATGATTGAATCCAAAATCTCCAAAAACTAACCAAATTTTTTCCTTCATGTAATCATATGGTCCTGTTAAGGAAATGTTCAAAGCTGCTAATTTAACAACATGTGCAAAAGCTCCTCTGAATAATGCTCTGCTTCCTCCTATTTGAATAATTGTATAAAATGATTACCTTCTTCTACTTGAATTCTATTGATGGCATCAAAAGCAGAGGTATAATTTCTTCTAATTGATTATGGAAGACCACCATCTGCAATCATTCTAACTTATGCTAATTCAAATGGAGATGTAACCAAAGCAGCAAATGCTCCAACAGATCCAGAGAGAACAGCCTTTTCTCTAAGTGTCAAATCATTGAATGGTTTAACTGGTTTAACTTAATCGTATATTGCTTTATATCTAAAAGATTAAATATTTGATACAAAAAGTTTCTAATAAATAGATAGCCCAATCTACTGTATAATGCTGCGTCAAATCCATAATAGAAATGTCTCAAGCCACCTCCAGTTTCATGAATTTCTCTAAATATTCTCCATGGATTTACTCCTAATTCATTTTTGAGTTATCTCAATCCGATTCCTTCTGTTCTAACTTAGATTCTAGTTTTAACAAATTCTGTGTGTAAATAAAATAGTTGTTACCTAATGGTTAAGTAAGAAAAGTGGTAATAGCACCAACTGGCACTGAAAGACCAACAACTTCTGTAAGAGATGGCTCCCAATATCTCTTGTATGATCCAAGCATTTTATTTAATTAATTAAAGATATTTAAATTTGATATAAAACACAATTTATCTTCAGCACTTTATTATATATTACATTCTCTCACTCTTTTTTCATCTTTCTATTTTGTATTGTATATTTCCGAATTAATAGAACATAATAAAATTCAATATATAATTTATCGTTTTTTGATGAAATACAATGTAATTTGGTTATGTTTAATGGTACTATTCTTGGGGAATGGATTAAACATGTATAATTAAGAAATAAATTGATTAGATAAGAAGAATAGATGACATTGTAAACAGATAAGTAAATGAGAAAAGTTTAACATATTAAACTAAATGAGAAGGTTGTGAATGTGAAAGACTCCTAAGATTTTTATAAATTTGTAGCTATAAATTAAAAGAGATTGTTTGAGAATGAATTCATATAGAAATCATCAGCTTCTGAAAATTTAAGATTACACAATTTCAAAAATATATAATATACAGCAGATATAGGAATAGGATAATCTGGAAATGTATTTAAAGTGGTTCTAGATACAGGAAGTGCCAATTTATGGATAGATTCTAATAGATGTACTGAACCTGGTTGTTTGAGACATAAATAATATAAGCATGAAGAAAGTCATTCGTTTTTACCTTTAAATTAAGAATTAACAGTTGAATTTGGAAGTGGAGAATTAAAAGGACTTGTTAATTCTGATACTATTTATTTTGGAGATATTACATTACCTAGATAAAATTTAGCAGAAATTACAAGTGAAAATGGAATCATTTTTAAGAGTCTTGATTTTGATGGAATACTAGGTTTAGCATATCCATAAATGGCTCCTAAAAATTTCAATCCTGTATTTGATAATATGATTCAATAACGTTCATTAGAAAAGAATGAATTTGCATTCTATTTTGCTAAAGACCCAAATGATATTACTCATAGTGAATTTACATTAGGAGGATACAATCAAGCGCATGTAGATGGAGAGATTAATTATCATAATGTCATAGATAAATACTATTGGATGATTAAAGCTGATAGTATTCTAGTTGGAGGATAAGATATAGGTTTATGTGATGATGGATCATGTAAATTAATTGTAGACACTGGTACATCCATAATGAGTGGACCTATGGATGATGTAGGGACTTTATTAAGAAATTTGAATGTCAAAGATCATTGTTAAGAAATAAAATCTCTTCCTACTATAACTTTTAAAATAGATGGAATTGATTACACTCTTGAACCTGAAGAATATGTAAAACCTACTAATAATGATAATTCTGCTTTTGCTGAAATGAATACTTCTGAGGATTGTATTAAACTATATAATTATATGTAGAATCTATGGTTGAAGTGAATAGTTGGGATTGTATTGCTTCTTTTATTCCCTTAGACATTCAATAACCTTAAGGACCTGCTTGGATTCTTGGAGATGTTTTCTTAAGGAAATATTATAGCATCTATGATAGAGATAATGATAGAGTTGGTTTTGCTAAATCAAAGTGATAATCCATTACCCATTATGTAACTAAAATAATTAACATACTAATTTTATATTTTAATTATAATTTGTTGTCTGTTAATGCCATAATTAACTATTTAAACACTTAATAGGTTATGCGAATACTTTTTATACTTAGCAAAATTAGAATCTGAAATAGAAATTATTAGAAATGTCCTGTGTGAACATCATCGTTTCCATCCATTTTTTATATTTAAACACATAGATGGAATTTCAATTAATCCAAAAGGATAATTAGAACCTTAAGATCTTCTATAATTTCTAGAAGACAATGGTTTTGTTCATAATTTATAAGAATGTATTCAATTCATTGATTTATACGATGAAGAGTCTAAAGGTTTTTTACTTTATTCATAGTAAATATTTTTTATCTATTATTAGATTCTTAAGAATTTGTTTACCTCAAAACAATGTTCAATTAAGGTAAAAAATTGCACTCTAAAATGTTGATCTTCCTCATTTAGATTAAAAGATTTCATACACATTATCAAAATTAATCAACTATGAAATACAAGCTATGTAAACTACTTCATCATTACTATAAAAACTTTAAGATTCTTCTGATTTCACTCCTACTGCATGTTTTGAATTCATGGATCCATACAACTCCAAAGTCTTAATGATTTCTAATTTTAAAGAACTCTTCTAACATTCAGCTATTATTATCTACTCTCATGAACTTTAATCATTATTCAAAAGATTTGATCTTCTAAATGATGGAGTCATTGACAAATCAGAATTCATGAAATATTTTTAAAAAAGAGTCATCCAACCTAAAGAATGTAAAACTCCAATTAAAGATAAAAATATTTAGAAATCATTATAATCTCAATAAACTAATAGATCTAATAGATCTAAAAAACCATAAACTACTACTCCCATTAAAAAATTAAATTCTATCTTAAAATAAACAGGATAAATAGGATAATCACCTAAAAAAGAATTTGATAATCAAAGATCAGTTAGTTTTATTGATAGTTCGAAAATTTCAAAAACTTAAAATCTAAATTCCAGTTACATTTTTAAGACTCCTAATTCATAAAATAAAAAATATATTGATTAAAAAACAGAATTGAGAGCATAAATGTAATTATTTAAAGTTTAAAAATAACATTTAAGTTTTAATAATTCCACTACTAAGAAACCTATTAAAAAACCTCCATAAAAAAATATTAGTAAATAATCACCAAAAATAAATTAAAAATTCTTTAATCCTTCTTAATATTTAAAAGATACATTAATTAAATTAATGGATTTTGAAAAAGAAATAGAACACATTAAACTTAATTTATAAGCAGTTCCTGATTTTTCTATTTGTAATACATTCAGAGCTTTAGACAAAAAGAAAATTGGATTCTTAGTAGCTGAAGATTTAGAACAATTTATTAATAAAAAAGATTTATCACTGGTTTTAAAGAAGATATGTATAGATGGTAGGATTAAATTTAATTAATTCATCTAATTAATATAGCCTTTATCAATTTATCATTAAGATCAATAAATTAATAGAGAGTAATAAATTTTAGATGAAAAATACATAATTCAAGGAAGAATAAAATAATTGTTATCTCTTTTATTTGAAAGATTATACTAAAGAGAACTCTTTTTCGATTAAGTTAATTAGGAAGTAAAAAATAATTAATAATGTGATGTAAAATATTTGTTCATGATGATTGATGAAGATTCTTGTGATAATGAAATCAGTTTAAAAGATGTAATAATAAAATAAATAATTTTTTTAGCTTGATTCCTTTCTGTATAAATAAGAAGTTTAACCAGAATTAGAAGATTTGGAATTACTTTTTAACAGATTGGATACAGACAGAGATGGGAAGGTATCTTTTCCAGATTTTATCAACATTTTTTCCTTTTGATTATATATATATTATTATTATTATTATTTTTAATGCTTTAATTTTTTTAAAGATTAGAGAACCCTGATTCAAAGTTTCATTTATATGATTCATTTTATAGAATAAAAAAGATAGAGAAGGTTTGTTAAAAAGAAAATGTAGATGGTAAATATAATTAATTCATGATATAGGTTTATTAATAATAAATGGAATAGATTCAAAAGAGAATTATGAGTATACAAAATTAATGAATTGGATATATCTTGGATATAGTGGAATAGAAATTGAAACAAATGAATATTTAGATAATACATTGAGTGAAACAATATTTGTTATAACAAAAGATCATATGAGAGCATATTGTGATTAATAAGGTTTTAAGTTGTTAAAGCCATATTTACTATAGATGCCAAATATTAAATTATTTGTTCCAACAATTAAGGAGGATGAAAATAAAGATGAAAGTGAAGTTTTAAAAATGGCTCAATTTGTGAAAATGATGTAAGGATTAAAAAGGATTGGTGTATTACTTCCTTAAGAAAAAAATAAAAATATTGAAAAATGGCCTCTCATATAAGGTTATGGTTTATTAGGAAATGGTTTTTTTTCAATGCAACATGAGATTGTAAATATGAGTGAGAGGATAAATTAATTATATAAACCACATGATAAACATTCTATGAAAACTTTAATTAATGTTGTAAGTTAGAGATTAAATGGTCATGTTTCAGGATCAATGTAATTGTTGTCAGAAATAGCAATAAAAAAAAGACCTGCAGTTACAAGTGAATAAATGGTTGAGATATTTCTTGATACATTTGAAATTGAAGAAAATAAATATATAAAAAGATGTAATAAATTAATTCCAACTGTTACTTTTGGTAATTGTAGTTCTTAATAGAAATTACCATTACATTTAACAATGGAGAGTAGTGATCTATATTCTTCATTGAGATTTGCCAGAACATACTTTCTTACAAAATAAATAAGCAAAGAAAATGTAATAATACCAATTCATGATGATTTTGAACATTTTGTTAAAGAATATTAATATTAAATAATTGAACATTCCTTTCATTTAGACGAATGGTATATGATTAATAATTATTATTTTAGTTTATTAATTGAAATTTATAGGGCATTGATTGAAAGTTTCTATTCAGCTTTATAAATGATTTGTTAAGATTATAGAAAGATGACTAATTAATAGATATTTGATTTATGTTCAGAACGATTGATTCCAACATTAGCTAATTATAAATTGTAATTACTAAATGATAATTTAATTGTATCAGTATCTAGTTATAATTCATTTGGTGAAGAAGTAACTATTAATTTTAAAGATCCAATTTCTTTTAAACTTACCCCTTAATTTTTTACAATAAGATTAGAATATAAGAAAATTCCATCTTTGGTTGTAAATGGTACTATATTAGGTAATGTAATATTTTCTGATTCATTTATTCTTTAAGAAAATTGTTATTATATTATAACTAGTAATATACCTAATCTTTAAATTATAAATACTGATGCTAGATTTTCAGATGATATAGAAAAAATTAAAAAAAAATTGCCACTAGAGAAATTGGGTTAGTAAATTTCAGAAAGAGTAGATAAAAATAGATTATTTATACCCTCTAAATACGCTTTATTAGATATACCAATATAATCTGCATCTTATGTACTACATGAAAATGGTATTAGAATCTTTACTAATGAAATGGGTTGGTTCTTTATTTTATTTGAATCAATGAAGAAAATTAAGTTTACTTAAGGATTAGAATCTGCTTGGATGATATTTATGACAGAACCAATACTATGTGCATCATTATAAGCAAAAACCATAGCTTTGGAATTTGTAGGTAAATCTGTTGATTAAGTATATATGAAAATGACTAATATACTAAAAGAAAATGAAATTAAAGTTGATTATACTGAAAATCCTAAAGAATTCTAATTAACTAGATAGGGATAAATTATTCTAAAAAAAGAATAAAAAGTTCCATTATTAGGAAATATGATTAAAGATTCTTCTTTTTTATTAGATTATTTAGAATCTAAATAATTAGTTATTTTAACGTAAGTCAAAAGTGATTTAAAACTTTTAAACTATCTAGCCTTATAAGATGAATCTAATTAATAAATTGATAATAGAATTCCAATAATCTTAATTACAGGTACATATAGTAGTGGTAAAAATAAATTTGCTTAATCTTTATAAAGATATGCAAGTGATTTTAATTAAAAGGCTCAAGTTCTTACTTTTAATTTATTAGAATAATCAATCTTAGATGAAGAAGGATTACTTAATAAATTAGAAAACCTACTCAAATATTCTTAAGACTAATGTATATGTGTAATCCCCTTTTATTTATCTATTGATATTATAGTATAACAATTAACTACTGGAAAACTGAGTAAATTTGTATACATTAAGAATGTAATTAATAAAATCAATATTAACAATATCTATTAAAATCAAAATTGTTAACCTATGTAAAATTTTATTTATATATATTTTTAGTGATAATTTAATAAGTCAAAGTCTACCTGGTTATTGTTAATTTACAATTCTAGATTCTTTTGGAAATGAGGAATCAGAAGTTGAAGAATATTTCAAAATCTTTAGATCTGTATGCATTAAATCTAATATATTTCGTATTACCAATAATATGGTACAATCTTCTGTTGCTAAAGAAATATATTCAAATACATCTTACAATTCTACATTAAATGTATTTCTTAGAATCAAACTGGCAACATACAAAAGTCAAATGATTCCATATTAAAAAGTTTTCCTTCATAATGCTATTCCTTGTGTTAAATAATTTAGAAAAATCTTAAGAGAACTTTTTAAAACTTCACATTAACAAAAAGCACCAATGGTCAATTATGAAAAACTTTCAGATATTGATAAATTTATCTTTAGAGTTAAGGAATTTAACTCGACTAATAAACCATAATTATTTTATCTTAAAGCTTTTCTCAGATTTGAAGGATAATTAGATAAACTTTATGAATATACTGCAAATCATAATTATACTATCGAAAGATAGGTTAAGTCTGTTAATATTATTCTTAAAGAATAATTAATTAATGGAGTCAAACTTTAAATACCTTCATATGTTGGTTGGGATACTCATTCCAATTTAGGATTTTTTATGGTTGGCTAAAATATTTCAAAAGATATATGCCAATAATATATTGAAGAATTAATCTAAAAAATGAAACCATTATAACCTTTACTTACCAAAAATGATTTATCTAAAGAAATTATCAAAGAAATTGAATTTCAAAATAGAATTGTTGGATTAGAAAATGGAGAATTCTATGATGGATAATTTATTAGAAATTAAGATGGAGAAATCTTAGAACATCATCCAAAATTAGATTTATTCATTCAAGAATATTTAAATAATCAAAATTAAAAAATTGCATAATTCAACAATTAAATTAATTAAGAGTGGAACAATTATTTAAATGCTCTTAAGTGTTGAGATATTATTGTTAAATAATATTCTTATAAATATTATTCATATCTAAACATGTATAAATTTATAATAATAACTTCAAAAATCATCTAAAGTTAAAATCGGCTTATTCTGTATAAAATAATATCCTTTCAAATTATTTTATGTACAAATACCATTTTATATTTAATCTAATGATTTTTTAACTTCTTATAAATGTGTTGATAATCTTGTAGGTTTTGGAACTTAATCAATTGTACTTTCTGATTAAGAATCTTTTTTATCTAATTTTTTAACTAATGATGCATCCGTCGTTTTTATGATCCATGTAAACTAATCATTAGAAGAATCTTGCTGTTAAATTTTCATATCTTAAAATATTACTTTTTTCTATGATCTAGTATTTTGTTAAGATTTAGCTAAGGAAACAGGAGAACTATTTGTATTTGGAGAATGGTATGTGAACTTTTTCCTTATATCTATTTATTAACTACTCTATACATAATGTTAAGAGGATTACTATTTAATATGTTAGAAATGTACTTACCTAATTTAATTTAGATCTCATCTATTAAAGAGAAGAATAATATTGTATCTAAACTAATTATTTCTCAACTTTTGCTTGCAAATTAGATATGATTCTTTAACATGTTTCAGCTTATTAATATAACACTGTAGAAAGTTCTTAGTTTTATAATTTCAATTGGTTTTTTTTCTAAAGTATTTATTTAATCATACTTATTACAATTTTGATACTTTATTGTTAAGACTTTCTATTTCCACTTTTTAATTCTCTATTATCTTTTCATATTGAAGTATTTTTCTCTCATCTGTTTTAAGCTAATTATTATCAATATCAATCCACCTTTTATCAGTACTCAAACATTCATCCATTCCTTGACTATTATTGAGTCTAGAAGTAAAGATTTCTAATTAATTTGAATTAAAAAAATCTTGAACTTAATCTTATTAACTTTATTTAATTGATTATTATTATTATTATGATTCTAGAACTCCTAAAATTCTAATATCTTATATACGTTTTAAATCATTTAGTTCTTTCTCACTATTACATAATTTTGATTCAAGTAAATCGATTTCTCTCTACTATGATTCTATACATTTAATTTTGTCTAAATTTGTTAAACTTGTAATTTTATTTATCTCCACTATTTGATATTTTGTTTAATATTTTTCTAATCTGTTTTGAAATTCCAAAATAATTTGTTCCTATAGAACAGATGAAGAATTTTCAAAATAATCATAAAATTGTTTCTCTATCTAAGAAATTGCACAATCTTAAAGAATCAACTAAAACTTTTTTTGATTATTTTATTGATTCTGATTGCCTTTGATATCACAAATTATACCTATTTATTTGATATTTTTTAAACTTGATTAAAGCTGCTAATTTTCTAATTATACTTCTTAAAGTTGTTATTGAAGTTTAGCAAGCTATTGTTTATAATCTTCTTGTTAAATTGATTATTAAGATTAATTTTATTATTACTCTATTCTATATTGTAAAATAGCATTTTTCTTTTCTAATTCATCGTTTAGCTAGATTTATTATTAAATTTTTTAGTATACTTAAATGGCATTTTTCAAAAGAAACCTTAACCTTTCAACTGTTCTTTATTCATCATTATTTGAAATGTTTTTATTTTTTGGTGTATTATTTGTAGACACAAGCATAATATTAACTAACAATTATAAAATTATAATTATAATTAAATTATTAAGATATTTTATAGGATTTATATAATTTAATATTTTAGATTAGAATAAATAATAAACCTAGCATCATCAAGTTTGTAATCTCAATAAGCATTCTTAAATGAATGTTTTGGTATCCCTAATAATGTAATATACTCTAATTAATTCATCAAATTATCTATTCCTATACACAGCTTCTGTATCACAGGAATCGCATTTATATTTATAACATTTTTCACAACATGAATGACCACAAGGAATATAAGTTCTAGGTTTTTCAAATAAATTTTAGCATCTACAACAGCGAAGACTTAATTTGAGTTCAGTTTCTAAGACTTCGATTCTCAATAGATGCCTTTATATTTAGTTTTCTTCAGCAGATTTGTCAATATAATGATTTTATTAAATTAGTTTTTCTTTAAGAGATTAATTTTAAAATAATAATTATTATAAAAGAGATTTATCCTATTGAATATCAGTATTTAATTTTGGAGATGGAATCTCATTCGGTAATGTTTATAAAGTTTTTTTGTTTAATTCTGAGCGATCCTTTAATTATTTTTTAAAAGCCTCTAATTAATTTTGAAGATTCGAAATATAGCTGTTTTATTGTTCAATTTATGAATTTGCATTTTTGATTAACAAGGATTATTTTTTGATAATTTGATTTTATTCTTCAAGTTATGATAGTAATTATGAATTAGTTTATTAATTCTATTCTGCAGAGTTCTTATATGAAAATTATATTTTCTAAATATTATTTATATTAATAGTGTTATCATCATCAATTAGAAGTTCATATTAATAGATTTATTTCAATTTAAATAGTAAATCATCATATTTAGTTTCTGCTTCAATAGATTTACCTTTAGTAAGAATAATCTTTTATGATTGCTTTTACAATTCTTCAATTTTTTGATCATAATTTTTTTTAGCGATTTTTTCATTTAATTATTAAAGATCTAATTATTGCTGAGAGAATAGGAATATATTATTACTTTAAATTTAGAACATTATGTACATGAAGATGGAGAAGTTATCTTCATTACAAATGATTTATTACTTTAAACTTGCTCTAATTGTTTTTATAAAGATTCGATTTAAGATTTTAGAGATTAAACTTCATGATGTTCACTTTTTTAAAGCATTCTTTTTTATGAAATATCAGAAGTTGTAGCAGTGGATCTTGTTTTTTAGAGAATTCTTAAATTAGGAAGCATTTTTAATTATTTATAATTAAAAATTAATGAAATGAGAAACTTATTAATAAGTGATAAGGAAATATTAATAAATCAATTAAAATATAATATATTTAAAATGTTTAATAAAAAGAAACTCTTATAAAATATAGTAGAGTTATATTATGAATAAGTTGATTAGATGGAAAGAAATTATGATATTGATAATAGATAAATTACTAAATTATAGTCTTATTATCGTATGTATGTGTTACATAAATCTTACAAAAAGAATCAAAATGCAACAATTACAATTCAAAAATATTGTAGAGCATATTTAGCTAGATAATTAGTAAAATAATAATTGAGTGAATGTAAAAATAGGAGAAATGTAAAGAGAATTATATTAATATTAGATAATTTATCTTTCTCATTAAGCATAAACAATTTAAAGATATTTTAGAGGATATATTTATAGAAAATATGTTCATGATTTTTATTTAAGGAAAAAGTAACTTGAATTAATGAATATAAAAAATAAAAACTTTTTATAAGAATTACGTTAAAAAGGAGAATAAGAGAGAGAAGAGGAGAAGATTAGAAATGAATAAGCAGCAAAATAGGAATTCATGAAATTAGCAACTAATTTACATCATTTAACATCAACAAAGTCTTAACCTGGAATATATAAGCCACCATTTGCTAAAGAAAATCCAAAGGCATTTGATATAGAGGTTGAAACTTAATTAAAAATTGCATTTTAAACAAATGTATAATGGAAGAGTTAAAAAAGGAGTGGAAGTGCTTAGAGAGCTTTAACTAGTTAAGGATTCAGAATAAGACCTTAATCATAGAAGCTTAAATGAAATTTATAATTGTATTGTTTTACTGTAATATCAAAACATATATAAAACTATAAGATTGATTAAGAATAAGGGCAAGAATAATATACTAAGGTAGTAATAGAATAAATTGCCTTATCCAATACATCTTCCTAAAAAGTTGCTATGATGATGAAATTCTCTTATACATACATTACAAGTCTCACAATGATAAGTGTCTTTTCGATAATGAACTATTTCGCAAATCTTAAAACCATAATTAAAATAAATACTTTGCAATTATTATGTTTATTCAGGGTTTCTTAAATTGCTGTATTGATTCCAGGATTAATAAGAGCAGCAATTACATATCCAAGAAGTTCTAAAACATTCAATATTATTGTTATGCAAAATTAAATAGTCTTCTGTTTAGGTTTTGTAAATTAGAAATATGTTATAATAAATAATCCTATTATTATAAATAGATTTATAATCCATTATGGACTAATTGCAAAAATTGGTTCATCATTAATAAATATTAAGGGAGTATAGTTTCCGAAATGTCTTTTCCATTCTTTAGCCTTTGTTAATCTCTTTTTAGATTCTTCATCTGAATCATGCTCAAAAAACTATTCTTCTTCTTTCATTTTATTAATTTTCATTTCTATTTAAGATATTTCAGAATCATCCAATTCTTTTTCAATTGGTTTTTTTGAATCTTCTAAATTGTATTTAATATCTTCTTCATCAAATTCTACATTCATATCATCATCATCGTCTTGCTTTTCAAAATACTCAAAATCCATTATGTAAATTATTATTTAATTGAGATCGTAAAAAAATAATTAAGTTTATTTTTCTTATTTATTAATATTCACCTAAATAATTTTAATAATATGCAAAAAGAAATAAGAACAAGTCATAGACTAGAACAAGATAAAAAGGTGAGACAAAATTAAATTTCAGAATTGATTAAAATATTTGAAGAAGATTAAATACAATATGATATTGTTTAATCATTTTCTAATGAGCTTGAATAGGCTGCATTTGATTTATCTGGTGGAGAAAATACAAGAGAATATAGAACTAGATTAAATACTGTGAAAATTAGATTAAATGGCACTAAAGGTAATTTATTAATAAATAAATTTAGGTCAATTCATTCGATCAGTTTTATTATAAAGAATAATGACTCCTTTAGAGTTGATGAGTTTTGATATGTCTAAATTAAATGAAAATTCAATATAAACATTTTTAGAACAAAATAATAGATAATTACCTCAAAAGAATGTCTCTAATAGATTAAATTAGAAATTATAAGCTGATAAAGATCTAATTATAAATTCAAATTAAAAATTAAAAGAGGATTAAATTATCAATTAATAACAAGAATAGAAATAGAAACTTAATGAAGAAAATATAAAATAATAAGAATAACATAAATCTACTGAAATTATTGTATCTGAAACATAGGCTGATATAAAAATAAAATAAAACAATAATCCTCATAATCAAATAATTACTACTCATGCAGAAAATGATAAAATTGATTTTGCACCTTAAGAAGAACCCGTTTAATAATTTGAAGAATTCATAGATTATGTATTAGTTATTTCATTCTTAGAGCTTTGAATATAATTAGAAATAAATAGATTTCGTTGAAGGAAATGATTTTCCTAATATTGAAGAACTTTAAATTAATGAAATTAAAAAAAATAATTAACTTGAAGATTAATTTGCTAATAGTCCATTACCCTCTGACAATGTATTAAATCAAGAATTTCTATAAGATGATCCTTAAGAGGGTATTAAAGAGAATGTTTAAACTAAAATTTTAGATTCTTAAATTTAAGAAGAGGAACAAAAATATTATGATCATGAATGTAGTTTCTAAGCATAGGAACAACAATTAATTGAAGCTAAAAATTTTAATCTTATTTTAGAATAATAAACTGATCATTAATTAGCTGAATTTGCAATTTAGACAGCTAATTAAAATTTATAATAATCTATATAAAATCATTTGTAGGATTCAAAACCAGATTTCAATAAATTTCATACTAATCATTTTGAATAATAAATTTATTAAAAAGTATTAGAGTAACACTAATAAGAATAAAAAATTGTTTAAGATGTTTTATTTTAGTAATAATAATAATAATAATAATAATAATAATAATAATAATAATAATAATAATAATAAAATAATTCTGAAGAAGAACTTCCTTAGAATTATGATGAATTTTTTAGTTTTATTGCTAAAAGAGATTAGAAATATGAAAAATAGATTGAATAACTGTTAGATTAAAATAAAATATTGACATAACAATTTTATAATATTTAGATAGAAAATTAAGTGTAATAAGAAAATTTGGAGATTTAAAATCTTAATTGTTAGAATCAAATTTAATAATTATGTAATGAGAATAATCTATTAAAATTGACTTTCAAATAAAATGAATAGGAATAACAATAATTAATGACACATTTAAAGGAATAAGCAAAAATTGAGAAGGCTTAATTTTAAAAGGTTTAGTAGAATTAGTTATCAATATAATAGAAACATAAAGAATTTTTAGAATAGATTAAATTTAATTTAGATTATAGAAGAGATACTGTATTTAAATTAATGTAGCCAAATCAATAAGGTATTAATTTGGATGATGAAATTAATTAGATTTAAGAAATTTTAGTAAAGCAAAATATGATAGAAAATAATTATTATTAGAATTTCTAAACAAATGAAAATCAAATATTCAATCATTTATAATGGGCAACAGAAAATGATACTTAAGGTATTGGAACAGTAGTAAATGCAGATTCTGGTTCAACTTAAATTCGTAGATAAAAAGAGGGTATGAACCCAGAATTTTAAGATGATAATGAATAAAATTAACTATAAAATGAAATATCTAATTAAGTGACAATAAATTAAACAAGAACATTATAATAAGGAATAGATAATTGTTATTAAAATTAGACTTTAAATATTGAATAAATGAATTAAGAAAAAGATCAGTAATAATAATAATAATAATTTTATAATAAGAGATAGAGTAATACAAAATAAAATGCTTAAGTAGAATTAGTATAAAGAAATATTGATAATTAAAGATAACAAGATTAAGAATAATTAAAATAGATGAAAAGGAATAATAATAATAATAATAATAGAGGAAATGAAATGGAGAGAAATGAATAAAGGAAAGGATAATAAATAAAAAGATATAATGTGGCTGAATAATAGTTTGATTGATAATTATTGTATAATTAAGAGGAATAGATAGAATTGTGTGTTTTTATAAACAAATACCTTACATAAGTGCGTAATTTTTATTATTATAAGTTCTAATTTGAATTTATATATAAATATATTATAAAATTTTATTGTTTCTTTGAGTATTGATATAAAAATAGTTCAAATCTTAAATAAGCATTTGATTGTCCAATATTAATATTTAATTAAAAGATGTCTTGGAGAAAACCAAAAGTAATTCATTAAGAAAGTGGAAATGGTTATGAAATAAGAGGATTTACTGAACCAACATTCAAAAGAACTCCTCATTGTTCAAATGATGATGATATTGATGTAGACATTCCAAATGGTGATCTTGAATTTGGTAAGAAAATGTATGGTTAAGCATGTGCTGGTTGTCATGATTTAGGTATAATTTAATATTTATAATACAAAGACAGTGATCTTGATTAAGGTCCAGCTTTAAGAAATGCATTCTTAAGAAGATTAGGATCAAATAAGAAGTTTTCTAATTATGGATGGGATTTAAGAGCTAGACGATTATATTGGACAAGAAAGTTATTATGGGATTTCTTATAAAACCCAGAAAAAATGTTTTTAGATACTAACATGCAATTTGATGGAGTATTTATAATAAACATATTTTTAGATCTAAGACCCCAAAACTTTAGGCAGTATTATTGATTATATGTAATATTTAACCGTGTATACTTATGATCACCGAGGATCAAAACGACCCATCTTTTGAAACAGAATCAATAAAAATATATATATATATGCATCACATTAAAATTTTAATATATCTTTTATCATAATTCAAGCAATATTTATTCACAAATAAACTATAAGAAATTTAAAATATTATTATATATTTTATATATATATTATTATAATAATCTCTTATAAATATTTTCTGACGAAGAATCTATAATTCAATTAATCTAGTTCTAATTCATTTATATTTATAAAACAGGAATTTTTATAGGCTATGGTAATTTATATACTTGAATATCATTAGATGATGGCTGTTATTCTCTTACATCAGAACCCTATTGAGTTCTTAAACCAGTTATAGCTCCTTGAAAAAAGTCTTCTAAACCCATTTCCTTTACTAATGTTTATGTATACTATAGAGAATTCAAATAGATTAAATACTTAATCCATATCTGATGGGTAATTACAATATAATTAAAAACTAAGGATGTATTTCAACATTGTTAAATAATTATCTATCAAGTAAAGAAATCTACCTTAAATTTTGCTCTAAAAAATTTTGAGATTATAATCACTAATGGTTGCATGATCTTAGTACACATTATCAATATTTTCACTAAGCTGACTTACTATAACGATATAAGGAGGTTATTAAATAAAGTTTAGTTCTTCCTTTCTTCTTGTTGTTATAATTAAAGCAATATTTTTCTATTTTATAAAGTTTATAATTTTAGTTCTATCAATCTCCCTTTATTCTCCTTTTACAAATTCATCTAAAATAAAAGCATCTATATTCTCATTAATCTAATGTTGATTGACAGTCATTTTTATTTTCAATATAATAAAACTTTATTAATGAAAAAATATAACAAATATGAAATGAATCAAAGCTTTTCATTTAAAACATTTTATCCCATATTTTTTTGAAAAAGGTATAAACTCTATTGGTGGAGGCAATTTCAGTCCCTCTATTTCTGAAATAGGTGGTTCAATATCCAAAAATATTGGCTGTATGGGATTGTTTTATCTTTATTGAGCTTAATCCTATTTTGAATCTTAACAATTTCCAAATTTAGAACAATCAGAATTCTTTGTTTCATTTATCTCATTTTCAGTTTAAATTTTCTATTAATTTTATTCATTTGCTTAGATTCTATTTGTTTCTAACAATAATGGTTTAAACTACTACTACAAAAATGGTAAAATCTACTAATTCATTTATTATTAATTATTAATGTTTAAGTCTGATTATATTTATTACATTATCAAAAAATTTCTTTCGCTTTCTTATGGTTTTTATTATTCTATTATATGACTAATAACCTCATTTTGGTTGTCGTTTCTGAACAAATATCCTGTATTTATACATTCAGTTTCAAAAAATTATTTTGGATTCTTTTCTATCAATTCATAATATTCTTACTAATCCTTTTTTGGAAGATTCAAAAAATATTTCTAAACTATTTTGATAAATTTATTACTTATTAATTAATCCATTATTCATTTTTATTCTCTTTCATAATCATATATGTATAATAAAGATTGTAAAGTTCTTTTTTTTAATTCTATTTTGTAATTATTAATCCTACATTCTTTTTCTCTTAATATATTTCATACTAACATCATAATAAAAATTTATTACAAATATTTCTTCCATTTATTTTTCAAAATCTTAATTTCCAAAAGATTTTGTGATTTCCTTCAAACTCTCTAATTCATCTTTTTAACCCTCTAAAAGAAATAATGTTTTTATTTGACATTTTTCTATTACTTTATTTAGCTCCATCTTATTCAAAGCTTATTCAATTTAAAGAATATAAAGATGCATTTCAGCTTGACCATGTTTAATTTTTTGGTTCTCAATAATTATAACTTAATTCATTATAATATATTTATATTAATTAGTTATCTTTTTTAATATTTTGCATTGAATCAATCTTGATTAAGACTTTTTACTTTATAAGGTTTACATTTACTATCTAATTTATTCCAATCAATCAATCTAATCCTTTAATTGATTTCAGATATCAACTTTTAATTATTCAATATAACTTCTCTCAATTAACAAGATTTATTTTTATTCTACTTTTTTTTTTACTTATGTTTCTTCCTTTTATAATTTCTAAAATACTTTTCAAAATATTTTCTTCATCCTTATTTAAATATTATTTTAAAAATAGTCTAATCTCATTTTAGATAATATTATTAAATCTAAGAATTTACTACATGAAATTTTTATTTTTAAGTTATGTATTCATAAACTTATTATTTTCAATACAATCTATTATTCATGTAATTGTGATCTAAAAATATTCTATTGTAATAGTTTTCTTTAATCACCATAATTAATCGAGAAATTCTTATTCAATTATGTATAGATCAACTATATGAATAAGTGAGAATGTAAATTTAATTTATTTTTTTAATTAGGTTGTTTTTATTAAGAATAATATAATCTTACAAATATAATTAATAAGCGATTTAGAAAGTATGATTTCAAGATAAGAATAATAAATCACTAATTTATAAATTTGTTTGATATATCCATTTTTATTTGTTAATTATTTTTCTATTAATATTATTAGCAATAAAATTATTTTAAAATGGATCAAAATTGTTATCAGAACATTTAGAAAAAATTATTAGAGAATAAATTAGATTTTAGTAACAAGAATGATGACGTAAAGAATTTGTTTCTAGAATGCAATAAAATATAGAATGTACAATTAATATTTAAATTTAAGAATGTGCTAGGTTATAAAATTATGACTCAGATTTTTCAAGCAATTTAAAAATCAGGGCAAAGAGTCTTACTTTTAGATTAGGATCAAATCTAAATAATCAGATCATGCAGATGTTTGGCAATTTTAGGTTATTTGTATTTTCAAGAAACAATTAAAATATAATAAAAAGATAAAGAGTTTAGAGAAAATATAAGAAATTAGATAGATGATCTCTAAAAACAAGGTTAGTTAGAAAAAGCTTTTTTGTTAGATGAAGCAATGAAATGCAAAACAAAAGAAGAATATACAGAGATTAGTTCTATAATTAAAATTATGGTAAATGTGTTAATAGATTTTGGATCCGATTCATTTCATTTTACTTAAATCTTTGATGTAGTTCTAAATTCCTTATTGCTAACAGGAAATAATACAACGATTGGAAGAGATCATCAGTTATTATCTATTCTGGATAAATTACAAAAGCTTCTTGAGGATTCTCAATCACCTTATTTATGGACTATTGTCTTAGAATCAATATTAAATGCATCCACTTATATGGAAAAACCTACAGATTTTGTATAACCTAATTTAATTGCAAGAATTATCATATTTAAAGTATATTATTCTAATTCATATATATATAGATTCCATTTATTGATGATATCTTTAATTATTTTGGTACATATTTAGGAAAATGTTATAAATTTGAATATAAAATGTTTGAATCTATGTTAAACTTTGGCCTAACATAATAAACACTTGAATTAATATTGAAATTTAGCTAACAATTTGTTAAAGAATATTAAACTGAAATTTTAATAGAAATGAGAAACAAACTTGTTCCTGATCTAATAAAATACATGAAAAATGTTTCTTGTTTTGATTAGATCTAAAATTTATTTAATTAATTCTTAATTTCTTCTTTTTAATAAATAAGTACTCCAGAATTAGATAAATAACATTATTAAGAAATCATAACAAACTTTGATAAGAATTTTGATTTATATTAAGAGAAATAATTACAAAGAATTGCAAATTTTCTTGCATTAATGCTAAGATATTATAAAAAATAAGAAGTGAAAGGCTTTGAAAATTTAGAAAAAAAATTTAGAAATAAATATATCCCAATACCAAATCCAAATTAAACATCATTAGATAAAATTGAGTAAATTTAAATTTGGTTTAATGATGAAAATTAATAGAATGAAGAAAAATAGAAACCATAAAAATTAGTTGGTTTGAGAAATTTATAAAATAGTAATATTTATAGTATTAATAAATAGCATGTTATTTAAATAGCTTCATTTAAGCATTATTTTGGACATAAGATTTTAAAAACCTAATAATTAATGTATTCAAAAGAGAAGAAGTTGTATTTTTAAAATCATTTAGTTTAAAAACAAATTTTTTAAGAGTATTTTGTTTATAAATAACTTTTTTAGTGTTTTTTATTTTTAGATTCAATGACTGAAGAGATTGATTATACTCCATTATTATTAAAAAGATCTTTAAGAGAACCATATAAAACAGATGTTAGATAATAAGATGCAGCTGAATTTGGTGTACATTTATTTGAAGATATGGAAAAAAATTTTAATCCAGAAGAATATGTATTTTATTAAATATATTTATGTCGTATAGAAATAAATTAAAGAAATATTTTATGGTATGTCAAAATCAACTTTTATATGTAAAAATTGCGATAAACCAACCACAGGACCAGATGAAGAATTTATGTATATTACTTTGAACTTTGAGGGTAATAGAATTGGGAAAAATCAAGATGAAATAGAAAAAATGATCTAAAGACATTAAATGAAGGAATAAATAACATTTAATTGTGAATTATGCAAAAAGAAAACTTAAAGTACTAGAACTTTAAAATTTTTAAAATTACCTAAAAATATAATCATTTAAATTAACAGATTTGAATTCTAATAAGGAATTCGTTCTAAAATAAATGATCAAATCAATTTAAAACCTAACATTAAAATAAAAGAAGAAGAAAAAGAATTAAATTATGAACTATATGCAATCATTATACATTTTGGAGAAATACCTGATGCTGGTCATTATACTATTTATTGTAAAGTTAATGATGAATGGTATCGATTTGATGATAGCATTGTAACTAAAATTCATAGAGATTTTGATAGAGTTTAAAGAAATTTTAAGTAATATTTTAAATAATATTATTATAGAAAAGAAGAAACCCCATATTTGTTATTCTTTAGAAGAAAAAATGAATGAAATGATTAATAAATATTTTTACATTTTTTATTTTAAAAGTAATCTACAATTTTTAGTACTTTTTATTAATTCTCTATAATCCTATATTAACTCTTATTATTCTTATTTCTTATCAAAATAGTTATTAAAATTATTTAATTTTATACATTATATATTATTCCTAAAAGCACAATATAAAATTAAATTGATGACTGAGTAAAGAATAAGTATGAATATTCACAAAGCCATTTTAAAGATGATGATATTTATCTCAATATCTGAAATGATATTTCTATTTTATTTTTTAATATCTAACACAATTAATCTTTTAAAAAACCAAGTTGTATTGCTATTGGATTTATTCTGAAGAGAATTTATTTTCTCTATTATCTATCCCTCTCTTTACATATTTTAAATAACAAAATTAAGATAAAATGTTCTCATTTTCATATATCTAGATTTTGCAAACAATTTTATAAAATACTTAAAAACAAATGTAATTATAATGAAAAATAAAATAAAATCACAAATAAAATTACTTAAATAATAAAGACATGAAATTAAATTGAAAAATTAGATAAAAATAATATCTCAATCATTTCATAAATAAACAATTGTGCATCATTTTCAAATTTTCTCAAATTCTATATGCAATCTACTATTTTCTATTTCTCCTTTCATTTAAAAATTTATTAATTTAATTTACTTAGGTATCTAATAATTAATTAAAATCAAATTGATTAGGCTACTTTATATTTATTTTATGATAAATATTTTTGAATTACTTTTTGAATTGGATTATTTATTCTTTAGGGTTGGAAGGTTATTAAATCATAGACTCTAAATGTTTCAGAGCTAAAAATTGATGATCCAAACTATAATCACTCAAAGCAGGAAAATTAATAAAATCAGAATAAAGAATAGCTTTTTCTATTTAATTATAAAGTCTTAAGATCTCCTAAATTTTTTAATGATGAATTTGATCAGATTTCTATAAGTAAATCTCTAATTAAGATTATGTAAAATAATAGTAGAGTCTTATGTCTAAAGGAAATTAATTTTGCTCGATTAAATAATCAACATAATCAAAATACTCTTCATTCATTTTATTTTCAAGTATTTGAGTCTCATTTGTTTCTTGTAAAATACTATAAGAATTGCATTTTTCTTACATGTTGAATTCTGAATACATGTAATCCTACATGTTGCATTCTGGCTATTTCTATTTCTAGATGTTGTTATTTAGGTACAGATGGTAACTCAGGTACAGATGGTGACTCAGGTACAGATGGTGACTCAGGTATTGTAAAAATATGAAAATATAAAATTAATAATAAATTAAAAATTAAGAGATCAACAGTCTTTGTTGTTCTTTAGGTACAGATGGTGACTCAGGTAGATGTTGTTATTTAGGTACTTTTGCTTACAAACTTTTAGAACCACAACAACCCATTGTATATATAAAGTTATTATTAAAATTCCAAATAAATTATGAATAAATACTTGTTAATTTTTTAATTCGCAATTTTATTAAGAATCACTACACAATATAATTCCATCAAAAATTAACAGAGTTGTCATAATAGAACTAGATTTGTTGAAAATATACCCTTAACTTAAACAAAGGGAATAATTAATTAAATTATATAATATCCTTAAAATTCTTTTTTGATATTCAACTGACATATGAGTTTAATATTGTTTTCTATAAAAAAAAAATAATTTTGGAATAAAGATAAAATAATGTATTAGGTATTAAAATTGCTATAAAATAATAATAAATTTGTTTTAAGTAATAAAATATTCAAAGCTAAGAATTCAGTTTGAGACCATTCATCAAAGTTTTAATTTAATCTTTTTCTAAATGTGAGTTTTCTAGTACATGTTTAGATGATTCAGGGTTATATTCAACCGTGAAATTATCCATGAGCTAATTAGATTATTTATTTTAATACAAATTTGTCATAGAATGATCCATACCAAATAATTCTAAAATCACCTTATCTGAGTGCCCAAAGACATGTAAATAAAATAATCAATGGATAAACAAAAATGGATTATGGTAGCTAGATTCCCTTTGATGAGGCAGATAATGTTCCTAATGACCAACATATTATGCCAAAAAAGAGACCAAGCATTCCAATTACAAAATAAATTCTTGAATTTCTATTCTTATCAAATCTATACAAATAAGATATTGATAATCCAGGAACTACTAAATCCATTAATGATAACCAAACACAAATTTTGTCAAGGTTATATCTAAATTATGGCATTTAGAAAAGTACTGGATAATTGGAATACTTAAATATTAATAAATATAAGAATACTTGCAAAACAACTATTTAATAATTGACTGAAAAAGCTGTTGTCAAAAGATAAAAGTAGTATATACAATCAAATATAATTATTGCTCCATATAAAATAGTAACTCCTCTTAAACTTATGATCTTAAATAATCTAAGTAAAGATCCAGATATGCAAAAAGTTATCAAGTTTGAAATGTACCAAGCTTAATTTAATGTTAGATAAAGAACTACTAATGCTATCGATAAAACTATTGATATGCAATCACATACTCTTATTGATAAGTAGATTTGTGCTTATAATTTCAAATTTACTGACAAAAAGCATTGTAATTCATTGAATATAAACCAACAGCAAAATAAAGCTAATACTAAGCACATTATCATTACTACTTCATACCAAGAATTTATGAAATGTACAAGTACATAAAAAAGTATTGATGCAATTATATAAAATATATACAATACCCAATTGACTATAAAACCCTAAAAGTATACTACTTAACCTTCTAACTAAAATGATTAAATTGCAATTAATCTTTTTAAGAAAGGAGATTTTTATAGATTAATCTCAATTTTTAAAGATCTAATTTTAGCCATCTTAGTGAATAGCCAAACACAAAAGCATAAAATTAATACTAAAAAAATTGTAGTTGAATCAAAATTAATCTTTATTTATTGATACTTCTCAAGTGTTGTGTATTAACAGATAAGCCAATATTAGAATGTAAGATTTTCCTATATATTTGATTGAGGATTAAGTACTCCAATCTCAAATTCAATCATTCCTGATTCTATTGAGTTTGAGTCACTCTTATCTTTCTCGCATATATTATTTATTTCAATATTTGTAGAGTTATTTATTGTATAATTTGAGTATTATTTATATCCCAAGTTTGTCAATTTAAAATGTTGATTATATATAACATATCCATTTAGTATAATTTGTAAAGTATTTTGTAAATTTGAGTTTGAGGTGGCATTAATTATTTATAATTCAGGAGGAGTGCAACACGATTTCTCATTCCAATGAAATAAAGTATTATATTTTGATTCTATACTATAAATCATCCAAGAGTATTCAAAAGTATCGATCAAAGTAATTGTTTATGAGAAAGCATTTACCATCAAAATAAGAAAAATACGTATAAACATTATTTAATTAATACAAAAAATCAATCACTAAATATAAGTCTATATTAGAACAATATCTTTTAATATATAAATTAAAAATAATATCTATAAATATTTAGTAGGATAAGACCTAAACTAGGTAAGAATTAAAAATAAATGATTATTTTAAAAGTTATGAAATTATGTACATTCGATATATTTGGATAAAAAAAAATAAAGATCAATATAAAAATTAAGAAATTAAACATCTGATTTTCATTTTAAGTAAATTAGAATAAAAATTACTAAGAATGTTTTTTATTCTTTATCTATTTTCTTTTTGGTTTTATTAATAATTCATATAATCGTTATACTTATTTAAATGCTAAATACTTCAATTAATTTTTTTGAGGAGAATGACATAATCAAATTAAGAAAATACGTATTAAAACATTAATTATGAAGCTCATTGGGAAAGAGAATGAATGGAAAAAAGATAAGGCAGTTTTAGAATAAAAAATATAATTACTTGAGCTTTAATTAGATGATTACAAATCAAGAGAATTCAACTATAAAAAATTGAATGAGACAATAACACAAGCTATAAATGATACATCTACAGCATAGAAAGTATTGATTTGTTTAAAATATAATAGAGATCTGTTTCTGAATTATAAAAAAATGTCGATATTTAACAGAAAGATCATAATAAGGTGATTTATAAGGAGTAGATTAAGTCTTTGGAACTTTAAGTAAAAATTGATTAATAAAAATGAATAGGTTAGATCGTTAACAGAATAATTATAAGAAAAAGATTAATAAGGAAAAGAGATGGAATTATAATTCTAGAAACAATATTATCAATATGATCATAGAATAATTTAATTGGAATAAGAGAAGACATAGTGTAATTAAGAAAATGCAAAGTTGAAAGAATAGATATTGAAACTTGAAGAGAGTTAAAAATAGAGAGAATAACAATATAAAAGTTAATTGGACTAAGAAATATAAAGGATGAAAGATTTGAATATGTAAGATAATGATGCCAAATAATCTGATTATGAATCAAAATATTCTTAATTGTCGTTGTTGTATGAGAAAGAGAAAGAGTAGCTTCAATAAAGAATTAGTAAATGTTAGAATACTATAAAAAGATATTAATAACATATAGAATAAAATATAGATATAGTTAATATAAAATAGTAGTATGAGGAGTAAATTCAATAACTTTAGTAATAGAATTCAGTATTATAATCATAATTTCAATATGAGAGATAAATCTTATTGTAATAGATCGATGAATTAAAGAAATAATAAAGAGATCATATAATGAAGGAGAGTATAAATTATCATGAATCAACATCCAAAAAAAGGAGTGTTGATGCAGTGAAAATTAAAAGTTCCTTATAATCATATGATAGTCCAGTGTAATGTAAGAGTTTTCATATTGCCAGTTAAGATACAAAAGGAATAACTTATAATTAATATATTAAGAATTAATCTAATTAATCCCTTAATTTTACTTAAAAATAGCTTTAATAATCTTAATAATAATAATAATAATAATAGAATAATTAATCATTTGAAAAGTGTTCTAAATAAAATGATGGATTACCTATATCAATAGATTAGTTTAATTTAATGAGAAATAAAAAGTAAAAATCTTAATCAACTTTATCAATACCAACAAGCAATAATTATAATTTAAATTCATTATTATAAGAAGCTAGTATATTTTAATAAAATTAAGAATCATTTTAATTGGATTCAAATAGCAATCCTAAAGAAGATTGTTCTAAATTAAGAATTTTGAGATAATTGAATCCAAATATTGGAAATAGATAATTAGATTATAACCGTTCAGTAAAGAATGATCAATATAGATAAGTAGAATAAACTTATTAAAGATCAGCATCATAAGAGGGTTTAAAGAGTTCAGTATCTAATTTAAGTAAGATGCTTGGATAAACTGAAATAAGTTATTAATAGTAATCAAATTCAACATAATAATAAACAAATAATACTTCTTTAAATAGTTTAAAAGTACCTGTTTTTACATAAAATTAATTAAATAGTTTGAAAAATAATACTTAATATATATATCCTTGTGCTACTTTGAGAATGAATGAGAATCATGTTTCAAAGGTGAGATATAACAACAACAATCATAGTGTTCATGAGGAGATTAAATAAAATAAAGAAAATCAATAGCCAACCAAAAAATAATCTAGGAGTGATATTAAAATGATTATTGGAAAGTTATTATAAACAAAAGTAAAACAAAATGATAATTTGGATAAGACTTCTTAATTTTCAAAATTTAATCGGATTTGAATAATTTATTTTTCATTAATAAAATATATAATTACAAAAATAATTTAAAGATGGCTAGAGGATAAGAAGTTAAAGTCTTGCCTGAAGAGAAAGATGCCTTAGAAAAAGTAAGGAAAGCTGTATAAATGCTAATTGCAAATGGGAGCATTGATTTTATTGTCATTTTAAAATTGATTCAATAGAAAAAGGTTTTCATTAATTAAATTGCAACCGAGTTATATAAGTATTGCAATGTGATCTATTTAAAGTTTAACTAAAATATATTTAAAAGAGAAAAATGTGGTCCAATTGATTTTCTTAATTGATTTCATTTGTAAAAGTGATTTAAAAGATTTCAAAATTGCCATTAGATCATACATAGTGAAATTATTCTTAAAAATATATAAGAATTAAAAAGAGTTTGGATGTGATCTATTAAAATTGAAAACTGTATTTAAAAGTTGGGTATTCATTTTCCTTTAAAATATAGTTTCATATCTTTCCATTACCTACATTGATTGAAATCAGTAATAAAGTACAATAAGAATTAAAAGAAGATTTAGATTAATTGCCTCATGAAAAATTAGAGGAGCTAAAAAAGTTTTATAAAAGTTTAAATGTAACAGGATATGAATAATTCTTAAATGTAATTTATATTAATTACATTATTAGGGAACCTACAAGAGACCAGCAGGAGTTAAACGTCCAATGGAAGATTAAGTAGTTAAAAAGATTAAACCTGAATAAAAAAATTAATAAAGTTAAAGAGTAAATGTAGCTGTTTAATAATAATAAAATTTTGTATAATAACAATCAATTCCTCAACCTTAAATATAATCCTTATCTAATCATTAATAAGTTCATACTTATTCATAAGCTATTCAAAATATTCATTAATAGAATAATTAAACCTCTGCTTCTTAATAATTTAGAAATCTCTAACCTTCTCAGATGGTTCCTTGCAATCATTATGCACCCACAAATTCTCTATCAACCAATTATCCATACTTGAACCCTTATTATTAAAATTAGTTTTCTTAAATTCCTTAAGTGACAAATTTGAATCATAACCTTCCTCAACCTTCACAATAACAAGTATAACCTCAATCACATCGATAACCCTAATAATAAACACCATAAAATCCTAATACTATGAATTATACTTAATAATAATAAAACATTTTAAATACTTAACCATAGCCTCAAAAATAAACCAATAATCAATATTAATAACAACAATAATAATAATAACAATAATAATAATAATAACAATAATAATAATAATAATAATAATAATAATAACAATAATAATAATAATAATAACAATAATAATAATAATAATAATAATAACAATAATAATAACAATAATAATAACAATAATAATAACAATAATAATAACAATAATAATAGTATTAATAATAACAATAATTGAATAATTAAAAATAAGTTGTTATTCCTATAGACCCCAATTAAACCACAACAGTTTTCGGTTCTCTTTTTTAGTATTTCTCAGATTAACTTTAAATTAAGCATGATTTAGTAAACAAGGATGCTGTTAAGGAATTTTTAAAGTAATTGAATCAAATGATATGTGAATAGAAAATAAATCCCATCTTCAGAGTTACTATCAAATCCTAATCGTTATGGAACTTTAATAAAATGTCCAACTTGTTTTATGAGATTTAGAAATTAAAGTGCTTACATTTAACATTTGAATAATCATGCAAGTTATCAATTAGAAAAATTAAGAGAAGATTAGAAAAAAGAAGTTTAAATGAGCTGTTCTAGTGAAGTAAATTTATTTTTTATTTATAGGAATGGATGTCATCAACATAAACTATTAAAGAAAATAAAAATTAAGAAAAAAGTTATTCAATAGATCTAGATAAATTGAATAACTAAAATTGTGCATTTTGCTTAGAAAAATTTTAGGGTCGTTGGGATTCAAAAAATTGTAAATGGATTTATGAAAATGTCAGAAATTACACCCTAGAATCAAATGATTTTGATGATCCTTAGTTAATTTCAATTCATTAAAAATGTAATGAAGTTTTAAATGAAATAAACGCTTGAAGATACTCTTCTATTTTTTTTTGAGAATGATTATTTAATATTCATAATACAAAAATTATCAAAATTCCTATCTAATTATTTTTTTCATTAGTCATTTTGATTTTCTGACAGAGAATCAATCTAAAAAGTTTCCAAAGTTTCCAGTTCATAAATCTGTTATACTTTTTTTATTTACTCAGTATTTAAAAATTATTATAACTAAGTTAAAACATTAATTTATTTCTCATTTTGACTATCTACAAGAGAGCTGTTACTATTAAAATCAGAGTCAAAACTAATTTATTTTTTTGAAGATATTTGAGGCCTATTATGTGATAACATGATAGCCTAATATGGTAAAAAATGTTCAAAATTTGAATTATCAATAATTAAATTATAAGTTTCTCCTTATATTTAATATTAATTTTTATAATCAGCAACTATAAATTCTTAAAGTGAATTAGATCTACTAGATTCTTGTGATCTATTTTCTGATTACAAATCTTCTGCTTATTCTTCTTCAGAATCGATTTAATAGTTTATAAAGGGATATTTGAAAAAGGGATTTTTTGGATTTATTGGTTTGATATCGAGTATCTTACCATTATAAAATCTATGAGAATCAAACAAATCAAAATATACTTTTCTTTTCATTTATTTTAAGAGTATTTTTTATTTTTTTTATTTATTTGATTTCTTCTATTTAACAGGTTTAGATGGTTCTTGATCTTAATTAAGTATTTTTGGGCAAGTTTATTCAGTTTAATTAAATATTTTTTCGAATTGGTTTTATTATAAGAGATCCCATTTTTATATTACAGTGTTTTTTTTTTTTTTTTTTTGAATAGAAGTATTTTAATTAGATTCTGGAATTTCATCTATAATTTCATCAAATTTTGAAATCTATTGATATGAAGAATGTTTTTATTTAATTATAGTTTATCTATTCTTGTATTATTAATCTGAAAGATTACCATTTTTTAGTATACTTGAAATAATAGTAGGTTTATCTTTTTTCTAATAAATTTCAGAATTTACTAATGGACTATGAAATTTAACTGATTTAAAACTTAAATTTGGAGAGGCAGATGATTCAGAAAACAAATCTTATTAGTTTAGTTATAAGCTTGTATCTAATTCTTGTTTTTAGTTGTTATCTTCAGTAAAAGGGAATTCTAAATTTTGTTTCAAATCTAAATATTAAATAAAGGCTTCTTCAATAGTATCAATATCTTATTCTTCCAACAAAGAATCTATTATATTTTTAATGGATTTAAGAATTTGAAAGATAAGAAGTCTTAATTTTCTAACTTTTTAAAATGTCTCAACATTTCCGTGATCTCTTAAACTTTTTATATCTTTCATCTCGTAGTACCCTTTAATATCAGTAGAAATAAAACTAAGATTTTCTGCATTTTTGAATACTTTCTAAATGTCTAAAAGATTTAAAAAATTTTAATAATCAAAATTCTATCCAATATCTACATCGTTTTAATTTACCCATGAAATTGTTTACATTCTAACAACCTCAACAGATGAATTGATCAATCCAAGCATTTGTTCTTAGTCAAAATTTTGATATTTATTAATAGTTGATTTCAAAAAGCTTTTACAAATTTGAGTTAATTTGCAAATACGATATGACATAGGTTAACCCTCCAATTTCACAGAAATTAGTCTTTATAAATAATTAAGATTATTTATGCCACTTCTTTTAGTTATTTTAATTAGTTCTTAATTTGGTTATACTTCCAACATAGGTAAACCCATTTTAATTAGTTATTTGAAAATATTTTAAAAATAAGGTAATCTTTCTTATACTGCTTAATTAATTTCTATATTATTATTATTATTAAGATCATCTTTATATAAAATCTTAGAATATTTTGAACATCCTTGAATAGCTGATGAACTTCTTTTTTAATTAGTTTTGGAAGACATATTTTGAATTTTATATATATAAATAAATAATTAAGTTTAAGTTTGAATAAAAAAATCAAAGTTGTTTTTCTGAAACAATCCAATCTCTGTAATGATTTATACGACATACAAGATTTTATGAATAGACTCCCATGATATCTTGGATATTCTAAAAAATAGGGGAGGAAGGATACTTAAATATAGGAATCAAAAATTTCATTGGTTATTTTAAGTCTTTTGTGAATGAGTTAAATTTCTTTTTTTCTAAAATGTGTTCTATTTTACGAAATGAAATCAATTTCTATTTTTATCAAATTTTTCCAATCTATTTAATGTTCCTAAATTAGAGAAATACAATTACTTTGTATATTGTAGCATAAAAAGGAACTTAATTCAATTTTTTAGCTAATTTATCAACTAAACGAGAAGGTATAGTGTAATTTTATGTAAGTGATGATTTTAAATCTTGTGAAAAATCTTATAAAAGTAAATGATTTGGTTTGAGTGATTGAATTGTTGATAGTATCGATTATGAAACATTGGGATTGATATTAAGCATAAGTAAATCATCTTTTTTTATGATTCTTGAATGATTATTTGTAATATATTCAAGTAGTAACATAATTTATTTTTTCTGTATTTCTTAGTTTTTTGTATCAACAACCATTTAGTTTAATACATCAGCTAAAATATGGAAGAATAAGCATACAATTTTCAATCAGATAGTTTTTAATAGGTTTAGCTCTAAGAATTGATGATTTATATTAGTCAATGATTTTAAGGATTTTACGAATAGCTCTTTGGGAAATTTAAAATTAGAGGAGTATTTTATAGAATAGGAACTTAAATTAAGTAAAATGAACATGATTTAATTGATGGAGTTCTGAAAATGAATGTAATTGAATGGTCAGTTCAGTGGAATGAGTTTGTGATTGAATTAAATTATTGATTAAGTGAATAGCAAAGGTAGTGAATTGATTTTATGAATAGGGTTGTAGGAAAGGCTATAATGTAATATCTTTGAGTAACTAAATGTATAATAAGTCAACTATTTAAGTGATTGTAGAATAGCCATTTAATTCTTAATAGAGGGTAGGAGGATTAAGTAATGGTTATCGTAACAATTCAAGTTTTTGAATGATTTTGATTAGATTTGGTTCAATAAGAAAGGTGATAATGAATTGATGTTTAAATTTAGTAAATTCTTATTTAGTTTGTATAGGTAGTGTATATTTAGAAAGTTGTATATGATTGGATGGTTTAATTAGATCTAAGAGGAGTTCATAAATTAATTCTGTGGGTTGGTGTTGAAATTTGGATTTAAGTGATTCCCATAGAATTTAAGTTTTATCAGTGAGACAATAGGCAGAAGATCGACGATTGTTTGTAAGTAGATTAGGGCGTGATATTTTTTTAGGATGTTAATTATGGATGATATCTGTAAGTTTAGCTAGAAGGGATTAATGTTAGAGTTTGCGTAGTTTGATTTCGTTGGTTTTAAGATAGGATCTGACAGGTGAATTGAATTGAAAATTGGGAGTAAAGGATGATTGATTTATCAATTAAGACATATTAGGTAATCGTAGGGAGTAGGCACTGGAACTACGAGCTTGACTAGGTGAAGTATATAGCATATTATTAATATTGACATAATCACACAGAAGATTTTATAATAGTTAATAAATTTGTAATTCATCAGTATTATGTTTAGATGAATGAGGAATTAATATATTTATTAATTTATAATAAGAATGAGTGGAACAGAAGAAGGGTATGTATGAATTAATAATGTAAATTAGAAGTCAAGATGATTCTGATGATCAATAATTCCCAAAGAGTTTAGCTAATTAAAGTTTATCGGAGAGACTTAAATAATAGGCTCTGGAAGTTCATAGAATGTTGTAGTAATTAGAATCGGAGTTTAGAGATGAAGATTGTTAAACATATTATATTTTAAGCAAGAAGTATTTAAATACAATAGATTACTTAGTTGGTTTGAGAAATGGAAACTCTATGTTGGTTATGATAATGTACTCAAGAATGAAAGTGTTCCCATTCAACCTGGATAGATGATACCTCAAAATTATAATCAAGATCTTCTTGAATAATATGTTAATGAATGCTTCAAATATTCTCCACTAAGTACTAACCCTTGGAATCTATGGTTAAAACCTGATCTCTAAGAAGGAATCCATTATATTGTTATATCATAACAACTTTCATCTTACCTTAATCAATATTATAGAGGTACTCCTATCTCTAGAAATACTTTTGGTTATTCATCGAATAAATAACTTATTGTTAATCTACTCAAAGTATTCAATCTCATTTTATTACAATAGTTTAATGCATTACTTATTATTCCTAGTACTATCAGTCAGATTGCTCAAGATAGTATTACATAATTTGATAAAGAATATTTATAAGTTGATCCAAATGTTAATCTCTCGGATTATTATGAAATCATTATCTAAACAGTGCCTACTTTCAGAGGCAATTATAATGGTGTTAGAATCTGGAGATTTCATAATCCAAATGATCCTCATAAAGCATTATTTGCAGAAATCAAAAAACAAGTCTAAGATCTAGACATTACTGATGATCTAGCTTTCAATTTCTCTGGATCACCTATCTAAATTTCATGTACTATCACCTTCTCATCACTCAATCTTACTGATAAAGATATCATACTAATTGAAGTATTCATATTTCTTTAATCTAGTTTCAAAAACAATATAAACCTTGGTGTATCAGACATCCCACTGTTCCATTAGAAGGAAAATGTGAAGGTTGTTCCAATATCACTGTTCTAAACTATCCTTGCATCTGCAAAAAAGTATCCTATTGTACAGAATAATGTAAAATTAATGATGAAAGATTTCATCGCAATAAATGTGATCCTCTTGGCTCTGATGATGAATAAGTTAAAAATATTCAATACACTCCTCATTCTGTCTAAGGACTTGCTGGTTTATCAAATCTAGGCAACACTTGTTTCATGAATAGTGGTACTTAATGCTTATCAAACACTTATTAATTAACATAATACTTTCTATCTAATTAATACTTTGATGAAATTAATGAAGATAATCCTTTAGGAACTAAAGGCCTACTTGTTAGAAAATTTGGATCACTTATCAAAAAATTATGGTGTGGTGAAAAAAATGTTGTCACTCCCTCTAGTTTTAAAAAAGCTGTTGGATAATTCTAACCAATGTTTAAAGGTTTTTAATAACATGACTCTTCTGAATTAATTACATTTTTATTGGATGGTTTACACGAAGATCTAAATAGAGTAAAAAAAAAACCTTATGTGGAAGCTAAAGATAGCAATGGTAGACCTGATGTTGAAGTTGCTAAAGAAAGTTGGTAGAATCATTTAGCTCGTAATTAATCTATTATTGTTGACTTAATGCATGGATAATATAAATCTACTTTGAAATGTCCAACATGTTAACAAATATCAATAACTTTTGATCCATTCTTAACAGTAGGATTATCGATACCAAATCGTAAATAGAAATCAATTTAAGTTAAGGTGATTTAATCAGTTGTTTAAATTCAAAGTAGATATTTAAGTTTTGATGGTTCAAAAAAGAATATGCCATTAAAAGATTTTGTATAAGAGTATGTAGTAGGTGAGTTCAAGATATAAGCTGATAGTGAATTATTGTACTTTTCAATATTTATGAATGATATATCAGATCCAATAAATCCTGAGGTAGAAATAAATGTAGTTAGAAAAAATGCTAAAAGAGGAGGTTATTTAGTGGTGAAAGTGTTGAGTGAAGATGAGAGGAAAATTGCAAAGGATGAAAGAATATATATAAGTTATGTTCAAAAAGCATTTGATTCATATGGACATTCATTTAAAAAGATCATTTAGGAGACAACTTATTTAATAATAAAAAAGGAATATAGTCTAGCATAGATTCATTTGGGAATATTTAAGAATTTATTACCAATATTTTGTGATATAATAAAAGAGAATGAATTGGATACAGATGAAAAATTGAGAGAATATTATGAATAGAATATACATGGAAAGGTAATGAAGTAATATGTATTTAGTATTTCAATATACATAGTAAATAGAATTTTATGGTAATGTAGAAGGATTGTATATTTTGTAATTCAAAAAACTGTTAGGAATGTGAAGTGAATTATTATTCATAAGAGACTTATGAGACAGCATAATAGAAAGAGATGGCAAATAGAAATAATTAAATGTTAAAGGTGGAATTATTAGTATTTTGGAATAAGAGTCCATTTTAAAATATAAATGCTGGAGAGATTTATTAATATTATTAAAGTTAATAATATAGAAAGTAGATGGAAGGTATAAAATAAATTTAATTGTAGAGGAGAACAATAACAATAATGAGAATGATAATAATAATAATAATAATGGGAAAGGGAAAATGATGGGTAAGAATTATACAAATACATTTATGATGGATTAATAAGTGAAGGTGACATTATAAGAGTGTTTAAGATTTTCAGAGTAACCAGAATAATTAGCAGAAGATAATGCTTGGTATTGTAGTTAATGTAAAGAACATGTTTAAGCATATAAAAGTATGTAAATTTATAAGGTAATGAATAATTTATATAAATTAGGCTTCAGATATATTAATATTCACTTTAAAGAGATTTAAAGCAACTCATGGTTATTTTAAATAGAAATTAGAAACTTTTGTTGAATTTCCAGTTAATGGATTAGATTTGAAAGAGTTTATAATAAATAAGAATAAACCTCATGAAAATAATGATATAGAGGAGGAATAAAAAGGATTGATATATGATTTATATGCAGTTTCTAATCATTTCGGTGGTATGGGTGGTGGACATTACACAGCATTTGCTAAAAATTAAGTATCATATATAATAATTATTAAATATTAGAAAAATTAAAAATGGTACAATTTTGATGATTCATAAGTTAGTGAATTAGATGAAGATTAAATTATATCAAAAAATGCTTATCTTCTGTTTTATAAACGCAGAACTGAATAAGAGTAGTAATAGACTTAAACATTTAATACATAAGAGTTAAATTGAAATATAATATATATACATATAATATATATAATATATTTAATGTAGAATAAAAAATAAAATGCAAATCAGATTTTGAAAAAGCATATATTCAATCTTTAAAATAGAGAAGTAAATGATAAAAGAGACTATCTATTAGATTTATCATATAAAATTGTATAACTATTGGATGATACTTAAAGTATTAATTCTATTTAATTTTATCTATTTAATTTGTAATATAAAATGATAAACATTGTTTTAAAATTTATGTTTATGACGTTTTCTTTTAGATTCTAATCTGAAACCATGAGTTATTAAAATTATAGTGTAGATATAAATATTTATAATATTGTATAACCAAAAATGATGATTTTATAGATTAAGAATCTTAATATACTATTTCTAAGAATAAACATCTATCAGATATAGTGGATTAAGATTTTCTTAATGATTGAAAATCTAGATTCTAAGTAAAAAAAAAACAGAAAAAAAGATAATGCGTAAAAATGAATTATCAATTAATATTTAAATACATTTTCCTGTTAAAATTTGTATTATAAATTTTAAATGCCAACAAAAAGAAGAGCCAAAAAAAAGAATAAAAGAGCTATTAAACGTATTATTTATGATAGCATTTATAGAATAGAAGTCAGGTAAAGTAGAGAAACAAAAACCTGAAAAAATAGAATATTAACCAAAACTTACCAACAGAACTTAAAGCAAAAGTAGAGCCTAAAATAAAAGCAATGATTAGAATAAAACTAAAGAGCAATAAAAACAATAAGAGAAACCTTTAGTTAAGGATATAATTGATTTATCTAATAACAATGGACAACATTAAGATTGTTAAATCTAAAAAGGATTTCCCGCTTTGTCGACTTTTAATCATTAAGAAGGTATTTTAACACATTGTCATTGATGAAGAATGTTCCAATTAAATTTCATATAATTCTCAGCTATTTACTTTCCAAAAAAGTGAAGTCCAGAATAAATATTCCAGATAATTAAGTAAACCCTAGATTATGAGTATACGATCTACTAAATTAAGTATCCCTACAAATTCTAAAAAATAACATATGGATATTGAATAAGAAGAATGTGAACTAATAAATTAAGCCATGATCTAAACAAGATGCAATCTTCTTGGAATACCAAAATAGAATAAAACATAAAAAGAACAATCCAGGACAACTGAAAACATATACTCTCATGAACCCTTTGAATAATAATCATCGTAACCTGAACACATTTAATAATAATTATAATTGATGGAAGAATGTTTTACATCATTACTTGAAAGTACAGTTCCAGATGAAATACTTTGTAGAGATTAAGAAAAGGTTCTTATTACAAGATTTATCGAAGAAGGAATAAAAAATAATGGATAAAAATAAGCTTTATGTATAATCATACTCCTTATTCAATAGATATATCAGGAGTCCCAGGAATAGGTAAAACTGCTACAGTTTTAGAAGTTAAAAATTAATTACTCTCTAAAAAACTTAATTTCGATTTTATCTATTTTAATGCCATGAATGTTTCAACCCCAGAAGATATTTATCCATTTCTCTATGAAAAAATTACTAATAAAAAAGAAACCTCCAAAATTAAATCTTGTATTCTTTTAAGTTTTTTTTATATCTATATTTTTTAGCTGAACTTTTCAATAATCATTCTAATATGATATAACAAAATAAAGTAATCTTATTAGATGAATGTGATAACCTTTATACTACAGATTAATAAGTTCTATATAATTTGGTTGATTGGCCTTAATAACCATCAGCTCGTTTGACTGTACTTATGATTGCTAATACTATGGATTTTCCTGAAAGACTTAAACCTAAATTATAATCCAGATTAGGAAATCATAGAATCGTTTTTAAACCCTATAATAGTACTTAAATAGAAAGTATATTATAATAAAGAATGAAAACTAAAAAAATTAAATAATTGTTTGCCTCCAATACTTTAAATTATTTAGGAAAAAAAATTGCTACAATTTCTACTGATATTCGCAAAACTTTAAGTGTTTGTCGAACTGCTATTCTTTTAGCAAAAGAATAACTCTAAAAACAAAACATTCTTTCTCAAATCGAAGTTGATCACATCAAACTAGCATATGATAAAATATATAATAAACCATAACATAATGCTTTATAATACTTTAATGATGAATTAAAACTGCTCTTAATAATGATTGCTCTTGAAATTCATGTCAAAGGATATAATTATGCATATTTCCATCAAGTTATTTAAAGACTTAATCAATAAAAATAATTAAAAAATTAATAAACTTTAACTTATAATTAAACCAAATATATCTTAATTAAATTAGCACAATTAAATTTAATTGAAATTAAAGAAGGCCAACTTATATTAACTAAAACTAACTGGTAATAAAAATTACAAGTATAAATTTCATCTCTTATTATTCTAGAATAGTTTAGATAAAGATAGATTATTTAATTTAGATGATATTCTCATTCAACTTAAAATCAACATTGATGATATCAAAAATGGATTATCAAATGACGACCTTTTCAAAGAATTTTCAAATTTATTTTGATTTCAATTTGAAACTAACTATAAAATATTTTATATTAAAATTTTTTTATTTCTTTTTATATTTATCATTTTACTTTAAAAACAATATTAATAATCTATTTCTTATTAGATTTATTTCGTATATAGATATTCTTTTAATAAATTATGCAAATATTTTATTTAATCATAAGTTCATTTCAATATAATCTTTTCAAATAGAGAATTTAAATAGCAATATTTTTCGTTCTAATCTTCAATTCATATAAATATGTTTTCTTATATAATCATTTATTTTTATATATTTTATACTTAATATCATGGTATTTGGTTATAAAAAAGACAATTATATGATTATAATATATCAATAAAATATTAAATATTAATTCTATTTTTTTAGATTGAAATTTCAATTTTCAAAAATATTTATTTCTGAATTTTTTATATTTTACTTCTAAACAAATTTTTCATAGTGATTCGTTAATTTAGAAAAAAATAAAGAAAATAAAGAAATTAAAGAATTGAAGAAAAGAATACATAAATAGAAGGCAATTCTAGATAGATTCAGTAATTCAGAAGATTCTTCAATTTCTGAAGAAAAAGTAGATGTATTAAGATTTGAAAATCAATTAGGTTAATAAATATAGAATTAGAAGTTGAAAAACTGAAGAAGAAGAAAAACACATAAAAATTCAAAGAAAATTGAAAAAAAATTTTATTTCCGACTATTTTTTGTCTTTAACATCATAAAAACCCTAAGAATTTTTTACAAAAAAAATGTTAAAAAAAAGGCTTTATTAGGAATTAAATTAAAATAATAAAATTATTCTTATATGAACCTTTTTTTGATTCTGCCATAAAGAATTTTGAATTTTCGAAAATCTATTTGACATTTTGATAATGTAATAAATGATTAACAGATGAAATTTTTCTTAATTATAAGATATTCAAGTTTGTTTATAAAAATAATTACTGAATATAATTGAACTTTTCAATCGTTTCAATTTTTTCAATCAAAACATATATTTTACTTAAAATGAATTTTGATGTTCAAATTGAAAGTATAAATTTTATTGTTAAGACCATTATTAATTAAAATTTTTTGAAGATTTCTTGATTAAAATTAAAAAATTTATCATATAATCATTATAAGAGATTGTCATATATTTTTTAAACATATACTAAAGTTTTAAGAAAACTTTCTTCTCCATAAACAGACTAAGGCGGTAATACATATGGTAATTATCTTATTTTATAAAAACGATTTCTAAAAAATCTATATAATAAAATCGACGATAAAAACTATTAAAAAATAAAAATAACCATAAAAAAAGTAAAAAGTATTGTCCTAAATTAAATTTCTGCTTCAAGCTTCTAAATTAAAGTAGATTATCCTTAATCCATAATATTTGCAAATGCTTCACTTACGAAATTTAATGCNGTTCATTTCAATATAATCTTTTCAAATAGAGAATTTAAATAGCAATATTTTTCGTTCTAATCTTCAATTCATATAAATATGTTTTCTTATATAATCATTTATTTTTATATATTTTATACTTAATATCATGGTATTTGGTTATAAAAAAGACAATTATATGATTATAATATATCAATAAAATATTAAATATTAATTCTATTTTTTTAGATTGAAATTTCAATTTTCAAAAATATTTATTTCTGAATTTTTTATATTTTACTTCTAAACAAATTTTTCATAGTGATTCGTTAATTTAGAAAAAAATAAAGAAAATAAAGAAATTAAAGAATTGAAGAAAAGAATACATAAATAGAAGGCAATTCTAGATAGATTCAGTAATTCAGAAGATTCTTCAATTTCTGAAGAAAAAGTAGATGTATTAAGATTTGAAAATCAATTAGGTTAATAAATATAGAATTAGAAGTTGAAAAACTGAAGAAGAAGAAAAACACATAAAAATTCAAAGAAAATTGAAAAAAAATTTTATTTCCGACTATTTTTTGTCTTTAACATCATAAAAACCCTAAGAATTTTTTACAAAAAAAATGTTAAAAAAAAGGCTTTATTAGGAATTAAATTAAAATAATAAAATTATTCTTATATGAACCTTTTTTTGATTCTGCCATAAAGAATTTTGAATTTTCGAAAATCTATTTGACATTTTGATAATGTAATAAATGATTAACAGATGAAATTTTTCTTAATTATAAGATATTCAAGTTTGTTTATAAAAATAATTACTGAATATAATTGAACTTTTCAATCGTTTCAATTTTTTCAATCAAAACATATATTTTACTTAAAATGAATTTTGATGTTCAAATTGAAAGTATAAATTTTATTGTTAAGACCATTATTAATTAAAATTTTTTGAAGATTTCTTGATTAAAATTAAAAAATTTATCATATAATCATTATAAGAGATTGTCATATATTTTTTAAACATATACTAAAGTTTTAAGAAAACTTTCTTCTCCATAAACAGACTAAGGCGGTAATACATATGGTAATTATCTTATTTTATAAAAACGATTTCTAAAAAATCTATATAATAAAATCGACGATAAAAACTATTAAAAAATAAAAATAACCATAAAAAAAGTAAAAAGTATTGTCCTAAATTAAATTTCTGCTTCAAGCTTCTAAATTAAAGTAGATTATCCTTAATCCATAATATTTGCAAATGCTTCACTTACGAAATTTAATGCTATAAGATCTAATTCAGTTAATTGTATTAACTTTTCTAATTGATAATTATTTTGAATATTTTCACTAACTTTTGATACAAAATAATCTGTTGAATAGATTAATCCTTCAGTTAATTTTCCATCAATTACAATAGAACATAGAGGATCATCTATTAAAATACAAGAATCATTAGTCAAATATTTCAACAAATCAAAATAGTTTTCTTCAGTTTCTGAAGCTATCATTTAACCAAAATAAATCACTTTATTTAATGATTCTTAAATTAAAGTTTAATATTATAATATAATAGCATTTCCTATTGCAAGATTAGAATGAGATTAAGCATATTTTTATAAGATTTGATCAGTCATCATCATCTAAAAGAATTATTCAGTGTATATAATATTTTAATTATATACATCTAAATTATTTTTTAAATCAGTAATATTTTAAGTATTCGATGCTTTAACAGTTAAAAAGTAGACCAAACCTATTAATAACGTTACTAATTNTATAATTATTATTAAAAAATAAAGCAAATAAATTCTAATCTTTTGAAAGTGAATAGAAGGATTAACTGTAGGAATTAAATTAAAATAATAAAATTATTCTTATATGAACCTTTTTTTGATTCTGCCATAAAGAATTTTGAATTTTCGAAAATCTATTTGACATTTTGATAATGTAATAAATGATTAACAGATGAAATTTTTCTTAATTATAAGATATTCAAGTTTGTTTATAAAAATAATTACTGAATATAATTGAACTTTTCAATCGTTTCAATTTTTTCAATCAAAACATATATTTTACTTAAAATGAATTTTGATGTTCAAATTGAAAGTATAAATTTTATTGTTAAGACCATTATTAATTAAAATTTTTTGAAGATTTCTTGATTAAAATTAAAAAATTTATCATATAATCATTATAAGAGATTGTCATATATTTTTTAAACATATACTAAAGTTTTAAGAAAACTTTCTTCTCCATAAACAGACTAAGGCGGTAATACATATGGTAATTATCTTATTTTATAAAAACGATTTCTAAAAAATCTATATAATAAAATCGACGATAAAAACTATTAAAAAATAAAAATAACCATAAAAAAAGTAAAAAGTATTGTCCTAAATTAAATTTCTGCTTCAAGCTTCTAAATTAAAGTAGATTATCCTTAATCCATAATATTTGCAAATGCTTCACTTACGAAATTTAATGCTATAAGATCTAATTCAGTTAATTGTATTAACTTTTCTAATTGATAATTATTTTGAATATTTTCACTAACTTTTGATACAAAATAATCTGTTGAATAGATTAATCCTTCAGTTAATTTTCCATCAATTACAATAGAACATAGAGGATCATCTATTAAAATACAAGAATCATTAGTCAAATATTTCAACAAATCAAAATAGTTTTCTTCAGTTTCTGAAGCTATCATTTAACCAAAATAAATCACTTTATTTAATGATTCTTAAATTAAAGTTTAATATTATAATATAATAGCATTTCCTATTGCAAGATTAGAATGAGATTAAGCATATTTTTATAAGATTTGATCAGTCATCATCATCTAAAAGAATTATTCAGTGTATATAATATTTTAATTATATACATCTAAATTATTTTTTAAATCAGTAATATTTTAAGTATTCGATGCTTTAACAGTTAAAAAGTAGACCAAACCTATTAATAACGTTACTAATTCAACTAAGAAAAATAATCTCTAAAGATTGGGTTTCTCATCAGAAATTATAAATTATTTTTTCTGCTCTTATTATTATACTATCTATTAAAATCTCATAGATATTCTCTTATTTGTAAACATATCATTAAAACTAATATTCATATTACATTTATCCTTGAATTGAAATTGATACTTATATAAATTAAGATCAGAAGGTTATTGATATCGATGCTATAAAGATAATAATCTTATTGATTCAGTTTCTAATGCTTTAAATGATATTTATTCACAACTTCTTAAAATCCTATTGAGTAATCGAAATAATTAGTGAAATACAATTGCATAACCTATTAAAAGTATAACTTCATTTACTAAATAGATAATTAAACAAATGTCTTGTTAGTTTTCAAGGTCCGAAACATTTTTATCAATTTATTCTTAAAATTTTAATGTTAATTCTTCATAAGCTTCTTTATGAACTGAATACTAACTAATTAAAGACCCAAGAGAATTATTATATTTTTCAATAGTTGTAGAATTTGTTAAATTGATTCCATAAAGTCCTTATTACATATAGATCACGTAGAATTATTCAGTCCATGCACTTACTTATTATTCTTTTCCACTATGATAATCAAATTAATTAATATAAATTTCCGAGAGTGTTGTTTTAACAAGACTATCATCTAAATATTATTGATAATGAGTTAAATAATTTTAACAATTATCTTAAAGTTATTCAAGTAATTTAGCTTGATATTAAGATTTTATTGATTAATCTTAATCCTAATCTTAATTCTGTATTTCAATATCAACTCCTAAAGCTAATAAGGTATTTCTAGTATAATCTGTGGTTACAAATGCTCTTAAAATATCCACAATTTTCATATTTTCTTCTAATTTAAATTTAAAATTAAAATAAAATACAAAAGCCAAACTTAAAAATAATGAAAGATTTAAAAAGTCTATTAAAAAGATTAAATTAATTAATCTTGGATTATTATCTGATAATGAAAATTTAGAATATAAATGAGTTTTTTAAAGCATAGATGTTATAATGTTATTTTAAGCGGTTGGAGTTTAAGTAATTTTTATTTCTTATTCTTAATCTTTTTCAATCTAATTATTTTCTGATTAATTGTTATCAATATCAAATGATTTTTTAGAGATATTTTTATTAAAATAAGATTATTGTTATTTAACTTTGTTTTAGTATAAATTTTCATTTAATTTTTATTCAATTCTTAAATTTTACAAACTCTATCCATCAATTTAGATACTCATAATTTATTGATCAAAAGGTTAGATGTTATGAGTATTACTCATTAATGATAATAAATCTCTTTAAGAATCAAAAGGACTTTATATATGAGATACAATATGAAATTAATATTCATTAAAATTTATTGATTAATTTTATTATTTTTCTGAAATATTTGAAAACTCACACCTTTACTCACTATCAGAAAATTTTGATTATGATGATTGATATTATGATTATTATTGTTTTGATTCTATAGGTTCATTATTTTGTGAGATTTCATTATTGGATTCTGTTTTTGATCTTGATTAAAGATTTTTGGAAGAATCTATCCAAATTTAACTCATATTATCAGCAAATGTAATTTTTTAAAATTCAACCATAAATGATTTATGTTCTTTTCCATTAATTCTTGCTAAAGTCATAATGAATCTACAAGTAATACAATAGATATCTGGAACTCCATTCTCCTTAGGAATTCTAAATAATATATCTTCAGCTGTTACTGAAAAATGATAAAGTAGTTATTCAGTTTCAAAACAATTAAATTATTATGAACAACTATTTAATTCTAATCGTTATAATTCTTATTCATAAAATCTTTTTTCTTTTTCATTCAAAAGTTCTAAGAATTTTTTAGAATTTTAAATAAGATGATTCAATTTCAACTTATATAAACTTTTACCATCTTTCATTTTAAATTATTCTAATGCCATCGTTGTAATTCCTTCAATTTTTAATTCATTATTTAAATAAATATGACCCTTAATATTTTCATAAATACCATCAGCTTATATTTATTTAATAAAAGTATAAATAGGAAATAAATCTCCAGTAATATTAAAACAAACATCAATAAACATTTCAACAAAAAGCAAGTCTTTATTTTTTTTTGATGCAATAAGTCCTCTCTTCTTTCTCAAAATAAATGGTCTATTAGTTAATAGAAATATTTCCATCAATTAATCATGAATACTTGATAAATGAGGTGCAACCAATTAATGAACAGTTAAAATATCTTCCTAAAATTCCCTTTAATTATAACCAAACATATGTGGAGCATTATTAGAAAATTGTAAAATTTCTCCCCTTGAGATTTTACCTTTTTTTGCATGTCTTGCTAAATTAATTTTTAAATAACACACTTTTTAATTTTGAGACCCAATGAACTCAAAAAACTTATAATTTTTAGTTTTTAATTAATTCCTTAATCTTATAAACTTATCAAAATCATTTAATATTTCTAAACAATAAAACATATAAATTAATAAGGATGTTCTTGATTAAGAGAATTCATTGAATTATTCAATCTTCTTGATAGTTTCTAAATTATAATCAACCATATCATTTATTAACTGATACAAAGTTTCATAATTATATTTAACATCTACAAATTATCGAACAAATTCATATTTTTTTTATACATTTTAAAACATATTAGTAATAAGTTTATCTCTTCTAACTTCAGTTACACGATAATCTTTGTATTACAATGCAGCTTCTACTTCTTCTAATTTTACCTAAGGATTCATTTTTAATAGAATTTAATGTTTAGTATAACTAAGAAGTACTGACATAGCTACTGATGATGTGATTCTATTTTTATTTTATATTTTCTCCTTCATTTCCATTATCAATAATAATATTTAATAACATTCTTCAGAATTGCTTAAATAAGAAAGAAGTTATGAAATACGTATAATATCATAGTCTTTCTTTTCTTTTTCAATTTCAAAAATTAGTTTAGCATAATATCGAATATATCTTTTTATTAATTCAACCTGAATTGTAAGATTTTATATTTTGATATGATAATATATTCTCATTTCTAAGCATTGATAATTATTCTCAATAATTCTTCTCCTTTCACCTCTAAATCCTTTGCAATAACAATAGACATTTTCACATTAATTAATGTGGTATTTAAGTAAGACAATAACATTGAGAATGAATTTAGATCTATTTAGATTAATCACTGAAGCATCTTTCTCTATTGATTATTAATCATCTAGATTCATCAAATCCACTAATCTTAAATAATGAATGAAATATTTAGTATTCATATTCTATAAATATTCAAGTTATGTTTTTTTTTATTTATTAATTTCTTTTTCAATAACAAATTATTCTTCTTCTTCCATCAATAGACCAGTTCTTGATTGAACTCTAATTCTCTAACGAGATTTTTCTTTGTATTATGAATTATACAGTATCTCTTCATTCATATAAGAATTGATTTCATTCAATAATCTAGCTGTTAAGGGAACTGTAATTAAAGCTATTGATATAATTTGAATTTGATTATGTTCAAAATACAACGATATTATAACTGAAATAGTAAATGGCAACATTATTAATATTGTTTTAATTTTATAATCCTACATATATGGATGACAAATGAAGAATTCAATCAAATGACCAATTTACAAGATTAATATAGTAGTTATATTTAAATAGTAATGAGTTGAGGTTTAATTGAAATCCTACTCTAAATTCATCAATAAATAAAACCATTAGATTAATATTGGAATTATTACTATAAATTATTATAAGTTGAACCAAAATGATTGAACTAAACGTAAATGATTATGATCTCGAATTGTGTAGGTTTTTTAAATATGCATTGATATATTCCATTATAATAAGACTCCTAAATTTGTGAGTACATTTAAAAATATCATTAATCCAAAAATGTTACTTTCTATTCTTTCATCTCTAAAAATTATCTACCAAAGTATAAAATTCCAAACCAATAGTGGAATCACTAAAATATGTGGAAATATGTTCAATAAAGATGCAAAAATAAATTTCTCTAATTATTAAAATGATGACTATTCATTTCCCATCAATTATTTATACATAAAATATTCAATGTAATTATGCATATTATAGGATCTATCCAATAAGTTTAGATTATCTAATTAAATTAAAATCTCTTACAATTCAAATTATTTTACTCATCTATTGATGAATGGTGCTTTATTGAACTATATTGATAATATTCCTTATGCATTGCAATCATATTAACACAAATAGGTGTGTATATGATTAAAATTATCATTAATTGAAATCCAATTATTCCTAAATTTGGTACACTCTCAAGTATTAAAATTGATGGAACACACAATTTAGATATCAATTCAAATAATGAATATTAATCTCTTGTTTAAATGTGCTTATTGTAGAGTCTTACTTGAAGAATCTCAATTATTACTTTGAAAAGGAATGATAATCCTAATCTTTAAAAATGAGCTACTACTTCAACCAAAATCCATAAATACTTGGAATCTCGAGATAGTATTATTTGAGAAAACCCAATTGTAAACTATTAATATTCCAACCAATATTGTTTAATCATGTAATAATTGATTTATTTTTTAATTGAAATATAAATACTACTTTATTTCAATTATCCAGCTTAATAAAACCAACTTTAATCTTGGAATTCTAAATCCATAATCTAAAAAAAAGGTAAGTAATCGTAAAGTTCGAATTACTTTATTATGCAAAATTGAGATTGGTTTTAAAGAGTAAAATTTATACTGCATAATTAAAATCATAGAGTTATATTCAATTAAATCATTAACAGTATAATTTTTCTAATTCTAAAACTCTTTTCAAGAATAAAAAAAATTTATATAAAAAGATTTAAAGAATGTAATAAGAGTTTAAAATACCAACTTGAAAACAAGTGGAAATTACAATAAATTATAAATATATAAGAACACAATTCTATTTATTTCTCATCATCTAAAGATAAGGAAGAGTATATTATAGATATAATAAACATTTAGTAAGGTTATGAAATTTCTATAATTAATATTTTTTATTAAAACTAAAATTATTACAGAGCATATTTTTTCGAAAAAAAAGAATCTAATTTAATAAAGATATTAATTTATGGGGTGTCATGTAACAAAAAATGTTAAATCTGAGAAGAAATAAAAGGAGATAGTAATAACAGATGAGATGTTATAAGGTATTATAATTTAAATAGAGAAATAGAATGTAAAATTGATGATGATGTGAAATCGAGAATTAGCGTTTACAATCAGGCTCTAGATAAAATGTAGTAGATTCCAAAATTAAGGAAAGCAAGTATTTTAAGATTTATGGTAGTATTCAATCCAATAGTTTAAAGAAGGAAAATTCAAAAATATGAAGAAGACTGATTTACTATATCTATAAAAATATAATTAAATAAATAAATATGCAAGAATTGAAATTAATTGGGAAAGAATGTCCAATAGCTAGAGGAGGATGCAATTTTATGTAATATGATAAAGGGAAGTACATAGTAGTAGGAGGAGTAAATAGATCAGAGAATGGTTTGTAAGAATTAAATGATTTTTGGACATTACATTTACCTCTAAAGGATGGGAATTTGGCAGGGATATGGAAAGAATTGATAATAGAAAATTAATAGCTGTATACATCAAGATCAAGTTAGGCTGCATGTATTAGTGATGATAAAATGGTTTATATTTATGGAGGTTAGAAATTCTTAGAATCACAATCTACAGACGAATTTTATAGGATTGATACAGTTTAAAAGGTGTTGAGCATAGTGAAATCAAAGAATAAACCTAAAGCTAGAAATTCCCATACTTTAACTTATTATAAGGAAAGGTTGTATTTATTTGGAGGTGCAAATGATAATGGGCCTTTGAATGACTTACATATTTATGATATTAGTATAAAATGAACTCTTATATTAGAAAGTGAAATATGGAACTAAGTTTAAGATGTTTCAGAGTTAATAATCGCTAGAGAGATGCATACTGCTCATATTTTATAAATCAAGTTAAAACCATTAAAAAAGAGTGTTGATAATAATCAAACCTAAAAATTAGTTGGCATTTTTTAAGAATTACAAGGCTAAGAATAAAAAGTAGAATAAATCTAATCAATTAAAATTACAGATTAAATCATCGAATAGAATAATAATAATAATAATGAAATTCTTTAATAGCAATAGTAAGAAGAAGGATTAGAAAATAGTAAATAAGATTATCTTGTAATATTGGGAGGTCGGAATAAAAATGACATCTTATAAGATGTATAAGCGATTAATTTATAGACATTTGAAGTAGAATAAATAGAAAATCTACCAACATAATTATGTGCACATACTTCTGTGTAAGTTAAATAAGATATTTATATTTTTGGAGGATGTGATGGTGGTTCATTAAATTCAAATATCTATTAGTTAAAGGATTAAACAATTAATATCGCAGGAACAATATAAACTGCTATTATGGCTAGTAGTGCATTATATTCGGAAGAGTTAAATAAAATCATAATATTTGGAGGTTGTACATTAGATAGAGATTTAAATTAGACATACATTGTTAAAATTTGAGTTGAATATATTAAACAATATTATATAATAATAAAAATAAATGTAAAAGACTCCAAAACATGAATTCCTATAGATGCCATCCTAAACTAAGAGTGTCAATAAAATTAACATGATAGAAGTTAAGAATGAAGGAATGATTGTAATCTATTTATTTACATTTCTAGCATGATGTTTGCTATGATTTTTTTGGAACTAAAATTGCTTTAGGATCATCTGATGGACATATTGAAATTTAAGAAATTAATGTTAATTCTTTTAAATCAGAATAATAGAAAGACATCTTGTCCTATAAAATTACAGACTTGTAATAAATTCTATTTTGAGATATAGTTAACATAAAGGACCAGTGTGGCAATTAAGTTGGTCTAATCCAAAATACGGAAATATTTTGGCATCTTGTTCATTTGATAAAACAATATGTCTTTTTAAGGAATAAAAATAAGGCAAATATTCATTATTGCTTTAATTATAAGAACACAAAGAATCTGTTTAAACAATTCAATGGTCTTATAGAAAATTTATTTTGGCAGCTGGAGTAGCAGATGGAAGTGTACATATCTATTACAGAAAAAGGAATGGATAAATTAAAAATTAATAAGATTGGGAACATAAATCAGTATCTATGAATATAAAATAAAGGAGAGTTAGCATAAATCTTGTGTAAATTAAGTGAGTTGGATAAGAGATAAAGGATTAGAATTTGCATCTTGTAGTACTGATTAGACAATCAAGATATGGAATGTAACAAGTCCTATTGATGGGGAATATAAATTAACTTAGATCTATTAAATTTAATGCGATAGTTGGGTAAGATCAATTGATTGGGCAGCAGAATAATTTTAAGATAGTTAATCATAAAATTTATAATTATTAGCAGCTGGATTAGAAGTATAAATTATATTTGTTTATAGTCTTCTGAAGTTAAGATCTTTTATTTAACACAAGATTAAGATAACAATGATAAATTGATTAAAATAAAGACAATTCATTCAAAAGGACCTTGTTGGAAGGTATAATGGTCACCATTAGGAAATTAATTAGCGATATCAACATTGGATGATAAGAATGATCCATTTATTTAAGTATATTAACTACAAGGAGGTAACTTTGTAGAAATATGATATTTATAAAATCAAATATATTCTTCATCAATTTTTTGGTTCTATTCTGGAATAATTGACTATTATTATTACTATTACTATTAGGTTCCTTATTGTTCTTATTCTTAATTATTTCCTACAAGCTTGTTTTTGATCTTAGAGATTGCTCTACCAAAATATTTAAGTCCTTTTGCTGTGATAGATTAATCTTAATTAAATGCTTCATTGCTATAAGAAACTCCATCATATTATTCAAAAGATGTTGAAATATTCTTAGTAAATTGAATTCTCTCATTATTTCTATATTATTCTATTGATCTAGAGAGTACTATATTGAAATTAATACTTTTATATAGTTTTTGAAAAAACGTAAAATTATTTGCTTATCATGACACCTGGGCTAAAAGCTTAAGCAGTATTTTATAATAACAATTAGTTAATTGAAACTATTTTTGGTTGCTCTTCATATTTAATATTAGTTTATGGTGCAGGGAATTATTCTTAAACAAGAGGAGTATTTTCAGCTTCGTGATTCATGATATAATTAATTAATTAATAATAATAATGTAATTTTAATAGTTTCTTAAGATTTCTTTAATGAATAATAATAGTATATAGATTAAAGATATCTTATAAATAGGATTGTAATGGAAATGTTTATTTTTTTCAACTATATATTTATATTGATATAGAAATAAATGTGAATAAATTATAAAGATAATTTAATTAATATAAATTATTTAAATGAGTTCAAATGATAAATATGATAGATAAGTAAGAATATGGGGACGTCATGGATAAGAGAAGCTATAAAATTCAAGAGTATTATTATTAGGGTAATAAATAACATATAAAATTAAAGTTGTGATCCTGTCGGAGTGGAAACCCTAAAGAATTTAGTATTACCTGGAATTGGATATGTAGTAATAATAGACAATAAGTTGGTAACAGATTAGGATGTAGAAAATAATTTCTTTATTCCTTATGATACAATTGGATAGAGTAGAGCAAAAGTGGTACTAGAAAATTTATTAGAAATGAATATTGATGTCAAGGGAGAGTGGCATTAAATAGATAATTTTAATATAGATGGTTAACAATTTGATTTAATTATTGCAAATGAAAAATAATGCTTAGAAACTAAATTCAATTTAATTGAACTCTAAACATATGGATTTTTAGGGAGAGTTAGATTGTACTCTCCCAGTTGCTAAATAATTGAAACTAAACCAATGAATCCAAAGTATGATTTAAGAATTTTTAATCCATTTTAAGAGTTGAAAGAATACTTTGATTCAATAGAAATAGAAGGTGATGTTGATTATGTAGCTCATATACCTTATATTGTAATATTATATAAGGCTTTATAAAAATATCATAAAGAAAAAGGGAAATATCCATCAACATTTTAAGAGAAACATAAAGATTTTATGTAAGTTATTAAGAGTCTATGTGGTTAACTTGAATTTTAATATTAAGGAAATTTTTATGAGGCAATAGAAAACATAGATTAAGCATTTGATAATGATAATTGGAAGAATTGTCTTGAATAGATAGAAATAGAGTAAAATGATGGCGAAGGGTATAAATATAAATTTAGTACATTAATATCAGCTCTTAGATAATTTGTATTAATTCATGGAGCTCCTCCTTTAGGTAAAGCATTTCCAGATATGAAATGTTTTACTTAGACATATGTACATTTAAAAAATAATATATATGGAATTAAAGTGGAGAAAGATTTTTAAATATTTAAAGATCTTTGTCAAAATAAAGTAGATGATGAAACAATAAGATTATTTATTGAGAATATCTAAGAATTAAAAACAATAAATTTTCGTAGTATTTAATAAGAATTAGATTAACCTAATTAAGTAGATGATTATGAAAATGATTGTTACATCTGGTATATACTATTGAGATCAGTAAATGAGTATTATCGAATAAATACAAAATGGCCAAGTTAAAATTAAGATGATATTTAATAATTAAAGGAAATAGTAGAAATATAATGTAAATTGGTTGGAGTAGATAATGTTCCTTAATCATATATTTAAGAGATCTGTAGATATGAAGGATCTAAATTACATATGATTGCATCAGTATTAGGAGGAATGGCATCTCAAGAAGCTGTAAAATTAATTACCAATCAATTTGTTCCTATTAATAATACATTAATATATGATGGTTTAAAAAGTGAAGCATCCATATTTGAATTCTGATTTATCAAAAAAATAACACATATTTAATTGATTCATTTACATAATAAATGTAATTCTTAACTCTTTTTTTTCTCCAATTCTCTCTTACCACAATATAGATAAAAAATCAACAGAAAAGATAAAAAAAATAGAATTCCCAAACTCATTGAAATATATCCTATTATAGTAACATAATCCTTGTAATAGCTTTAAAATCTATTAAAACAACTTAAACCTGATGTATTGCCTCTATTAACATCAGAAAAAACAAAAATTTAGGTACTTGTACACCATCCAGAACATTAAANATACCTTATATTGTAATATTATATAAGGCTTTATAAAAATATCATAAAGAAAAAGGGAAATATCCATCAACATTTTAAGAGAAACATAAAGATTTTATGTAAGTTATTAAGAGTCTATGTGGTTAACTTGAATTTTAATATTAAGGAAATTTTTATGAGGCAATAGAAAACATAGATTAAGCATTTGATAATGATAATTGGAAGAATTGTCTTGAATAGATAGAAATAGAGTAAAATGATGGCGAAGGGTATAAATATAAATTTAGTACATTAATATCAGCTCTTAGATAATTTGTATTAATTCATGGAGCTCCTCCTTTAGGTAAAGCATTTCCAGATATGAAATGTTTTACTTAGACATATGTACATTTAAAAAATAATATATATGGAATTAAAGTGGAGAAAGATTTTTAAATATTTAAAGATCTTTGTCAAAATAAAGTAGATGATGAAACAATAAGATTATTTATTGAGAATATCTAAGAATTAAAAACAATAAATTTTCGTAGTATTTAATAAGAATTAGATTAACCTAATTAAGTAGATGATTATGAAAATGATTGTTACATCTGGTATATACTATTGAGATCAGTAAATGAGTATTATCGAATAAATACAAAATGGCCAAGTTAAAATTAAGATGATATTTAATAATTAAAGGAAATAGTAGAAATATAATGTAAATTGGTTGGAGTAGATAATGTTCCTTAATCATATATTTAAGAGATCTGTAGATATGAAGGATCTAAATTACATATGATTGCATCAGTATTAGGAGGAATGGCATCTCAAGAAGCTGTAAAATTAATTACCAATCAATTTGTTCCTATTAATAATACATTAATATATGATGGTTTAAAAAGTGAAGCATCCATATTTGAATTCTGATTTATCAAAAAAATAACACATATTTAATTGATTCATTTACATAATAAATGTAATTCTTAACTCTTTTTTTTCTCCAATTCTCTCTTACCACAATATAGATAAAAAATCAACAGAAAAGATAAAAAAAATAGAATTCCCAAACTCATTGAAATATATCCTATTATAGTAACATAATCCTTGTAATAGCTTTAAAATCTATTAAAACAACTTAAACCTGATGTATTGCCTCTATTAACATCAGAAAAAACAAAAATTTAGGTACTTGTACACCATCCAGAACATTAAAAGTTATATTCCAATATCTATAATTGTTTATAACTAAGTATACATTCATTAATTGAACTGCATAACTATATGTTTTAGAATCAAATCCTATACAACCTTGTACATTTGAAGGTAACAATTCAGAAGAAAATCCAAATTTTCCTTTTAGAACAGATTTATCTTTAAAGTTATTTGCATTCAAATTACAAGGACAACTTATTGAACAGAATGATTCATTTGCACTCTCAACACCATCACTTAATTCTTTAAAATTTGATGTAGATTCACAAGCTATTTTTCTATATAAATTCTACATTTTTCGAAATATTCTTTGGCTTCGAAAATCAATAAGTAAAATACTACTAAAAATATGATCCCAAACAAAAACACATTTATATGATATAAAAACAAAAACCCTTTTTTAAAACAAACTTTTTTAGAAATAGAACCTAAGATTCCAAAAATACCTATCAATATTAGTGCAATTCCAATTATAAGAGCACCATAAATTTAAGCAAACATTCCAAAATCGGAATCAAATTTAAAAAATCCTAAATGTTATAAATAAATTACCATCATAATCTTAAAAATATACAAGAGCAATAATATAAATCCCATAACCAGTTAAGGATAAACCAATTGAAATTATAGTAAATGCACTTAATAATACTATTTTTTCAGAAATCCGTAAAAATAATTCCATTTTCATTTAAGTTTTATTATTTATTATAGATTATAAACTTTGAATATAGAGTTCTATTAATATAAACTAAAAAGCCAATAATAGAAAATAAATCAAATTTATTCAATCTTTTTGGATATATTTTTGTATCTTTCTGTTTATGTTTATGGTTCATTGTATTTTAAACTTGTTAGACTACATTATCTTGATAATTTAGATTAAGATTCTTGATTAAATTCACAATGAGATCTGCCTTTCTGATATTATTTAACTTTATTATTGTACCATGTATTGACATCAAAATATTTATAATCAAGCAATGCTTAAACTGCTTCAATTGCTTGATTACAATCTAATCTTTACTAAGGATCTGCTTTTACAAATAGTTATACTAAATCGAAAACTGAACCCTTTTCTTTAATTGTAAATTAACATGTTTTATTATTTCTATAAGTTTCTTTTTCATTTTCACTATTAAATAGTCCTTCTAAAGTCAATAATTTATATAGTATGCATCCTGCACTAAATAGATCAACTTTATAATCATAAGCTTGTTTTTTATTCCATACATTTAATACTTCTGGTGCTGAATAACCTGTAGTTCCACAAGATGGATATTATTCAAGTTATTTACCATTAAAACAAGATAGACCAAAATCAATTATTTTGATTTAATTATTGTGATACATCAAATTTGCTGGTTTTAAATCTCGATGAATAATTCCATTCTAATGAATAATTTACAATCCTTTTAAAAGCGACTACATTTAATTTTTATAATAATACTTCCATTATATTTAAAGCTTCTTAAATTGAATATGGTTTAGTTCTTTTTTCTAAATGTTATTTTAAATTTAAACCAGGTAAGAAATCTGTTACAATATAATAATTAAGTTCATCTTTATATACTTCTTTGAGCTCCAAAATGTTTAAAGTGTTAACTTGTTTCAATCTTTTTAGTATTTCAATTTCATTCTTGATAGCTGGACTTTAATTATTTTAGCACTTAATACTCTTTATTGCCACATGATTTTATGTGAATTTACACTACTCTTTTGTGACCTAACAATATTTTCATTATAAACTACCCTTCCAAAAGAACCAGTCTAAAGGATTTCCTCTTTTTTATAAAACATATCTATTTTTTAGTAACATACTAAGCCTCCCATCTTTGCTTTTAAGTTTACCATATCATTTGGATTACCAAAAAAGTCTTTTATTTTATCTTAATATGGAAGTTTAAAACCAACAATGTTATTATTATGAATAGACCAAGTAAATACTTTATCAATCTTTAATTAATAGATATATTTTGGATTCTACTGACTTTGTTTCTATTTTTAATTATCAATATGCCTTTACTTCACTTAAACTGAGACTCTAATTTGTTAATTGTAAGTAATAATTTCTATTCAAAAAAAAGTGTCTTCTCTCTACCACACATTCATAAAGAATATTAGCATTGTTAGCTAATGAAGTCTGTCCAGAAGATGTAGGCATTAACATTTATTACATTGAAAATAATAATACTCAATATACATTTAATCTTACTATATTCAAAATATCATATATATTGTTCATCTTATCCAAACATATGATCAATTATTCTTTAGCCGTTATTAATTTATCATTTAGGTTTACTATTTTCATTTCCATCTTTCCAATTTCTTGATATTTTCATCAAAGATATAAATATGTGTTGGTTAGTTTAATCTAGAACATCGAATTCAAAATAATTTACGATCAAGTTTGTGAGGTTTTAAATTTTATTTTTTATTAATTTTCTTAAATAAATATCAATTAAAATATTATATTTATAATTCTTGCTATTCACATCTTTATAAATCCTATTTTATTTTATAGAATATGTATCAATTAAAATTTAAATCATAAAATTCTATCTCTCTAATACATCTTCTTAAAGTATATAAATAAATAAGTAAATTTTTAAGAAACCGATATGAGTTGTTATTATTGATTTGTTGTTCTCTTTGATGAAATATATATATATTCAAATAAATAAATATATAAATGTACTATTCTAAGCACATCAATTTTATAAATACAATAAATTAAAAATATAAATCGTCATTATTTAGCAACATTTGATAAGATGCCTCTAAAGATTTTTGATCCTCCAAAATTTAAAATCTAATGAAATAAATTTAGATTACAGGTGATTAAAGTTTTTTAGTATTATCTTTTTCAAATGTAATTGGTTTGTGTTCTAAAGATTATGATCTTTCTTTGACATTCTCAGGAGTAGGAGGAAGATTGACTGGATTGGTTGCAGGAGTTTAATATTTAGTTGTTTTAAGTTTTTTTTATTTTTGATTAACAAATCCATCTGTTTACTTAATCTTTTCTTTTTATTCCTTTGTATAAATACAAAAGAAAAAATACCTTAAGTATTCTTTTTTCAGCTTCTTTTTAGGCAGATAAGATGAAGTTCTTAAAAATTAAGGAATCCCTAACAATTTTAGAGTAAGTCAAATTTCTAAAATATTAATCTAGTAATTTTTTTCTTTCTTCAATCAAATCAGGATCAGAATTAACAGATTTCCACCAATAAGATCCAGGAAATGAGGGTAATGTTATTTTGAGTGTTTCAAGTGCTTCATGAAACTTTTTAAGTTCTGAATATCTATGTTGATTGGAAAAGACTAGTTGATTATTTTAATTGAAATAACTTTTATATAAGAGATAAGAGTTACTTAAGTTAATAATAAACAGTTTATTCATTCTTAAGAGATTGTGAAACTGTTATGACAAAGTCAAAAACATTATATTGCATCAAATATTCTAATTATGAACTAAATAATAATTAATAATGCATGGATTCTATAATTATTAATGTTAAATGAGTATAATCATACTAATAGAGGGGAGTTGGAGTATAAAAAAGATGAGAGAAGGTCGTATAATTAAATTAAGAAATTTGAGAAAAGATATATAGGAGAGAGAATGAGGAATAAAAAGTGAAGGACTATCTAAATAAATGATTAATAAAATAGAATAGGAATATTATTAACGATATTATTAATATAAATAATTTTATAGTTAGTAGGAATGAATGAGTCAGACAAAGAGAATAAGAACGATATCAGGCTCAATAATAGAAGGATAATTGGGAATTATTAACTCAGTATAGAAATATGTTATTAAATAGTTAAAACATTGGGAGAAGGCACATTTGGAAAGGTTAAGCTGGCTGTTCATTTAAAATCACAAGAGAAAGTGGCTATTAAAATATTAGAGAAGGAGAGAATAGTGGAGGTTGCAGATGTAGAGAGAGTATCTAGAGAAATACACATCTTAAAATTAATAAGACATAAACATGTAATCCAATTGTATGAAGTATGCAATTTCAATTGTTAACATAGATAATTGAAACGCCAAAGCACATCTTTATAGTGATGGAATTTGCAAATGGAGGTGAACTTTTTGAATACATCGTAAAACATTAACGACTTTAAGAAATTGAGGCATGCAAATTTTATTAGTAACTAATATCGGGTATAGAATATTTGCATAAAATGTGTATTGTGCATAGAGATCTGAAGCCAGAGAATTTACTATTAGACTTTAATAATTCAATAAAGATTGTAGATTTTGGTTTAGGAAATACATATAAAAAAGGAGAGTTATTAAAAACTGCTTGTGGTAGTCCATGTTATGCAGCTCCAGAAATGATAGCTGGTTAGAAATATGATTGTTTAATGGTTGATATTTGGAGTAGTGGTGTCATTCTATTTGCAAGCATATGTGGTTATTTACCATTTGAGGTATATCTATGAAATTTAGTATTCAATAGGATCAAAATACATCAGCTCTGTATAAGAAAATACTTAATGGAGAGTATTCGATTCCAAAATTTGTATCTAATGATGGAGCAAATTTTATAAAAGCAGTTTTAACAACAGATCCAAAAAAGAGAATTAGTGTAGAATAAATGAAAACACATCCTTGGTTTAATTTGTATTAAAGTCAATCAAAAATATCTCCAGGAATAATTGTCGGATATAATAGAATGCCTATTGATGATTCTGTTGTAGATTAATTATCACTTCAAGGATATGACAAAGAATATATTATAAAATGTTTAGATGCAAATAAACATAATGATGTTACTACTGCTTATTATTTAGCATTAAAACGTAATCTAATAAATGGAATATAATCAAAAGCTGATATCAATAGTTCCCTTTTTGAGGAATCTCTATTAGAACCAAAACAAAGACCTAAAAAACGTATTCATCTATCTACTATGTCTTCCTAGCTCCTATTTCCAATATTGTTGCTACATCCATCTTTAAATAAAATAGATCAGGTTCTGTATAGTAAAATGGACAAACCAATAACAATTCTTAAAATAGAGGCTAAAGTGTTCCTTAAGCCATTAGTGATGATCAAACTTAAATGCTTGTAAATTATGCACATAAAATGAAATACTAACCTATCAATCCTTTATAGAAATTTGCCATACCTACAGATGTAACATAAATCATTTCACTTTAATCTGTTGATGATACTTTCGAAAGACCTAAATCTATTTCTTATCATGTACCAAAAAAGACTCCAACCAATCATTAATCTTCTGAACATAATAAAAGTAAAACCGTTGTCTAAAAAGATTCTATCTCACCCTAATCCAAAACTAAATAAAAGAAAAGTCTATAATCTAAATAAGTTAATTCCTCCTTTGAATATGTCAATCTTAACAATTATACCAATAAATAAACTGAAGAACGAAAAAAAAGTAATTCAAAATAACCTACTAAAGATTTATTTGATTCCACCAATTATTAAAAGAAACTCATTATTGAGTGCAATCAAAAACCTACCAATCAACTATGGCAATTATAAAATAACTTTAGATAAAACTCTAGATTGTATGAAATACCAACTTCGACTAAAACTACCAACTCTGTAAATAAAAGATCAAAAGCAATCAAATAAGAAAACAATAAGAGTACTAATCAAAAAAGTACTCTAAATAATAGTTTTAATTTTGATAAAAAATCTTATTATAATTGAAAATACTAAAACTTTTGATAGTTTGAGTATGATAATTATACACATTCATATATCATTTTTATAATATTACCCACTCTTCATCATTTCAATATATTCTAACTATCTAGTAATTAATTATTTTCATTTCAAATCATATCATTTCAAAAAAACAAAATAATCTTATATACTACTTATAAATACATAATATCAATATAATATTCATTTTGGCATTAATTTAATATCTTAAAAATGCAAATCTACTTCTCTATTTATTAAAAATAAGGAATTGAGAACAATATTTTAAGATGATTTATTATTAATCAATCTTTAGAATGTTTCCTTCATTTCTCTATTATGTATAATATTATAAAAATATACTTGTATTCATCTATCTCTTAATCATGAATTTCAAGAGTTATTTCTGTTAACCAAAAAAATAATTTCAACATATACAACTATTTTTTTATTTGTAAAATCCTTGTTAATTTTGATATATCAATTGACTATAAGAATTATTTGAATTTATTGTTATTAAATTATTCTATTTTGCTTGATTGAATCAAAAAATTAAAAGCTTAAAGCAAATCAAAAGTCTGCTTTTCTCTAGGATCTGAAACTGCAAATTAATATATTGTTGAGAAAAAATTATAATATTACTTAGGGTTATTATTGTTCTTCACAAGACTTTTCTTTAAAGTACTCGAAATCAATTTTAATTCTTGAGCCTTCAAATTAAATTAACATTCTGATGTCAATAAAACTATTCCAGAAATATAATATAAATTCATTGCAAGATGCATAAAACTTGTTTTTCTGAATTTCCAATAGCTTTTAAGTTCTTCCATCAACATATCAATTTTAGAAATAAATGCTTTATGTATTGAGAGTAATTCATTCTAAAGTAATTTAAATAATTTACAATATTATTTCCTTTAATGATATTTTCTATAAAATCTCTATGCTATTCTAATAGATTTTATTAAAATTGTTCCTATACTATAGATTCTATAAAATCTTGTGTTCTTTAATTATCACCAAACATATTTTCAAAGTTTTCAAACAATTTTTTGTTTTAAAATACATCAGCACTATATTTATATTTCATCATTTCTGCTTGAATTTTATCAATTGCTTATGAAAGATCAGGTTCAGTAAGAATTATTAATAATCCTCCAATATCTGGATACTTTTCAAATACTTATCCAAGGATTCCATTTAAGATTAAATCCATATCTGTATAAGTATCATCATTTTATATCTTTATAAGGGATTGTATAATAAAGAATAATGTAAAATATTCTAATTTAGAAACTAATGAAGCAGATGATTTATAAATTTCTTTGAGTACTTCTTCATATCTTTGTAAAAGTATATCCATTCTGTAACCAATATTTCTTGGAATAGCATCTTATAAATCATTCAATGTCCAATTTTCACATCCATGATTATTTTGAATATGAGTTGTTTTTAGAGTAATCCAGAAGAATAAATCTTAATCTTAAACAAAATGTTTATTTTCAAATACCTCTTTTACTGATCCTGAATCAAATGCAATCAAATAACATTATTCAAATAAATCATCAACACTAAATTAATCAAGCTTTTATATCTTTTAATAATTCGTTTAGCTACATTTATTAAAATTTGTACGTCTTATTTTCCAAAAGTTCAAAAAATAATTAATATTTTTAATGCTTGCCAAATTAAAATAGAATTTATTTTGCTTATTTAAGTTATCCACATCTCATTAGCAAGAATAAAATACCACTAGGATAATATTAATCTATTTTTTAAATAGTTAGTTCTTTAGCTAATATATCATAGTAAATATCTTTAAATTTTTCTAACAAATTAATATTTTAATTACAATTAATATTAGCCAAATCTAAAACACCAATTCTTTTATTCATTTCAGCTTCTAATATTGATATTGAGTTCTCAATAAGATCCTATTAAATTGTATCAGATTGAAATTATATTCCTTTGAATTATTGAGAAAGCAATCTCATTATATCTTTGTGATCACTCTAGATATTCACAAAACATTAAAACAGAGATTCATAATAATCATTTTTATCAATACTTTCTTTTTATTATATTTTTTTTTAAAACTCTATAAATTCTTCCAATTTTTAGTAAAATTCTTATTCTTAAAATAATTTTTCAATTATTAGTTAATTATGTGTGTTAAAAGAAATAGATTTTATAGTAACAGATTTTGTTTAAATCAAATCTTACTTATTCTCATGTAATAAATTAAGTAATTCTTTTTTCTATCTACTTTATGTAAGTATTTCTTTGTTTTAAATTGTATTTATAATCTAAAAATGATGCTAATTTATTTTACATTTTTATTCATTTAAAATTTATTATTAAGTTCTAAATAGGATGGTATGTTTAATGAATATAATTCTTTGACTTTAATTTGAGATTAAAATAATAAATTTTGTTTTTCTTAATCAGCTTTGATTCTTTAACTCAATCTTTATAATTCATCTTTTTTTGTGTATTCTAAGTTACGCTCATTCAAGTTAAATTTTTGAAATAATTAACACACCTTCTAACTGAGAGTATCAACCAATAAATCTATGATAATAATTTAAATCCTACATTAAGTTTATTTCACATGAATTTATTTTAAGAATTTTTTTTAAATTCTGTTTTTTAAATATTTGGTTTGCTACATGAATAAATACAACTCCTATTATTTTGTCTATTAAATTAAGCAAACATAATTACTAATTCAGGTTTTTCTTTATAATACTTAACTAGATTTTGAAACTCTCCTTTCTATTGTGTTTGATTTGGAGGCTAAACAGTTAAAGGTGTAGTCTATTAAGGTTATAAAATTTGAGTAGTTTATTGTTAAGGTTATAAACTTAATTGTGTTTATGTAGTTGGTAAAGTTTGAGCTATTTTAGAATTATTTTATTACTTTATCCAAATATGGATGGTTATTACTAATTGAGAGTTTAGGTTGTTTGACCTATAGGAAGCTGTAATCCAAGATTCATCATTACTTAAATTTAGAGTACTTTTTATTTAAAATATTAAAAATTATTAACCACACTTCAATTATTACATTATTTCTAATCATTATATTTGTTTTATACTTGATTAAAATTATATGAATAAAGATGATAGATATAGAAATTAGTTTTCAATCAATTATAAATAAATTAAGTATTGCAGTAAGAAGTATTGATATATATATATATATTTGCAATTCATCTAAGTTTGCCAATAGTAGGTTTGTGGATTTTGTTTATTCTAAAAGTACTAATAGACTTTTTCTATTGTAAATCCATTTCGCCAAAATCTAACTTTCTTTTTACGCATAGCATTTCAATATCACTAAATGTTTTCTAGAATTTATTTGCAAATGGTAAACTTATCATATGTTGAGTTTTGTTTGCTGATTTAGGAGGTGTGAATGACATTGTTTAAACAATAATTTTTATTAATAAAAATATTATTATAATAAAACTATAATATGTAGTTGTAAATACAATAATATTTAGCTACATTGTTACAATAATTATAACATAATTTCACTTATGACATAAAAATGGATTTTTTGAATAGGTTTTTAAAATTGTTCGTTGTGTGTTTAAATTCAAATTAAATTAATTATGAACAATAAAGAAATGTTTAAACACAGAGATATAAATACTTTTTTAACAAATAATCTAACAAAAGAAAAACGAAGTAAAAAACCATTTGAATATTTGAATCTAACTTATTCTAAATAGTTTGATTATTCTCCAATGAAAAAACAACCTTACACTTCAAAAGCTAATGAAATTAAATAAAAAAGTCTAGAAGAACCTTAAATTTTAAGACAGAAAACTTTACCAAATTATGAACCAACTAAATGTTCTAGTGTTAAAAATGGAATAATAAAAGCATATGCTGCAAACACAAATTAAGGATTAGTGAGAGAATATAATGAAGATAGAGTTTCTATAATATTGAATATCATAAAACCATAAAGTAGAGAAAATGAACCATGGCCTAAATGTTCATATTTTGGAGTATATGATGGACATGGTGGATCAGCTTGTGCAGACTTTTTAAGAGACAATTTACATTAATTTGTAGTTAAAGAACCAGATTTCCCTTGGAATCCAATAAAAGCAATAACAAAAGGTTTTGAAGCAGCTGAAAAATACTTTATATAAATGGCATAAGATTCATTTAATAAAGGAATTTTAGAAACAAGTGGATCATGTGCAATTGTTGTATTAATTATTGGAGATTCTTGTTATGTAGCTAATGTAGGAGATAGTAGAGCAATATTAAGTACACAAAATGGAAAAAAAATTATTGATCTTTCAAACGATCATAAACCTGAATTTGAAAAAAATAGAATTACTAAAGCTGGAGGATAACTGTATTAAACACATGGATTAAATGAAGAAGGGAAACTAATTTTAGGTCCAGTGAGAGTGAATCCCGGTAAGTTGTCAGTTTCAAGAACATTTGGTGATATTGAAGCAAAATTAGAGAAATTGGGAGGGAAACCAAAAGTTGTAATAGCAGAGCCAGAAATAAGACAATTTAAAATAATATAGGAGCATGATTTTATAATTTTAGGAAGTATAAATAATAAAAAAAAGTAGGTGATGGTATATTTGATAGGATGAGTTCAAGAGATGTAATAAAGGGAATTTGGGAGGATGTTTAAAGTAATAAGAATATGAATGATTTACATAATGTAATGTCAAATGCAGTAGAATCAGTAATAAAAGAGAGTTTATTACGTAAGACAATTGATAATGTTACATTATTAATAATAGCATTTTAAATAAATACTTTAAGAGAGGAAGAAATAAGAGTTAAGACAATATCATATACAGATTAATTAGTTAAATTGCCATAGAGTAACAAAAATGCATCTAATTTAAGATTTAAGTAAAAAATACTATATGATATGATCATAGTTAAAATAGAAAGTAGAATGATGAGAATGATGCGTTTTTGATGAATGGCCAAGTATTGAGATAGAAGAATAAGTAAAGATATTTTTAAGAGAATAATAATGGAATTGGTTGGGAGTGATGATGAGATTTGAAATTTGTTTGAAATAAAATAATAAATAAATATTTGGAGAAGTACATAATATATGATTAAAGATGAAATAAGTAAAATAAAGATTAGTAATATCTAAAAATAAGTGGATATTAGAATAATTAAATATAGTAATATTAATTAATTATAAATGTCAATTTTTACACCTTCTTAAAAATTATCAGACTTATTGAAACATGAAGGTAGATCAAATTCAATGCATTCATTTTATAATAACAGATCTTCTTGTTACTCAACAATAAATTTGAATAGTTCTGTGTTGAATGGATGGGATTAGTAAAATCATTAACCAGTGTCAATATTGACATCGAATAGAAGTGATATAAAGTAACTAAATGTATCAGCATCAAAACAGGTATTTATGGTATATAAAATAAAAGGATATAACAAATGAAATAGTATCATGTAAACATGATAGAAGATCATCTACACATCAATTCGTTCATTCAGGAATGGAAGCCTATCAAAAATATCAGAACTAGCCTAGAAGAGATATGAAGATATATCCAAATTTTAAATAAGAATTATTACATGAAGTAGTAAAGATAGAAAAACCATTTTATATTACTACTGTTGAAGAAGTAGAGAGGTATTGGAAAGCAAAAGAGATTATGCTATTAAGATAAAAAAGTTAATTAGAATTCGAAATTAAGTTATAAGCATAAAAAGCAAATAAAAAGGCAGTCATTTTAAAAGTGGAACCACTACAAGAAATATCAGACATAGAAATCTAAATATAATAATTAGAAATATAATTAAAGTATTTGTTCTATTTAAAATAGAAATAAGAATAGAATTATTAATGATTTAAAAGTTGAAAGTGAAGAATTAGATGTTAAATATGAAAATATGTTAGATTAAGTTAATGATACATAATTTTTGAAATATGAAAAATAGCTAAAGAATATTTAATAATCATTTAAGGATTTAAATAGAAGATTTCATGAAACAGAAGAATAAATAACTATGAAAGAAAATGAGATTGAATCTAGAAAAAAATAAATGTAAAGAAAATCTTCTATAATAATGCCATCGAATCTTAGAAACTCTATGATTGATTCTAAATTTAAATAGAGATCCTCATTTAAAAGATAGAGTATAAACTCTGGTACAATGAGTCCTACTAGAGTTACTTTCTCATAAAAAAGTTAGCCTTCAGAAGAATTCATTAAATTAAAACATTGATATTGATATTATTTCTATTCTATTCAAATATATAGTACACCTTTTATTTTCATTAATTATGTCATATAATTGTTCTATCATTCTCAAAACATACAATTTATAAAAATTATTAATTATTCCCAAAAGGTTTCTTCAACTCTAATATCTAACGTATTTTTATAAATAATCAGATTTTGTAAGCATTATTCTTCAAAAACATTTTTTTCTTATCATTTTAGATATAATCTGTAGATTTTAAATATGTCTATTCTTATAAGTATTATTCTTAAACTATCTATCTTTTAATATTCTTTAATTCAAATATTTCTATTTTTCAACTTCAATAGTACATATAAATTCCAATTTATTTAGTTCTCTTTTTATTATATCTTAAAATATCGATATTTATCTATATAATTCTCTTTCACTTTTAATTGAACAATTACTAAAATTTATTGTATTTTCATTTTTAGCATTTATAAATATCATCATTCCTCTGTAAATAAGAATATTATATTTGACTCTCTCTTATTATGATGACTTCTTAATTTTGAAGTAGAATTCATCCTAGTATATTAAATTATAATGTTTCTGTATTATTAGTTTCTGCTAATTTAAAAATCATCTGAATCTATCTATTTTAAATTAAACTTTAAATGATTTATCTCATTGTTTCTTGAAACCCAGAGCTTAAACAAGAATATTTAATACTAATACATAATAATATATATAATATAAATGAATCAGAAATAATATTTTTATAGTATTTTTTTCAAAACATTTGTGTCAACAGGTTTAGGTAATATTTCTTTCATTCCTGATTTCATAGCATAATCTATATTCTCTTTACTATCATATGCGCTACACATAACAACTACACATTAGATTTAATGTTATTAAAATATCTATAAGATCTCTTTGGTTGCTTAACATCCATCCATTTCAGGCATATCTATATCCATAAATATTAATTTATATCCACATTTACATTAACTAACTTTTCGTTTTGCCATATCTATTGCCATTTAACCATCATATGCATTATCAACCTTTACCTTAAAGTATTTTAGAACTGTTGATAATGCTAAATGATTAAATGGAATATCATCACAAATTAATACATTTACACATTAACATTTCATTCTACCTATACTTTTATATGGCTCCTATATATGATCGTCTGTTTCTTCCAACACTTAATCTAAATATTATTTCATATCCTTCACATAAAATTTACTCTTTGTATATTAATTAACTGAACTAAATATATTCAAATCTCCTATATCACATAATTTCCGAGCTATCTAACTACTAACCTTTAAACCCAATCCTACATATTACATATAGTCTTCCTCTCCTCTTCGACTCCAATCCAATTCACAGTTCTTTAATATCTTTGTTATCAAATACAACTTCTCCACTGGAATACCACAACCTGTATCAAATACTTCAAATTAATATATAGATCCTGCCCTTTACACAACAAAATGTATCTCACCTTTCTATTTTGTGTATTTCACTGAATTATTCATCAAATTCACTAATATTTACATTATTCTATCATAATCACTACTTATATAAGTATCATCACAACTAGATATTGTTAATGTAATTTATTTTTATTCACATTCTGCTTTAAAATAATCCTCAATTGTTTCTATTATTGTTGACAACTTGAATAATTAAGGTCTCAATTTAAAAGTTTATGCTTCAAAATTTGCATAATCTAAAATATCATTAATTTAGTGTAACAATTTTTTGTTTGCTATAATTGCTGGCTTTAAATATTAATCATTCAACTCTCCTTTTAGATTCTAATCTAATATCTATAAAAGTTACAGTGAACAATTTAATGGTGTTCTTAATTCATGAGAAAAAGAATTAATTAACTTTGAATAGAATCGATATCTCTCTTACATATCTTACTGATATTCAAAATTAGTAATATTTTCTATAACTATCATACATCCACTTGTTATATCATATATTCTAATTTCAAAAGTCTTTCCAGTATTTTTATCTTTAAATTTTAATACATTTAATTTAGTCTCTTCTAAATTAGTTATTTTATGTTTTTGTATAATTTGAGCTATGTCAGAAATATTACTAACATTGGTTGTTTTCTGTTACAAAGTAGTTCTTCTTGGTTGACAAAATGATTACAAACGTTTAATTGGGAAATCAGATTATTCATCTAAAGATTCGAAAATTGATTTGTGTCTTTCATTTCTTCTAAAACTGCTATTTTATTAAGAATGCAAATACGCTCTAAATGATAGATATAAATACTTTTATATAACAAGAAATAGTGCTTATTATAAATTGTTTTCAACTTATGAAGCAACATATTTTCTCACTTTATTATTAGAACTAACAACTTAAAGACTGTTGTCAAGTAAACAAACTCCACAAGGTATTCTATTAAGAATATCATATAATTCCACAGACTCTATCATCAATCCCATATTACTATAATTTTGATTTCTGTTTATCAATTGAGAATTTCTCTAAAAAGGTTTTCTCTCCTGTAAATATTAGATATATTTATTTACCTTATTGCACATATATATAAATAAAGCAACAAATTGAACACTAAGATAAACCCAGTCAATAATTTAGAAATTGGATGCATATATTATGCTTATTCTTACACTATAAAATATTAGTATTAGCCATTTGTTTGTTATTTTACTATATAAAGTTGCAACAATTGATGGTGTAAAGGGCGCATCATAAAAACATAATTCCAATAAAAGTGATATTCTTAAGTATTTCCAAACTAAACGTTCACTTTTGAACAACAACAATAAAACAATTATGAGAGAAGCTGAAATGGCAATTAGATGAGGATTCTTTTATAGACTTGCACTAATTAGATGTTTTAAAGCAAAAACAAAGTGAAGGCATCGTTTATATTTATGAAAAATCATTTATTTCGTCACATTTAACTTATAAATTGTATAAACATCACCATAATAAGAGAACAAAATATTTAAGTTCAAGGCTATTATTTTTGTAACAAAGCCAATTAAACCAAACTTTATCTAATTTATATTAAACTTAGGTGGAACATTCAAATACTTTTATAATTCTCTTCTCAAATTGTTTATATCAGAATTTCATAAATAGAAGACACTTATTAATAAAAATCACATAGACATTTAGATTATAGAATTATTCATAATCCTACATGATAAATATTTCTTAATGTTTTTAAAATAAAATTTTAAATAATACTTAAAAACATAGTCAAAACTTAATAATTTAAGTTAAACATATATATATTTATATATTGATCTATTCAATTTATAATTGTTTAAGAAAAATCTATTCCATTCCTAATTGATTATACTATTCTAATAAAACTATCAATTGAATTTCTCATCTAATCAGAAAATTTAGATCCATGCCAAACTAATTTCTCAACTGCTAACATATCAATTCTAGGAAGATAAAGAGGTTTATCAGTAAAAATCCCAAAAATTGATTAAAGTACTATATCATAATCTGGTTATTCTTATGAAAAATAATATAAAGATCGTGCATATTGTTTACTCATTTTCTAAAATAAATTAAAAAAATTGACAGTTTTACTGCTATTCTAATAAATTTTCCTCCAACTAATTAATAGTAAATTTGAAAAATAATTTATTTAACTCAAATATAATTAGTGTTAAACCTTTATAGAACATAACACTCTATTATATGATCTATCTTTCAGTATTTAATTTCTAATAATTTATCGTTACTCCTATGTTTGGACTCCATAAATATTAAAAATTAGTTTTTAAGTCTCTTCTGATTATTCTCCTTAACATTTAACTAATTCAAGACAACAACTATGATGTATAGTATCAATAATAATAAATTCATGTCGCATTGCTTGTCCAGTTAATGTCCATGTAATTATTGTTGCAATACCTGATGGAATATATTTCCAAACTGATTAACAACATCTATCTATTTATATTATTGTTTCATTCATCACTTCAGATAATTAAATATCATTAATTGGTTAGTTATTATATAATATTGTCTTACGAAATGATCCACTTTATAATTCTAATTCTTATTCTAATAATATATTAACTCCTTAAGTTTGTTTTGTATTTGATAATCTTACTAGAGAAGCGATAGAATTTGCTAATAATGGAACTAATTCTAATAAAACATCCCCAATCCATGCAGCTTCTGCTCCTGTTATTAATGCAATCATTATACTTAATATTTATATTAATCATTTTATTTGAACATCATATTTTATATTGACGAATAAATATTAGGTATTTTAAATTTAAATATAACAAAAGTTTTTTATAATACATTTTATAATTTAAAATTTTATTGATTGTAATAACAAACCAACAAGTATTAGCTCACCCTTTTTCGATGAAAAATGATTTGTTAAAATATATTACTTTTTTTCAAATTTAAGAATTATTAAAATTATTTTTATAGAAGCTAATATATTTTTTATTAATATTTTAGTAAATATTTATTAATTATATAATTATCTAATTAAATTCATGGATAACACCAGATTAAAGCGAGATTAGTTTCGTTTAATGCTACGCGAATAGTAACGTTTAAATTAGTTTTAAGAAAATAGAAAAAGGTTCTTCTAGATCTTCATGGAAGAATAATAAGTTAATGAATTAAAATTGAAAGTCAAAGTGGCAATTCAATAGTTGAATGATAATTTAAATGATTTTGATTTTGATACTCCAAGATGTGAATTAAGAGCTTTGACAAATCAAATAATGTAAATTGTACCAGAAATGAAAAAATGTATTGAAAATTTAGCCAAACCTGACTTGGAAGGATTAGGAAATAAGTTTTGGAATTTATATTGTTTTATGACATTTAACAAAGATAATCCATGTTTTGTAGAAATGTTAGAGTTACTCACTTTATGTTGTCAAAAAAGCATGGTATTTTGTGATACATACTGTAAATCTACTTTATATAGTAATCTTTAAACAAATGTTACTCAATTGTCTGTATAATATTAATTAGAGTTTCTTAAATAAACAATTTAGATTTAATCTCATTAGGAACACATATTATAATATGATAAAATATGTGATATAATAAAATAAATGATAATTTAAATTCAAGAGCAAAAAAGACTTGATTATGAAATAAAATAAGTTATTTAAACAATCATAGAAATATTTTTAACTGTAAAAATAGAACAAATTTCTAAAGTTGCCTTATAATAACAATTAAATAGATATTTTTTAACTGTATTTATATCTCTACCATGTTTGGATGAAATTCTTATAGGGGATGAATTACTAAATTATATTGATTATTTAAACAGAAATAAAACTTTATTTAATGTTTCTACAATAGAACTAATTAATTAGTTATCATTTAATTCATAATTAAACTCATATCCAGATGAAAAATCTATGGCAATAGCAATAATAGGAGTCTTAATGTCAGGCAATTTAACTTAATCAAAATATTACTTTGATAAATTTAGTAGCGAAAGTTTGTCATTAGATTAAAAATTACTCTAAAACTTAAAATTCTAACCTTAAGTTAGAAGAATGACAATTTTTGCATTTTCAAATATTTTTGGAGAAACTTCATATGAGAGAGTTGACTATTTTTAAAATGGTACTGTTATTTAATTCTTATAATATGCAAGACAAGAAAATGAAATTGAAATAATATATGAAATTTTATAGGCTTTGAGAAATTTAATTTATCATGCACAAAATAATTATTTACATATATTGTTATAATAAGATGTAATTTCCATAATTGTAGATAATGATGATTATGTATTGAATGAATAATAAGTTGAATGTAAAATTATAATTTTATTATAGGTTTGCTTATGTTAATTTATAGATTTGATGGATATGATTAATAAGCCTTATAGAATTTAATAGAATTTCCTAATTTTATACAATATTTATGTTACAAAGGAGTAACTAATTTTGTTAGAAAAATTTTTAATAATTCAAAATTTGGAAAAGTTATGGAAAAATAGTAAGATTATAGAAGACACAATGGATAAAAAGATGAATATTAAAGTAACCTTCTTAAATTATGTGAAATTTTGTGTTGAATAACAAAACTAATAATTTAATGAAAAAAATTATAAAAAAATATTCAGTTTTTTTAATTTTGAGGAGAAAAATTTTTACTTTTTCTTGCTTATATATTATAAACTTTTGATTTTTCTTTAATTTAACGTATTTTATCTGGATCACCTTATTAATATCTAGTTAAAGCAAGTATGCTATCGTTAAATTTAATCTTAAAATTAATTAAATTAAGAATACTTCGAAATTTATCTTTTATAGAAGAGATTTCTAAAAATTGAACAGAGGTGATATTTCATTTTGATTCTTCTTGAAGAAACTTTAAATTTTCATTAATTTTCCTAAATCAAGATTCATTTTCAATTTATTTATTTCTAATTTACATTAATCTTTAAATTTCCATTTCGATTAACCACAATGTTATTCAAAACTTGGAATATCCATATTTGTAGTTATTTATTCTAATATGTATATTTATATTTTATACCAGCTTGTAATAATTCTCCAATTTTTAGATTGTTTTAAACTTAATACTTAACCAAAACATTATCAAAACAACCAAAAACATTAATTACATAAAATTCTCCATTTTCTGGTTATATTTACTCTTTATAATCAATAAATAAAGATTCATTTATTGATTATTAATTAGGTATTAATTCATCATCAATTTCTGGTAATTTTAAATATATTTTTTATTTTTTTAAATAGATATGTCCACTCTTAAATGTAGCAATAAGAAAATTATTATCTTATGATGTTTCTGGAAGTACAAATTAAGAATTCTTTATTTCAATTTAATAATTAAAATTATCTTTCTCTTTTAGAAAATCTTCTTCATGTTTTATTTATAATTATAAATCGAAATCTTTTTAGTATTTTTCTTTTAATTCATCCAAATTTTTCTATAATATAGTTTCTACTCTTTATTTAAATGCTTAAAGTTCATTGATATATCTAGAAATTAAATAAAATTTCATATTTCTAATTGAAATTATTTTATTTTCTAAATTGAAAACAACAGTTTATTTATTATCAATAGGTTCAATTAGATTTTGATATATAATATGTTCTCCTTCTAAATTTTATGGTTTCATTTCTATTTATTATATTGATAGTTAAAGATTGGTTTGATTCTTTTTATTTAAGTAAATTGAATAAAATTAAAATAAAAAAAAGTCTTTTTCTTATTCTTGTAATTTGACAATCAATGAATCAATTATAAGTTCTGAAGCAAATTTATAAGGTTTTTTATAATTGTTTATTTGATTGACAAATATATTAACTTATTTTTGCTTGCTATCAATGATATACAGTTCTTATTAAAAAATATACTTTAATAAATGTTATTTTAATGAAATAGTTTCCTCTATGTTTATAAGATAAAAACTATTAATAGCAATTAATAAATCTTATACTTTTTATTATGATAATAATATTTTAGCCTATTCTACTTATGCTTTTATCAAAGGATATGAATTTTAAAATGATAAATTAATATGTAAAGCATATTTAGCTCTTTATCCTCCTTATTCTTTTACTGGCATAACTAATAAATTTTCTTTTTGTTTACCCATTATACTAATTTATATATCATCAACTAATAAACTGAGTTCTCCCTTTTATTTAGTTATCTTGACTATTTTTATTTCAACTTAAGAAACTTAATTAAAATTAAATCTTATAATCTCACATCTCAAAATTTAATCCTCTTCATGTTAATTGATAGATGATCTATTTTTTTATAGTTAAATGTTATTTACTCCTTAAGGATAATAACTTTAATAAGATCTTTTCTAAACAGGATTATATCTATATTTTTCCATCAAATATATTTATATGAATACTCTCAATTAAATAAGTTGAAAAAATGTTTCATTTGATTTCAAATAGATTTTTTAAATAATTGCACATACAATCAATTCATCAATTATTTTTAAAGGATTTTCTTTTAATTCCTCCTTTTGTTTTTCTTCTTTTATTAAATCTTTATTTATTAAATTAAATGCCTGTTCCTAAATATTCATTATGGTACTGATGTTTTTTAAAATAGTAATAAGATTATATGTAGCAAATTAATTAATAAATGTAGCTTTAATATTTTCAATAGCAAAAAATAATTTCATTTTTGAATGTCTTTCTTAATATATTTCTTCAGCTACATATAATAATAGATTAGCTCTTAAAGGTTTATGAAAATAGAATAATAAATATATTGGATCCTTCACATTTTTATAATCTTGTTAATTATGTTATGAGGATTAATCCTTATCTTCATATTCATTAAAATCATGATTAAACATTTCTGGTTCTTTATTTCTGCAATAGAACATAAATTTATCATCTAATTTATCACTTAAATTTTATGATTCTAATACCATAAATTATGGTTCAAAAACAAGATGAGTTTTTTCAATGTTAGATTAAATATTAGATTCATTTATTTCATCCATAATAAATTATTATGATTATTTATTTAATTCTGGATCTTTAACAGATTTGTATTTTTCTATTACTGGAGGTTTCCCTGGCATTTCTAATTTATTTGATTAAGACATTTCAGGTTATGTTGGAGTCTTTTTACAATGAATTGCAATAGTATCTTTAAAATAACCTTTATCATGAGTAATTATAAATAATGGCATTTCAAAAATAGTTATATAACAAATACTCTTACTTGTTTTAGGTGTACTTTTAAATTAAATTGATATTCCTGAATTTTTATGGTTCTCAACAAAAGTTACTTAACTTTTTATTATTTTTGATATTTTTTATTCTTCTATTTTCTTCTATTATGTTCTTATATAAATCATTTCATTTTCAAATTCAAACAATGAAAATAAATTTATATCATTTTAAATTTTTGGAATTGAACCAAATATTATATTAGTCAAATACAAACTTTTACGAAATCTTAAAATACAATGTTTACAATCTCTTTTTTATTTTTTATGATCTTTTTATAACATTAGTAATTCTGCTCTCATCAAACTATCTTTACTCATCTAATATCTAGATTCTTGATGTTTTTTCTTTTCTTTTTATTTCAATTTCTTATTAATTATCATTAATAATTCAATAAAACATATTTATGAATCATTAATTTATAGATCAAAATATGGAATTTAAATAAATAATTTCTTATCTGTAATTAATGGATGATTCTCTACTAATGAATCAAGTGTATAAATTAATAATCTTGATTCCAATATTATAGATTTAATTCCACTTATTTTATTTAGTGGTTTACTTTACTATTGCATATCTTCTTATTAATTTTTTGTAGTAACAGCATGTCTTAGTGGAAGTTAAACTTACCTTAAATGCTATTAACTATTGTTTCTTTAAAAAGTTAATGGAGGGGAATTTAATTATTCTTTACCACTTCTTTAAGATTGTATCTATTTTTCATAATTTTTCATCTCCTCATTATAATATCTATAATCAATCGAAAAATATTTATGAGCTATTTAAAATTACTCTAAAATTATTTTATTTATACAATAATACTTTTACTCTTAAAAAAATTAATCTAATTTATTTCTATCTACATATGTAAAATTTTTTTAAAAATCTTTATCCTCACGCATCTTTTCTAAATTTATTGTTGATATTAATAGATTCTTAATTTGAAGTTTTAATTCTGTTTTTATTTTAGTTGCAATAGAATCAGTCACTATTCTAATTTTAAATTTCTCATTCATTTTAAGCGAAAACTTTAATTTATATTAATTTAATGTTTCATTAGCTAATGGTTTACTCTTTACAATACATTATAATAATTTATGATCTTCTTTACATTATTAATAGGCTTGTGATTCAAAAATTTGTTATTTCTAATTTTCTAAAAAATAAAGCAATGAATTAACAGCTTTTGTTGATAATAAAAAAGTAATTGCAGTCAACCTAACCTTAATTTTACTTTTAGATTTTTTTTTCTTTTAAAAAATTGTTTCTTTTGAATTAACTTTATTTGATTGATTATTTCTAACTATTCTATATTCAGATTCTTCACCTTTTAAATATAAAAATATTTATAATGCATATTTTTGTTAATTTTAATCTTTTTTTGTTTAAATTAAAGGGAATGTCAATTTATCCTTTAAATTACTTATACATGTTGGTAGTATTAACTCTCCAAATTCTTCAATGAAAGGAATAAATAAAACTTTTCTTATTATATCAACAATTCTATTATGTGATTCTTAAAGAAAAACATGTTTATCATTATTATCACAAATTATCCATTAATTAGGTTTTTCTCTATCATTTGTATTTATAGTTACATTTCTAAGAAGATCCCAAAAATGTTTTTCATTTTTCTCACTTTTCTCATTAGGTATTTATTATTTTGAGATATGAATAAAAAGTGGATCTTCTGGTTCTTATCTATCATCAAAATATTTATCATAGATCTTAAATTATTCAGTAGTAAAATCTTAAAATCCATTTTTATCTCTTTCATAATCATCTAAAAAACTTTTTACATTTAACATTTTATTTAATTTCAAAAACTCTCCTAACAATTAATAACAGATTTCACTATTAAGAAATTATTATGAATCTTTATTAACTGAAATTTCAAATATTTCATTAAAAAATTCACAATATTTAATTTAAGACTTTTTATAATCTTTTTTTTCTTTAATTTCAAATTCCTCAGGAGATTTTCTAAATAAAGGAGATTAGATAAAATTTTTAGGTTCTTTTTCATCCATGATTTTTAATAAAATACCTGGAGCAATTAATTTTATATCTCCTATATAAATCTTTTCTTCTAATTCTTTTTATCCCTTTTATTAAGGAGTTTGAATTCCACCATTTTAATAAATATTTAATGGAACTTAAATTCCTATAATACAAATCATAAGAACAAATCTTTAATGTAAAGGTTAATCAGCATTTAATTTTTATTCACATATCTATACTTTTTTTTTCTTTTCAAAACCATCAGAAGATTAAGATATATCTGAACTAATTCCATTTAAATCTTCCATATCCTCATAAAAACTATCTATATAATTAGCTGAATGAAAATCTTTATCTTCATTCTGTTTTATAGTTTCATTATATACTTAAGTTAGAGTATTTACATTAGATGATTATCTAACTTTCTTTCTTGTAGATGTTTATTTTTTTAACAGTTTAATATGATATCTACATTAACAAAATTTAAATATTTTAGTATTTTCAGGTGTATATTTAACAAAATTAAGTTCTCGATTTTCAAAAATCAAAATAAAAATTGAATGGATTTTAAGTCTAAAATCAATCTTTAATTAATTAGGATGATTATTTTCACCTTTCAAATAACTTGCTAAAACATTGGTTTTATCTCTTTCTAAAATTTCATATAAATTAATTTTTTCATCATCATCAAGTTCTATTGGAATATCATCATTTCTCTTTGTATGATCTTTAAATGAATTTTAATTATTAATAGTGTTTGTCCATATTTCTAATAAAGGTTTTACACTTTAATCATTTTAACCATCTTTTGCAGAATTATAATATCTTTTTGCTTCCATTCTAATTTCTTAAAATGCCCATTCTCTATATTTCAATAAATCTTTAAGAGATAAATTATCTTCACAATTCTTAAATTTAACTTCATCCTTTGCTGTCCATTAAGAAAGCCAAGGCACTAAAACTATATTCTATTTTCTTTTATATAATTATATGTATCTTTTCATTGACACTAGTTTTTTATATGAGAAACTTAAATCAAGTTTTTAACTCTTTTATTTTAAAATTATAGAATTAATAAAATATTTCCACCATTCTGAATAAATCTTTTTTATTTCTTTCTCTGAGTAATTATTTTTTATTTCTTTTGTAGGTCTAAGATGAAAATTATCTTAAATTATTTCTTAACATGATAGTACCTCATTTAATTTTATTAAATAATTTTTTAATTCCTTATTTAAATTAAATATAACAGGAGACTATATTAAAACTTCAAGTATCATAATTGGTTAGGTAAGTTATTCATAATTTTTATTTACAGTATATTTTATTTCAATGTCAATAGGCATAAGAATCATTTAAGCATTTTTATTAGTTAGAATATTAGATGGATTTTTTTTCAATGATATACTTAATTTATTTATTTATAGTAATTTAAATGTGCTATTATGATCATTATTAAAGTTCTATTTAAATTCATTATCTGTTGCTTTAATATATGCATCAAATTTAATTCTTAAAATAGTTTCTTATTCAAGTATTGAGAAATTGTAAAATCTAAAATTAAATTACTTTATAATAATAGACATATTATTAAAAATACCATCAACAATTTTTTGAATCCAATTTGGAGGAGATAATTTTTCAAAATATTTTGCCATTTATTCTTCCCACAATTTTAATTTATGTTTTTTCAAATTTTCAACTCCTTACTATTGATTATCTTTGCTTTAAGTGAATTAGTTGATCTCTTAAATTGTACATACAAGTAACTCTACTCCTTCAATGATTAATTCTGGTTAATGTTTTTTATAATTAAGTGGCATCTTTAAAGGTTTTAAGTTCATAAACTTACATTTAAAGTAATGGAATTGATTTTGCCATCAATAATATATAGCGGGAATTTGAAATTAAGTAAAGCTTGTTTTTTGATGGACAAATTCTTTAATACAATATTAGAAGAGATTCCTAAGGAAAACTTTATTAATAAAGATTTATATTACTTTAGCCATATTATTTTATGAGAAATCTTATAAATATTCTAATAAATAAGAAGACAGTCTTTTGATAAAATATTCTTCAATTTCTTTTGCCATTTAATTTTTTAATATATAATGATTAAAAAATATGAGATTGATTTTCAATATTAATTCTTTAAAATAGATCCTCTAGTGCTTTTCCTAATAAGATTAATAGCTTATATGGAATGTTTAGGTGGTGATGTATGATCAATTTTTAATTTCATATTTTTGATAAACCTTTTAGCCATCATTACAGTCCAAAATTTATTATCTTTATCTTCAACTTTATTATTAGTTTTTTAGTTAAATTTTTAAGCAATTTCATAATGTCTTTCTTTTTGTGTATTAAATTCAATTTATTTTCTTCTCATTTCTTCTACTTCATGTTAAAGTCTCATGAATGTGATAATATCTTGGCAATCCATATCAACACATATTTCTTTATCTAATTTATATTCTTCTAGTATAGCTTTATCATTATTAATGAAGTTTTAATTTTGACATAAACTTCTTAAAAAATCAATGTCCTTTCGAACTATTGGATATTTAGTCATTTTCATAGCCATTACCTTCTATTTAGCAATTTATACTCTAGACTAAAAAATAAAGTATTAATATAAGTATAATTACTTGTGATATTTATGGAGATTTAAGAATAGTTGGAGTGGTTAAAGTTTTAAGATTTTACCCTGCTAAATTATTCTCCTCTTCATAAACATTTGGTTCATTTATTGCCTAATGATTAGATTAATTGAAACTATTAGAAGATTCAAAACTATTGGAACTGCTAGAATCTGATACTTAAAGTATATATTCTTTTTCTTTCTTTTTCTTATATTCAAGCAATTAAAGTGTTTAATTCTCTGAATCATCAGATACACTATCATTAGATACTTATTCAAGTTGAATCTGAGTATTAAAACGTTCTCTTTCATTTGGGTCTTGAAGCTTTTAAATAATTTTTTTCTTTGCATTTTGGAATTAGTATTTACATTTATCCTATATTGATTTTCTTGATTCTGTCTATATTCGAGTACGATGAACAGAATCTTTTGTCATTCTCATTTCATTGCTAATTATAGTCTAAAATTTATAGGCTCCAAAACCCACTCCTAATTCATTAGTCATGTGTAATTAAAATATCAATTAGAAAACTCTTTTAGATTAAAATAAATTGATAATAGGTATGATACATTAGTATAAAATTATATATTTCATTATTAACATGAAATCTTCTTTTTTTTGGGTTCATACATTTATAATTGTTCCTTTTACCATATGAATTATCTCTAATCAGCTGGAGTCATACGTAGTAAAATATGAGTCTAAATATATTTATCAGTATTTATTAATTACCCTTCTTGTTTAATGTAGCATGGTTTTACCTTCAGGGTTTTCAGCAACAGATTCCTCATAATTCAGATTCATTTTATTCCAAGGATCAGCCTTATTCAAAATCAAGAAGTAAGCTATATTATTTTATTTATGAATCAATGCAAGATATAAAGGAGTTCTTCCAACGATATCTTAAGAATCTGGATCAGCACCATATCTCAATAAAATCCTCGCTGTAGATTCTAAACCTCTCATCGCACACCAATGAAGAGTTGTCATTAATAGATGATCATACTCATATACTAAATATTTGTTATCATCTAACAATTAAATCACTTCCTTATCTTAACCCTATTTACACAATTAAAAAAATTGTTTAGATTAAGGGTTTTCAAAAGGTTTACAAGGAAAAACTTTATTAGATAAAAATTCTTTGGTTGTTAATTTTAGTTTTTCTAAGTGTCTCAAATACTAAATTAAAGATGTTCTGATGGTTTTGTATTTATGTTTTAATGGAATATTTTCAGATGGAAATTTTTGGAAATTAAGTAATCCTCTGATTTGTTTGCTTCCATAAAGTTTGTTCTTATATAGAAATGTTAATTACATTAAAATCATCAATTTCTGAGAAATCTCTATATCTAGAGACTTTATTAGAATTTGGTAATTAAGGGACTGAGATTAAATTAGGTTGAGTTTATTTGGAGAGTATTTCAGATTTGAAATCGTTTTTTGTAATATCATTAATGAGTTGAAATTTGGGATCAATAGTAAGTGAGTGAAATTTGGTAGCAGTTTAATTAGGGCGATATGTTTGAGATCTAATGATTTAAGATTATTTGGATAGTATTTTTGGTATTTTTTTATTCAATTTAACTAAAAATCTTTAAGGTTTATGATTAAATTGTAATTTTTTGGTTTGCATAATCTAAATAGATGAAGGTGTATGTGTTTTAGTAGTACTTTTACAATAATAATGATTAGAAGTAGGAAGAGTAGGTATTTATCTAATGTTAGTATTATTGAAGGGTAGATCACATAATAATGAACTTAATAAAATGGGATGATTTTGAACATCTTAATGACTAGGGATAAGAGATTTGAATTTAGTTTTTCTTGGAGTAGTTGGCAGAGATACATGAATCTTATCAAGGTTTAATAATCGTATGTAATTAGTTTTAGAGAATCTACTTAAGTGAATATGAATACTGGTTTTCAGTCTTGTTTCTTTTCATAAATTATTAATATATAATAAAAAATGGATAAGGACATTGATGTTGATAAGGTGATTTGTATTTGCATAATAGATCATTGAGAAATTGTTAGAAACTAAAGGGGCTCGTAATGGAAAACCAGTGAATCTAACAGAGAGTGAAATAAGATCATTGTGTATAAAAAGTAGAGAGATTTTCTTAACTTAACCAATGTTGTTGGAATTGGAAGCTCCTATAAAAATATGTGGTAATATACTATAAATATAATAAGGTGATATACATGGACAATATACAGATTTGTTAAGATTATTTGAATATGGAGGATATCCCCCAGAAGCTAATTATTTATTTCTTGGAGATTATGTTGATAGAGGAAGGTAATCGTTAGAAACTATCTGTTTATTACTTGCTTATAAGATTAAATATCCTGAGAATTTCTTTCTTCTTAGAGGAAATCATGAATGTTCACAAATCAATCGGATTTATGNTATTTATGTTTTAATGGAATATTTTCAGATGGAAATTTTTGGAAATTAAGTAATCCTCTGATTTGTTTGCTTCCATAAAGTTTGTTCTTATATAGAAATGTTAATTACATTAAAATCATCAATTTCTGAGAAATCTCTATATCTAGAGACTTTATTAGAATTTGGTAATTAAGGGACTGAGATTAAATTAGGTTGAGTTTATTTGGAGAGTATTTCAGATTTGAAATCGTTTTTTGTAATATCATTAATGAGTTGAAATTTGGGATCAATAGTAAGTGAGTGAAATTTGGTAGCAGTTTAATTAGGGCGATATGTTTGAGATCTAATGATTTAAGATTATTTGGATAGTATTTTTGGTATTTTTTTATTCAATTTAACTAAAAATCTTTAAGGTTTATGATTAAATTGTAATTTTTTGGTTTGCATAATCTAAATAGATGAAGGTGTATGTGTTTTAGTAGTACTTTTACAATAATAATGATTAGAAGTAGGAAGAGTAGGTATTTATCTAATGTTAGTATTATTGAAGGGTAGATCACATAATAATGAACTTAATAAAATGGGATGATTTTGAACATCTTAATGACTAGGGATAAGAGATTTGAATTTAGTTTTTCTTGGAGTAGTTGGCAGAGATACATGAATCTTATCAAGGTTTAATAATCGTATGTAATTAGTTTTAGAGAATCTACTTAAGTGAATATGAATACTGGTTTTCAGTCTTGTTTCTTTTCATAAATTATTAATATATAATAAAAAATGGATAAGGACATTGATGTTGATAAGGTGATTTGTATTTGCATAATAGATCATTGAGAAATTGTTAGAAACTAAAGGGGCTCGTAATGGAAAACCAGTGAATCTAACAGAGAGTGAAATAAGATCATTGTGTATAAAAAGTAGAGAGATTTTCTTAACTTAACCAATGTTGTTGGAATTGGAAGCTCCTATAAAAATATGTGGTAATATACTATAAATATAATAAGGTGATATACATGGACAATATACAGATTTGTTAAGATTATTTGAATATGGAGGATATCCCCCAGAAGCTAATTATTTATTTCTTGGAGATTATGTTGATAGAGGAAGGTAATCGTTAGAAACTATCTGTTTATTACTTGCTTATAAGATTAAATATCCTGAGAATTTCTTTCTTCTTAGAGGAAATCATGAATGTTCACAAATCAATCGGATTTATGGATTCTATGATGAATGTAAAAGGAGATATAATATAAAATTATGGAAAACATTTACAGATTGTTTTAATTGTTTACCTGTTTGTGCAGTTATAGATGAAAAGATTATTTGTATGCATGGAGGACTATCACCTGAATTAACAAATTTGGAATAAATACATAGGATAATGAGACCAATTGAAGTACCAGACACTGGATTATTGTGTGATTTATTATGGTCAGATCCTGAAAAAGATTTATAAGGATGGCAAGGTTACTTAATTATCTCCTATTTATATAGATAATGAGAGAGGTGTTTCTTATATTTTTGGACCTGATATTATTGCAAGTTTCTTAAAAAAAAATGATATGGATCTAGTATGTAGAGCACATTAAGTTGTTGAAGAAGGTTATGAATTCTTTGCTAAAAGATAATTAGTTACTATCTTCTCTGCACCAAATTATTGTGGTGAATTTGATAATTCAGGTTATTTATATTTTATTAATATTATTTTAGGAGCACTTATGAGTGTAGATGAAACCTTAATGTGCTCATTTTAAATACTAAAATCACAAGATAAAAAAAATGTTCCTTAAGCTAGACCAAGAACACCCAAATACGTTAATTGATATAATTTAATTATTATATCGTACATATTATTAGTTTCTATCCTCTACTTTTATTAGTTATTATTATAATGTCTATATTATATTTCATAAATAATCAATCAAATTATTTATAATATATATTTATAGATAAATATCAAAATCTAACTAACTATTATATATTATTCAAAATTATTTATTATTCGAAATGGACACACCACCATAAAATAATTCTAAACATAATGTTGATGATGATTTTAGACATGATCTTTGTCAAAGAATATATACAAAAAATGGAAGTATTATTTATAAATTATTAACAGAAATGACACATAATCAAAATTAATAATCAAAATAGCTTTCAGAAAAAGATTAATTATAAAAACTATTTGGTGAATTAAAGGGATAATTAAAATATATCGAAGAAACTAATTGGATGTTTGAAGGATTGAATAATGCCAACGACAATTTTTGAATATTAAAACATAATACTTATATATGATTTTAAAATTTTATAATTGATAAATATGAGAATTCTAAGATGTATTGATAAATGAGAAAAAGGAATAATAATAAGAGAATTGAAGGGATAAAATATTAAAAGACAATTAATATGATGAATAAGGAGAATAAACATAAATTTAGAATTTACAAAGTAAGGAAATTAAATGAATGAGAATAATGTATATAGATGATACAGATTATAAATAAATAGTACAATGAATTAATTTATATATTTTTTTATTAATGGATTCATTATAAATACAGAAGTAACTTATGGTTGAATAATTGAATAAATTGGAATATATGGATAAAATCTTACCATTACATAAGGATGAAGTTTAAGCAGAGAAGAAATTGTAAGTTCAGATAAATAGTTTGAATTTCAAAAGGATAATTGAAGGATAGGAAAATAATAAATTGATGGCAGAAATAGAAGAATCTAAATTAGATGTTTAAAAGAGTAGACAAAAAGCATTTCAAAAATATTTTACATCATTTATGACAGATAAGTAGTAATAATAAGCAGATGTGAATATTCTTGAATTCAATTAAAGTGATTTTGAAGTGTTTTAATAAATTAAAGAGAGACAGAGATAATTGGCATAGGAAGATCTAACAATAGCTCGTTAGAAGGAGAAAAGCAATTAAATATTTGAATAGAACTTAATGAAGAAATGGGATAGAGTTAGAAAAAGTAATATGTTGAGTTATGCTAAGAATTACGTATGATAGGAAGGATGAAAAGATTATATGATGAAGTAAAATTGTATGGTACAAGTTGTAGAGTAGAGACATCAATAAAGAGACATGAAGTGATATAGGAGTTGGAATCAATGTTAAATAAATAGAATTAATAAATAAGTAAACCAATGCCATAGAAACATAGTATAAATAATATAGATGAATAATAGAACACCTATTCTTACCAGATTCATAATTTAAGAAGTATTGGCAATATGTGTTAATGATTTTATTAATGTATACAGCATTTATTACTCCGATTCGATTAGCATTTATAGAAGAATTTAATATGATATGGTTTACTTTGGAATTAATAGTAGATATATTATTTTTACTGGATATTTTAATTACATTCAATACAGCATATTTTAATGAGGAAGGAGTTCTTATTGCTGATCGTTAATAGATTGCTACATAATATGTAAGAACATGGTTTATTTTTGATTTAATGGCAATATTTCCAACTGATCAAATATTTAATAATGAAGCATAAAAGTTATCATAATATTTTAAGTATTACAATAATATAAATAAAATAGATTGACACGATTACCTAGAATGTATAAGTTAATTAGTATTAGTAGAATGTGGTCAACAGTGTAGAATTCTTAGAATCATAATGATTGTTTTTCAGCAATTTAAGATTTAATAAATTTAAATTCTACAACTTTGAGAGTGTTAAAGTTTTTTGGGACAGTTCTTGTTTGTGTTCATATAATGGGTTGTCTTTGGTATTTGGTAGCAAAACTAAACAATTTTGAATCAAATACATGGGTATATGAATTAGATTTGTTAAATAGAAATGAATATGAATTATATTTAACATCAATATATTGGGCTGTAACAACAATATGTACAGTAGGATTTGGAGATATCCATGCCTTTAATGAGAGTAAAGCATGAATAATTACTTAGCTGAAAGAATAGTTTGTATATTTTGGATGTTTTTTGGAGTTGGCTTTTATTCCTTTACTGTAGGTTCATTATCTACTTTGATGGGTACATTAGATACTAGAGAATCTCATCTATAAAGCAAGGTTACATTTATGGATGAATTTTGCGAAGAGACAAGATTGTCCTTATAAATGAAACATAAAATTAGAAAGGTATTAGAATATAATTCAATGATTAATATATTCTCATCTGCTGAAGTTGATGAATTTCTATCAGAAATACCTACTAATCTTAAATATTAAATTGCATAAGCTATGTATGCTGGTCTTAAAAATAGAGTATCTTTTTTTAAAAATAAAGATTCAGTCTTTATATCTACACTTATACCTAAATTATAACCATTAAAAATTAATGCTGGAGAATTTGTTTACAATAAAGGAGAATATCCAAATCAAGTCTATTTTATTGTTAATGGAAGAGTCAATATGGTTATTGGAGTCTATTCTATCACTTTTAAAACATATGTAACAGGTAGTTATTTTGGTGAAATTGAAATCTTTGATAATAGTGCACGATTTCATTCTGCTAGAGCTGAATTAGAGTGTGAATTATTAGCTATTGAATAGGATATTTTTAAAAAAATATTGTAAGCTTTTCCAGAATATTTTGAAGAAATTAAAACCATTTCATTAGAAAAATTAAAAAGAGAAAAAGATTCCATTGAAAAATTATAAGATTTAACTGGATTATCATAAACTTCTGAATTTTTCAATAAAAAAAGAACCTAATCTATCTATAAATCAATTAAATAACGAGAATCTGTTTAATTCATTGAATATAGTGAAGAATCTGAATAAGATATTAAATCCATGAGATCTAGTAAATTAGGATTCTTTAAAAAGAGAACTAACCATTTAATACCAGATGAAACATTAACTACTAGATTACATACATAAGAAGATACTTCTTAATAGAATCTTATTACATCTGAAAGCCAACAATAACCAGAAAAAGTAATATAATTATCAATCCCAGATTAAGTTAAAAGAGATAATGAAAATAATATCAAATTAATTGGACAAATTCATCCTATCATTTCTTAATTTAATTAAGATCATACATCATCATAGAATCCCTAAATTAAAAATGAACAACCAAAACATCCTCCTAAATAAGTTAGATACATTAGTCATAATCTTAGATGCAGTCCAAAAAGAATTGAAAATAGAACATCATCCATTTAAGTTTCATCCTCTAATGAAATTACTAACTCTGATACACCATTAATCTCTTCTGTAAGATCCAATTTTAATAAACCTTCCATTAAAATTGATGAAGTCTCTCATGAATCTGAAGGCTCGCCAAATATTTCCATACATCATTAAACTGTATTCTCTAATGCTTAATCTCCTTAAAATTCTCCTAGAAGAAATTCCAATCAATCTAAATTTTCAAAACCATCCCCTTTTTAACAATAATAGTCAATCTTTAAAACTGTTAACAATCAATACATTGAAGCTAGCAAACTTAAGAATCTACCAAGATTAGGAGGATTTAGAAGAACATATAGAAAAGAAAGATAAATTGAATATTTTGAAGAAACTATTGAAAATGAAGATTATTCTTAACTATAGCAAAAATTAGTTTAGTTATTGGAAAAGATTAAAAAATAAAAAGAACAATAAAAAACTAAAAAATCAAATATCTAATTCAACATTGTAAATCCATTACCTAAAAAAATGGTTTTACAATAAAAAGATTCTATAAGTATTTCAGATTTACCAGATGTTGAAAAATAATAATTATCTAAATAAGATAGTAATAGTAGTGGCATATTAGAATGATATCACATAAAATTTTTCATCTCAACTTAATTATTTATTTATAAATTTTTTCATATTCTTCTGAGTCTCCTTATATTTTAGAGCATTTTATAACATAAACAGAATCACATAAAAGAGCCATAGTGAAACTCATCAAAAAATCATTTTTGCTTATCTTTAATTCAAATTTATTTCTTTTTACATCGTAATTTTAAGATTACAAATGAGTTATAATTTTTTGAGTAATTTTTTATGGATCTATAAAAACAAGTTAATTAATATGATATGGACCTTCATGTTGTCTTACAACAATTAAAGGACTTTATGGTCTTTCGTAAGAGTGTTAATTATTACTAAAATTAGGAGCTCTATAAAGAGTAGATCTTAATGGAGTTTTCAACGTTCTTGGTTTTTATGGAGCAGGTGAACGATCTTAATTTTCAAGGGCTCTTTATTTAAATTATTATGCTTTCATTTTAATTTATTCTACTGTAGGAAATAAGGTTTCAGGTTTTTTCTCAACACTAAGTGAAACCTATCTTACTCGAGAACTACAATCATATTAATTGTAATTAACATTCGATTAGTAAATTGGTGTATTATTTAAAGATGTTTGAATAGAGGGTCTTTCAACAAAGGGAATCTAAGTAGAAACATTCAATTAATTCATGTTATTGCTTGTATTTATATCAATTTCTTATGGTTAATCCTGATTGATTTCAAATTGATTGTTATTCACAGGATTAATTTATGATAGATTAAGTTATAAATTTTCATTAGCACCCTCAACCTCATGTTAATTTTATGTTTCTGGTACCTATGAGATTCTTTCTTATTAAGAATTTTGATCATTAAAAGTTCTTAGAGAATTAGTTGATTTTAATTCTTGAGTGTTTCGCAATGGAGTTTTATTTTCTTTAGTGTCAACTTAACTAATTCTTTGAGATTAAATATTAGAAGTTTCTTTAAGGATAGCTTCTTGAGGATGTTGAGGAGGAGGAATTTAAATTAATTTATATTAAAAAGCTTCCTCTTTATCCTACTATCTTTCTCGTAAATATTTATTTAACAATAAATAATAAGTAGTTGTGACAGGATCATGTTTATTGGCTTTTAAATAGGCATAAGCTTAAGGTAATTTGAAATTATAGGTAGCCAATTATTGTAAAACCTCATTGCAAATATTGATTTCTCCATATCCTGGAGTAAGAATAGGATTGGTAATGCAAGTTTGAATCCAATAGTGTTTAAGTATTTATTGAATATTGTACCTTTTGAGAGGATCGACTTATAATATTTTTTCAAGTAAATCTTTACATAGAGGACTCATGTACTTTGGAGGAGCATATTCTCCTTAAATAATTTTTCTATATAGTTAGGCAGTGTTATTATCTTCAAAAGGTAGATATCCATTAACCATTGCATAAAGAATAACACCACAACTCCATGTGTCTGCAGATTTTGGATCATACTCTTTACCAGCTATCATTTCTGGTGCTGCATAACAAGGACTGCCACATGCAGTTTTAAGTAATTAGCCATCCTAAAATTAATTTGAGAGACCAAAATCCACAATTTTGATATTGTTATTTTCATCTAATAGTAAATTCTCAGGTTTTAGATCTCTAATATTTAATAAAATAAGTACCTATGCATAACATAATTGTCATGCATATATTAAACTCCTGAAAGAATTTACATCAAATACTCTGCAGATTCTTTTTCATTTAATCTTTAATTTCTAATTATAACTTCAAATAACTCTCCTCCAGGTGCATATTCCATAATCAAATATAAAGAGTGTACAGTTTAAACTATCTTCAAATAATTGTCATCTTTACTTCATATATCTATATTATATTAGGATGACGTAGTTTCTTAAGACAATTAATCTCCCTTGAAATCCTTTCATAATCGATTCCTTCTTTCATTTTATCTTTCTCTAAAATCTTAATTGCAACAGTCTCATTTGTAATAGTATGCTAACCTAATCTGACTTATCCAAAGGTTCCTTCTCCTAAAGTTTTACCAAGGATGTAATTTCCTATTGATTTAATACTCATTCAAAAATTAAATTAACTGATGGGAAGTGTTTGTAAGAAACAAGACGCTGAAAATGAACTTAATAGTTTAATTCCAAAAAAGAAGGGCGATACCATCACCATATCATAAAATCATGGAGGAGGCTCATAAATCATCTAAAAAAAGAGAAATACTGGAAATAAGGGAGACTATGAACCTGATGCAGTCGCAGAAAAACTAGAAGTGGAAGTATCAATTACTATCTAATGAAAGCTTAAACGTAATGATAGAAAAAAGCTTGTTAAGGTTGAAGCTCGTTAGGATTAAGAGGAAATAGTAGAAAACATTTAAAAAAGTAACAAAAAGAAGTCACCTTTTGATTACTAACTTATTTTGAATGCATTTACTACGAATTCTCTTTTTTAATCACTTTCTCAATAGGAACAGTACAATATATATATATTCTATTCAGGGAAGCTATTTTAGAATAGATGTTCTATTGCACTACACCAGATGGTCAATTTGTATTCAGATAAGGAGATCTTAAGGCAAGTTCCTTTTTTTTAATAGGTATAATTTATCTTATACTTTAAAGAACGTGGATAATGTTAAATAATTATAGATGGAGAAGTAAAGAAAGTATTAAAATAATCAGATTCATTTGGTGAAAGAGCACTTTTATATAATGCTCCAAGATCTGCATCAGTGAGAGCAGTAGGAGATTGTGCATTTTGGGCTATTGATAGAAATCTATTTAGAAAGATGATTGAAGATATGAGAATGCATGAATTTGAAGAGAATAGATAATTTGTAGAAAATCTTAAATCTTTTGGTAAAGTATCCCACTCATCGATTAGAATTTTTAACGTTTGATTAAAGATCAGCCATTTCTAGTGTATTATTTACTGTGCAATTTAAAAAAGGAGAAATTATAGTATCTCAAGGTGAATCAGCAACTTCATTTTTTATTATTAAGAAAGGATCTGTATCTGTGATATAAAATGATAATGAAATAAGAAAAATGAAGAAAGGTGAATCCTTTGGAGAAATGGCATTATTTTAAAATTCTACAAGAGGAGCAACAGTTAAAGCAGCAGAAGAAGATGTGAGATGTCTTGTAATTACAAGGGATGAGTTAACTAAAATTTTGGGAGACAAAATATAAGTTATTATGTTTACTAATAAATAAATATGGGCAATTGAAAAACATTAGGTTTTAGGATAATTAACTGAATTGTAAATATAAAAGATCGTGTAAAATATGAACTAATTTAATTATGAATAAGGAGCAATTGTATTTGAAGAAAGAGTATAGAAGTTAGTGATTGTTCTAAGAGGAGAATTAATATTTGTAATGTTATACATTTATACTTAAGGCAGACTGGGTCTAAAATGAAAGCCGCTAGTGAAGGTTAAGTTTTTGGTGATACTTATTTTAATAAGTAATAATTAAGTGATCCAGTTATTGCCAAAGATAAATGTATACTTGCAGAAATTGATTTTAAAAGATTTGAAGAAGTCATTGGTGGGTCTTTAGATTAAGTCATTAATAAAAATTAAAAAATAAATGAAAAGTATTTTTATAATTTATAATATATTATAGACACAAGAAATAATAAAGTTATAAACATGATTATTCTCATTTAAAATTGGAAGAATTTACTTCTTTAAAAAAATTGGGATAAGGATAATTTGGGAATGTTTATCTGGTTAAAAATCCAAAAGATAATCCTCCTCATTTTTATGCTTTGAAATGTATATCTAAATAATAGATTGTTGATCAACATTTAGAAAAGCATTTAGCATAAGAAAAATAAGTATTAACATCTGTTCATCATCCATTTCTAATGAAATATTATTGTAGTTTCTAAGATTCCAATCATGTTTTCTTCCTTGTAGAATTCATTAAAGGAATGGAACTCTTCGATGTTATAAGAGATATTGGATTATTAAGTGCTTTTGATACTCAATTCTATATAGGATCTCTAATTCTCTGTATAGAGTATCTTAATAAATAAAAAATTGTTTATAGGGATATTAAACCAGAAAATATAATGGTTGATGAAAAAGGATATGTGAGATTAATTGATATGGGAACAGCGAAATTCTTAAATCATAAAGGTGGTAGAACATATACTATAATTGGAACTCCACATTATATGGCTCCAGAAATCTTATAAGGAAAAGGTTATACATTCCCAGTTGATATATGGTCAATTGGTATTTGCATGTATGAATTTATGTGCGGATAAGTTCCTTATGCTGAAGAAGCTGAAGATCCATATGAAATATATGAAGAAATTTAAAAAAAACAATTATCCTATCCTTAATTTCTAAAAGATAGAAAAGCTAAGAAATTTATGGAATAATTACTAAATAAAACACCTGAGCTGAGATTAGGAGGATCTTATGCCAGTTTAAAGGCCAATCAATGGTTCGATCAATTTGATTGGGTATATTCATTATTTTTATTCAGGACAAACTTTTCGATAAAGAAATGAAACCTCCTTATTTACCACCACAATAAAAAATGCCATCTACAGGTAAAGATGTACAAGGTACTCCAATCATGAAAGAATTATAAAATTTAAATGCAGCAATCTATAGAAAAGAAAAGGCAAAAGACCCAAATTGGGATTAAGAATATTGAAGTATTTCATGCACAAAACTTTTTTATTTAAAATTTTATTCAAATTTCTAATTAATAAAAGCATAAAACAATCTCTATTCAAATTATCAATTAAATTAATAAAATAATAAATACATTATGAAAATCTTCTTTCATAAAATCCTAGATGCTGAAACTGAGAGACAATATAATAATTTCCAAAGAAATGAAACCATTAAAATCTAACATTAATAAAAACTCTTAGTACTATTTTTATTGGGTGTTTTTACAATTTAAAAAGGTATTGAATAAAGTTGGGCTTCTTTAGCTTTCAATATATTTGGATTTATTTTTATAATTATCTCCTACAAATATGTGAAAAAAACATCAATTTATTATAAATACTTACTTTTGATGGTTGCTTTAATATTTAATTTTTTTTATCCATTCAATCGATATATGGATATACCTCCAAACCAAGATACTTATCTAGATGGATATTTTATATGTCTAGGATCACTTTCGTAAGATATCAGTTAAACTTAGAATCCTTAATTCTGTTGAGATTTAAGCCAAATACATAGTAATGATACCAACTTTAGCATTTAATTTATATGTAGGTCCTTATGATAATAATACTTTTTGGTCATAATGTTTGAAGTTTGCTGTCATGATTTTTATGGATATTCAATTTGGTATACAATAAGAAATTTTCAAAAGAAAATAATTTTTTAAATTAAATATCAATAAAATTTTGCAAAATTATTTTAATTCTTAAGATATGTTTGATATCTTTAAAGTTAAATTTGATGAAGAAATTAAATCTATTAAATTATCATCCTTACTAGAAAAACAAAAATTCAATTAATTTCAATAACTAGACTTCAAACAACGCATAAGAAAGATATTTATTTAGCCTAAACAACAAACTAATTAATTAAATAAAAAATATAAAAATTAAAATACTTAAATTAATTTAGAAACATTTTTACTTTTCTTCCTTAAAGAATTAAAGCCAAAAAAAGACTTTTAAATGTTTGAGTATTTAAATAAAAATTCTTCTTAGGTAGAATTAGAAGAATTTTTAATAAATAATTTTGGATAGAATGATATTTCTACATCTAACTCAAAATAAATAGTGATTTATAAAATACATCACTATAAAACTCCTCAAGCATTAATTATTATTAAATAACATTAGATTTCTACAAAAATGAAAAAATTAACACTTAAGTTAGAGAATTATAAACTTATTATAAAATATTTTATCTCTATCTTTAATTCTACTTTTAAGAAAGGTTTAACAAACTTGTATGATTTTAATCATATAAGTGATTTTAGTATAATATAGAAAGAAAGTTTATTTAAAGAGCATCTTTCTTAATTAAATAAGGCTTGGAATTCCTTTAGAAATATGATTGATTTTATACAATTATCTTGTGATATTAATCCATTAACAAATTTCAATATTTTCCTTTTGCTTGAATAAGTAATTAAATCGATCTCTTTTTTGAATCATGATATAATGACAGAAATAGAAGTCATCAATAAATTGAAAAATTCATATGTTGTATCTAACAACACAAAAATGAAACAACTTTTCTTAAATTTGTTTTATTATATTTTAGATTTAAATTTAGGGAAGATTTATATCTATTTAGAAGAAGATTAATACTAAAATGATAATATGATAAAAGTAAAATTTAAGTACTAATGTAAGAACATAATTTCCAACTAAGAGTCACAACATTTTCCAATAATAAATCCTATGTCCTTTTCAGATTTAAAGCATAATTCAAAAGGAATATCTAATCTAGAAATACCAATAAGTATTTGGTTGGTTAGACTTTTGGGGCCTAAAGATAAAATTATTATAAGAAAAAGTTAACAATAGCATGAGTTAGAATTTTTATTATACAAAATTTTAACTTCAGATATGAGTTTACAATAACACTATAATTTAAGAACAGAAAATTAAATAATAATGTGTATAGAAAATTAGTAGTTATTCACAAATTGTGTTTCAATATAACCATTTATAACTTGATAATGTATATATATTCTCAAATTAAACTAACAAATCTTTTTTTTTAATAATTATTAATTTATTTGTGTTTTCTTAATCAAATAAAACAAATAAATTTTATATAAATAATGTTAATAATTACTTATGATTTATTCATTTAATATATTTCTAAACTAAATCAGAACAATCCAATTTAGATATCTACTTTACAAGATAATCTTTTGAAACATTCTATTTTATTTTAGTTATATCATTTTAAAGTTCCTGATATAAACTTTTTTTTAAGAAAATACTTCTACTTACATCCCTAAGAATATCCTTTTTTTCTTTAATTTAAATCTAAACTACACTGCCAGATCTTTATTTTTCAAGAACTTTATTTACTTTCTCTAATTATTAGAATTTAACTTTTTCTAAGTTTACTAAACTTCTAGATTTATTATTCTTATTTAATTGAGGTTACAATAATCTGTTTAACTTTTTATCTTAAACATTTTCATCTAAAGAAGAGTAATTATCTGGTTTTTGCTATTCTATTTATTATTTTAAATTCTTTCGTTTTTTCAAGTTAGAAGTTTAAGTTTAGGATGTTAAGGAATTTTAAGAGTTTTTTCTGAATCTATTTTGTTTTGCTATATATTTTTCAAGATATTTTTATGTTTCTTCTACTTTAAACTGTGATTAGTTTAATATAATATTAGCCTTATAGTTATCCTATTAACCTATTCGATTGGCATGAGATTTATTTAATTTTTATTCAATTTTTTTATAAAGTTAATTACATTATTCTATTTCTTATTATTTTAACTATTAAATTCTATCATTAGTCTATTTTTATTTTATAAAATCTTTTTATTCTTTCTCTTTTTACTTAATTTTGCTTTGACTAAATCCTCTTTATTCTTCTGACCTAAGTAAATTAGTATTTTTACTCTAACTATTCCCTCTTTTTTTAAAATGCCTTTTCTTGTTATTCTAATATTTATTCTTAATGCTTTTTTGCAATAAATTCAGTTTTTTAGTTGAAATGATGTGCCCGATCACTAACAGTTTTAAGAGATTTTTGTTTGAGTTTATCAATCCTTTTTTTTTCTTCCTCTTTAAATTTCTATTCATTAATTTATTTCAATTCATCTTCAACTAATTCTTTAATTTTATTTTTCATCATTAATTCATTCTTTTCTCTTTTAAGCTATTATAATTCAATCTTTTTATCTAATTATGAAATTGCATTTTCAATATTTTAATTAATAAGTGAATCATTTTATGTGTAATATCTAATCATCTATTAATCTAATTTTTAACTCTCTAATTCTTCTTTTTTAATTTTATTTCTTTCTTTGATTAAAAATTTCCTTTTTTATGCCACTTGATGTAAATGCAACATAAATCTTTGTTCTGTAATGATGGACTCTTCTTCTGTAAGTTAGAAAGTAGAATACTTTTTTTAAATAAGTTCATCTTCTTTGATATTTAAATTCAACATAGCCTATTTAATTTTTGGAGAATTGAAATTTAGATCTATACCAAGTAAAAATTAGACATCAAAGGTTAATTTTAATTCCATCTATTCGAGCTTAGAATTAGTCAACTCAAGAGGATCTGTTATTAGTAACATTTTTATTTATTAAATTGATATTTTTATGATAAAAAAGTCATTAATCCACTCTTTTAATAGATTTAATTGATGGAGAAGATTCCGAATCTGAATCATCTTATTATTCAATTTGTGGCATTCTACTTGGAAGATCAGATAAAAAATGGGTCTATGTAACTGGAGAAAAGTTAGTAAGACTTTTAACTTCCTTTTTCATGTTTATCCTAAATAGTTAAATAATATCATCATCTAAGAATTCAACTAAATGTTAATTAATTTGATCATCTTTAAATTTGGCAAGATTATTAAAAGCTGTTTATGCTTCAATAGCCTTTTCAAGTTCAGATTACTCAGACTTTAAAATTGAAAAATAAGATTGTTTATTATTTGAATTCATATCTATATTAGGTTTAGGTAGAAAATCAAATAATTTTATTTAATCTGGTGATAACAAAATCATTTTTAATTTATCAATCTCCTATAATTTTTTCACGATATAGGTTATATCAAGAGAATTATTAATTTTACTCATAGAGTATGAGATTAATTATTATTTCTTACCTCTAGCACAAGGAATGTAATCACAAAATGATAATTCTAATTTACTATTTCTTTCATCGAAAAATCGTTTAATACTGTCTTATAAAGCATTAATTAAAAATTTATGATCATTTTTTTCAGAATTCCTACCATTTGCAGTCATTTATCTATTCATTCTCTCTAATTAAGATGTTTTTAATTAAATTGATTTCAACCTTTATTTAGAATTACTACTCGGATGAATTTTTTGTTGTTAATCTCCATGTGAATTATTCAAATTAAAATTAAATAACTCATTTAATAGTGTAACTTTATATGATAATTCATTTAAAGGAGTAACTATAAATAATGCAGCTATAAAAAAGATTTCACATAATCCACCAAAGTCACTTAGACTTTATTAGATTTTTGGATATGAAATTTGATATATTTAAGTTAAATTATCTAAATAAAAGCTGTATTTGGCATAAACTTTTTCATCTTAAGAATCAAAATTTTCATACAAATTATTAATAGAAAGAGATTTACTCGTCTCAATTTCTGATAAAATGAAACCATGATCTTATTTAACCTCAGTTATCTAAAATATCCCATTCAATCTTTTAGTGTAGTATTGATTAATAACATTTTTAAATGTCTTACCATATAATTAATGAGGTTGATTGAAATTCTTAGTATCAGCATAAGTTGATAATGTTTTGATAATTATTTCATCATTTTCGATGAACGGACATTTACGACTACTTTATAAAATTAATATATTACGTTTATTCACATTGATTAATAGAAACTTCTATATACTTATAATAATCTGAATCTAAACTACCTTCTATTATTATATGTGGAACTGAGTCCCAATCAATGCAATATTAAATTAAAGAAGTGTTGACAAAGTAATCGCGAAGACCTTATTGTTTTTCACATTTGATTAGAGGAATATTAGTTTTTTAAATCGAAGGGGTAATCTTTGTATTTGTATTATCTTCAAATATTTGACTCACTAATGACATAGTGACATAATATGAATCCAAAAGATCATAATTCAAAGAGCTGATAGTAATTGTAAAATTTTCTTAGGATAAGTAAATAGGAGGTTATTATTATGAATATGATTAGTTAGTAAGTAAAGTTGGGTTGTCATGCAAAACTAAAGATGAAATGATACCAACAAATTGTATTAACAATATAGATATGATTCCCATAGTCATAAAGGTGCCTAGTAAAGTTCTATGTCCTCCTTACTTAAGAAGAAATAAATCAACAGGTTTAACAAAGACATTGATATATTTTAGGTAGTGGATTACTTGATCTAATTTTTTTTGATTCATTTATAATGATAATGAAATTAGATTTGAAAACCTTATAATGAATTGTTTTAGAAATATACTATCGTAATTAATATTATATTTAAAATTTTAAATAACAAAGGTAATTAATAAAAATTAAAAATAATATTTAAGTAATAATTCATTCATCTTCTTATGTTTATATGATTCTTTAAAAGCAGAACTATTCTAATCCCATAAATTTCTAAACTTATTCATTTAATCAGTATCTCTTTTTAACTAAGATAAAGTAATAGAAAATTTATTCCATGAATCAAAATTCTTGAAAATAAAAGTAAGGTTTAAAATCCTATTTTTTTGAATGAAGAGCAGATAATGTATATTATAATAACTTGTGCTTGCTTATCAAACATAATTAAATATTTATTGTTAAAGTTAGATTTTATGTTTAGTATTAATATTGATTGAAAAGGATTGTTTTTATATTTTTTTAGGTTTAGGTCAAGGAATTTTAAGAAGATTTCATTTCTATTTCTTAATTAGTTATAAAATAAGTTGTGAAGAGGGTAATCTTCATTTTTTAAATGAATGAATTTGATTAATGAATTGTGATATAGATTTTATTTTGAGTTTAATAGAGAAATTGATATGAGTTGATTCATGTTTTTTAGAGATATAATGTTTTATAAGTGGTTAGTGATAGATTAAAAGTTTTTTAATTAAATGAGAGAATGAGAAGAATGTCCTTACTGATAATAATAATAAACTTATAAAATAATTCATATAACATTAATCCATTTATGTGGTTTATCACCAGTCTAAAGAAATGAGAGGAATAAAATACCTGAATTTCAGTCATCATATCAAATAACTATTGAGATAATTCTCCAGCATTAATTTTTGGATCATATTTAATTTCATAGATTTTATCATTATATCCAATAGCTTCGATTGGTTGAATACTAACAGCAGTACCAGATCCAAACATTTCAATCATCTAGATATAGAAATATAAATATACTCTTCCTTCACTTATAGCTTCAATAACTTCTTATATATACAATTTCTTTTCAATGACTTTAAATTATTTCATTTCTCTAGTTAATTCCTTAATTGAATAAATATAAAATTTACAAGTAGAGAATCTCTAACAATACCTGGTAAGATAGTTCCATCAAGTTATGGTGTAACTAATTCTCTTTCTCCTTATTTGTTTTTCCAAAAGAAAAATAGATTACAAACTCCCATTTCTTATACTAATCCATCAGGTAACATCCATAAGTTTTAATGAAATCCAATTTATTATACTTCTTTCAAAGGCATAACAGTTGGTGCATAATTTCCTGCAACTTTATATCCTCCTACACCACCTGGAGCTGAACGAATCTATTTTAATTCTTACTAATATAATTACAGTTGTTGTATTACAAAATACTCTAACAGGCTTAAGTCCAGATGGAAAATATGGACCTACAGGACATAAAACAACAAATAATTTTGCTCTACTTGATGCTCTTACTCCTAAAGCTTCTTCTGTTGCTATTATTGTTGGTCTTATATAACAACTAAATCCTGGCCTATCTGGTATCCAATCTTAATCCACTTTTAATAATCCCTATATGCATTTTTATAATTCAGCTCCATCAAAGTCTGGTAATGACAATCTCTTTGCTGATTATTTCATTCTGTACATATTACAGTCTAATCTAAATGTACGAATTGTCTTATTAGGACCTTTATATGCCTATTTATTAACTATATATTAATACTTTTGCTCCTTCAAAACATTCAATTGCATAATGCAAACATGCTGCAAATGGATGAATTGAAAAACTTTTGAAAGGAATTATCTATGGACGTGACCATCTAACATATAATAATATACATTTCATTACCCCATTTTTTCAGTCCAATCAACTTCTAACATATGATCTGTATGAAATGCTCCAAATGTCATTATTTTAGGATCACAAGGTGGTTTCGTAATATAATGCATAGTGTGAGTAGTTGTCATATCTCTAGCCTAAAAGTATTTCAATTTCACAAACTTACTTAAAATGATGGATATGGACAACTTAAGTCTAGATTTTTGTAATAAGAAAATCGATAAAATAACTAACCTATACATAATCTTATCATACCTTGTGAACTTTTGACATACTCATGGACCGTAAAATAAATATTTAAATAATTTTATATCTATATTAATCAATTACGCATCATGATAATACAAATTAACTCATTAATTACGCTATTAATATTTATGAATTTATAAATGTACTATCATTGATACTATTACACATATTATCATGAAATACTCACTTTTTAACCTTTCATTTTTTAATACTCCTCTTATAACTTTCCTCAATCCATTATTAACCAATCATTTATTCATATTTTTATCAAATTTTAATTAATTTATACTTAATGCAAAATTACATTAATTCTTCTCATCTAACACAAAAACAACTCATCAAATATATTGAATTCAAAAATACTCCATTTATTGAACTCTATGTCAAATTTACAGAAATCAATAACCTTTATGAATTCTATAAATTTATAGAAGTTAGTAAAACGCTCTCCCATCTATTTGATTGCTAATCCTCTGATCTTTATTACTAAGTTGCTCTTATTGATCACAAAATTTAGGAACATATTACTTTAGACTATCATAATCCTAAATTTTAGTACTCACTTAATGAGTCTTAAAATTACATCTAACTAAATAAATAAGAAAGCATATAAATGTTTATGCAATATCTTAAATTAAAAGATCAATTCATACCCTTTTCAATTAAATTTCAACAGTCCGAATTTGGATTGTTTATAGATTAACTTGAAATTTTAAAAACCATTTTTAAGAAGGATATCGAAGTTAAAGTTTAGAGAGAAGGTGACCATAAATTACATTAAATGAGACGCTCATATAAGGAAAAAAAGAAAACTTAAAGAGCATAAATTAATAAATAGAAAAATATTAGGAAATATTAAGATTAATTAGATACAAAAGAGAATTCTTTAAGATTAGATCATACTTCCTCATAAGATTCCACATTAATTAATTTAATTGAAAATTCTAATATAAATAGTCTGATATCCGAGAAGAATTAAATCTATAAATAATTTGGAAGTACATTCATTGGAGATTAAGAATTCCAATAATTATTCAAAAAATCTTATTTATGTTAATCTGAATATGAAATAGAGAACTAAGATAATTTAATAATATTTGATTCTACTACGGGGATTAAAATTGAAATCAAACAATCCATATCAAACGTTTCCTTCAAGTAGGCAATAGTTAATTTAGAATATCAAAAATACTTTTAAGAAATGTCAAAAGGGAAAAACATAATCAAAATATATTATATTGATTTAATTGGGAAATCTTATACCGAATTCAGTAACAACTTGGTTTTTTATACTAATTTTGAAATGGCATTAAAAGAGTTCAAAGACAGTAAAGACTCTTATTTAATATAATTTGAAACCTGTTCTGAGTTTCAATTTATACAATTAAGAAATTCGTAAATTAAATTGCAACAAAGCAATAGAGTGATACCCATAATAATTATAACTAATTAAAAATGATAATAGATTTTTTTTTGTTTTAAATTAATTAATATGTAACAGAATTGGTTAATCTTAATACAATAATCTGAAACATTAAGGTATGAGTGTTCATCAACTCAATTAATTATAACTGTAAAGGTATGTACAAGATATGTCGTTACGACGATATCAAAGTCTATAAATTAAAGGATAGTCATACAGTTACTGTAAAAAATCATAGCTCTCAAGATGGTATCTCTTTTGATAATTATTGAATAATAAATGTTTTTATGAAAATTTTGAAAGAATTATCATAATTTGCATCTAAATAAAAAAATAACTATTATGCTTAATTGTACTGTAATATTAAAAGGTTATAAATAAATCTTAATTATAATGTTACTTTGTCTTCCTTTAAAATTTAAATTAATTAAGTTGTATTTAAAATATTCAAACAATTGTATTTAATGAAATAAAAAGAATAATAAAGAAAAGAAATATTTCATTTAAATAATGATTACTAGAAATTTTAATTAATTCACAATATCTTTATTTATTTTTGTTTTAATTAATCGCAATTTGGAAATTAAGCACTTAAAAAATGGAGACATACGACCTATTACAATAAGTGTCATTCATTTCAAAAATAGTCCTTGTTGATAGAGTGAACCTTTTCCAAATAATAAAATAACTGATAATCAATAATTAATAGAATTAAATGCATTCAAAAGATGTGTTACAGATCTTAATAAATCTGGTGTTTTTAGTATAAGTTTGTCAGCCTCATAGATGTCTACACTCAAAAATATTAATGATATCTATGATTATACTCATTACTAGTCTGTTAATTATTATAATTAGCTCCTGAAACTAAACCTAACTTAATATAAGCCAATGAGCTGTAAATTAGATGCAGATTTCAATTTGAATATTATTTCAGAGTATTTTGTTCATTCTATAAAGTAATCTATATTTAAATAATTAGACTAGATTAGAAGTCGCTATTATAAATAGTTCTAATTTTTAATATATTTATTAATGATATGATAAGTTTACAAAAATCTAACCCTAATTATTTAAAAAGATTTTCAATTATGATCTTAAATAGGAAAATTAAATGCTATTAAATTTATAAAGAACAAGAAATCAATCACTTTCAGATTGAAGATTGTTTATAATATGAATATAATTAATAGGTTGTATAATAAAATCTTATATATAATAATAGAACAAAATTTTCATAATATTAATTATTTGAATCAATAAATACTAATGAAGCTAAATAATATTTTGTAATAATAATATTCTTAATAATATCAAAATCAATCAAAATATTAAAAGCATTAAAGGTAATCCTCATTTCTAAGAGATTAAGAATATATTCTTGAAATTAAGATATACAATAGCGATGTTCATAATAGTTTGACTCTTAATAAACGAGTGAATGTAAGATTGCAATAAAGCTTAAGGAGTTATCTATATCAGATTCTTAAGTATAAAGAATATAAGACATTTGACTGATTCAATTGTGGATACTAGAAATTCGTTTCATTAATGATTTAATTATAATGATAATATAAATATTTAATTATTATCAAAAATAATCAGTTGATAGTATTAACTATTAATTTCAGATTTCATTTGGAAGACCATGTAATCTTTCCAAATAATCCATTACTGGAGTACTCAAGATTGCCTGTACAATAAATTGAGACAATCTCAATTACCAACCAGCGTAGTAGCCTATCAAACCTTTGTCTTTATAAACTTTAACAAAAGCTTGAAGGATTGTTAATTATTTATAATTTCCATTTTATTCCATTTAATAAGCCGTCTTAACAGCATCAAATGGTTAAACCAAAAGTATGTTTGGAATTGCAGTCAATAAACTACACATTCCAATTTAAGGTAAAGTAAGTGCATGATTTGGACTCTCTTTAAAGAAGTATCTTATTTTATGATCCCAATAAAGATAATTTGTCCATGAAATTACTTACTTCAAAACCATAGCTTTCATACCTGTGTATAAATTCTTTACAAAATGAGACAATGTCTTCTCATTTATCCATAATTATTTTAAAACTAATAATATTATTTATTATTTACTTGATTTTGATTAATGTTGAGTCATCAATTAACATTTAATTCTTTCTAAAGGACAAGTCACAAATGATTCAAATAAAGCTATTGTTGCACCTGCCAATCCTTTGTGTAATGCTGGATGATTCTCAATCCAAGTATTTGGTAAAAGTTCTTTGTAGTATTTTGGTATTAATATCATCATAGGCCATCTATGATATTTATTTTTCAAATTTACCTATAGTATTGTTTGAACAACTGTATACTGATTTAAGATGAGAAACCAGCAAAAACTCCTTTAAGAACTCCGTTTCTTCGATAAGTATCTTTGAACAACTATTTTATCGATTATTCAGTGTTCTCAGCTTGAAGTAGAGTCTTAAATCTATCAAATACATGATCGATTGGTAATCCCAGAATTACTCTAGATATACCAATAAGCTGAGTTTCTAAAATTGGTTTTAAATATTTCTAAGTGCGAACTTTGTATATAGATTCAGACATCTTTATTATATAATAATTAATTAATAACACGATTAAATTCTGGCTTTATAATTTAAAAAATTATCATTTTAATACGCACTATTTCCATTTCTTCATCTCTCTTTTTCATTAATTCATAATCTAATGATGCAATATTGATTATCATTCACACTTTTAATTAGATTTTAAATCATTTTATAATATTTCCCATCCATCGTGTTTTCAATATCATCCTTTTGTAATTCAACATTACATCATTATAAACCAATTTTATTTCATTTTCTCTCATTAAAACCAAAAAATCCGTCATACTTTTACCAATTCAAATAAGAACTACATAGCATATAAATTATAATAATATTTGCTGTATCTTTACTTTTATATATATTTTATGTTTATAAAATAATATTGCTAATTCTAAAAAAGCTCATCTGATTCATACAAATACTTCTTAAATCATCTCAAAACATAAGAACAATAAAAGAAATAGAAAAATTTTAATATAATAAAATAATTTTGTTTAACTATTCACTGTCTTGGTTCTTTGTTCAATATTTATGTTCATGGGAACCTATAAGCAAATTTTAATTGGATCTATATTACTCATCAAGTAAATTAGTCATAACTAAAGGTTTGAAGATTTATTATTATAAAAATAAACTATAATCAATATTTTTATATTACACTTAATGAACAATATATATTATATTTTTTTAATTTATAAATATTTTTTATAATAATAAAGTTCTTGATAGGAGAGTATTTCTCTATTGATAATTTAGTCTCCAAAAAAAACTATATAGTCTTCGAACAATTTTGCATCAAAGAAAGTCAAATCTCTTGTAAATAATTCATTTGTGTCTAAATAATAAAATTATTATTATAAATCAATCAAAATTTTAATTTATTTATTTTTTATATACTCATCTCTAAATTTGTAGTCTCTATTTTATTAATCTTAAACTAATTCTTATAACTTAAAACAATATCAAAATTAAAATTTCTTGATTTTCATATAAATTTATTAATTTTAGTCTAGATGGTATTTATGTTGTTTAAATAATTTTTATGTTTTAATAATATGAAATATCCTTTTAACTATAAATAATTAATATTTTGTTTATGATGTAAAGAAATGAAATGTTATTCCAAGATGTGTGAAAATACTAAAAGTAAAATAAATGTCTAACTTTGTATTTTTATGTTAATTAAACTATAATATTGCATTTTTATTTATAAAATACTATAATGCGAATTTTTATTACAGTCAGAATCATATAAAAATATTTATTATCATTGAAATGATAAATAATGTAAAATAATGTAAAATAATGTAAAATAATGGAGATAATGAAAAAAGTAGAATTAGAATTAGGAAATGAAGAGTAAGAATAATTTCATAAAGATCCTTTTCTTTGGGAATCAGATGAAATATCTTAATTTTTGGTTCATAAAAAAGAGAGAAAAGCTCATAAAAATACACATTCATTTATTCAAATAATGAATAGAAGTAAATTATCAAAATTTAAGAGCATATATGCTTATTATTGATAAATAGAAAATTAATAATTATTAATGGCAACTGGATGAAAATAATTAAAAATGTAGATAAAGAAAATTTGAATTATGATAATTATAGATGAATTAACATATATGATTTTATTTTTAGAAAAATGATGAATTATTATACAAAAATATATGATATATATTAGGGATATCAAAAGGAATCTATAAATTATTTAATAATAGATTTAAGAGGTTGCAATTAATTATTGTTAAAGAGTTATCAATTATCAAGATGCGAGTTTAATAGAAAAAAAGAAATCATAAGAAAAGATAAAGGTTTAACATGAAATAAAGTTTAAGCAAAGAAATGCAGTAATGTTAGGAAGCATCAGGAAAATAAGTAAAATTGGTTTAATTATATTAAATGTTTATTGATAAATAATAATTATTGATATTGTATTTTCATTTCCATGTTTACATCTAGACTATCTCTTCAGCAACAGATGGATGAATTCCTACAACATTATCAAGATCACTTTTCTTTGCTTTTAATTTGATAACAACACCAAATCCTTAAGTAACTTCAGCAGCATCTGGTCCTAGATAATGGAATCCTATCACTACATCATCTTCTTTTTTCACAATCAATTTAGCATAACATGTACCCTTTCTATTAGCAAAGTTCCAAAACAAAGGAGTAAATTCAGATGTAAAAATCTTTAGATTTTCTCTTCCAAATTTCTTAACAGCTGCATCTTCAGAATATCCAACACATCCATATTCTAAAGGTGTAAAGACAGTTGTTGAAACATCTGAATATTCCATTATTTAATTTCCATTACAATACAATCTTTTTATTAATCGTTTACCACACATAATTGCAGTTGGTGTTAATTCTAATCTTCCTTATACACAATCTCCAATTGCAAAAATGTTTTAAACTGATGTTAAATCTGCTTCATTTGCTATAATCTTTCCAGATTCTTTATTTGTTTATACACCAACCTATTCTAATCCTAAATTTTAAGTATCTGCACTTCTTCCTATAGCTAATAATACTGTATCATAGACATCACTTTATTCTTAACCATTTAATGTCCATTTTACTAATCTTTTACCATCTACATCTTCTATTGAATTAGGAATTGTTCCTCTTATAAATTTTGTACCTTAGATTTTCATAAATTCACCAATCCTCTCAGCCATTTCTTAATCAAATCCTCTTAAAAGAATACTTCTAACCATTACAGTAACATCATAACCTAAACCAGTTAGAAATCCAGCACATTCTAATGCTACATATGATGCTCCAACTACTAATGTTTTACCTGGTGCTTTCTCTAAAAGATATTATTTTAAAAATATTACTTTAAGAAAATAAATCATCTGAAGTAATCGTTAATTATTTAACATTTGGAATGTCAGTTGGAAATGATGGTCTAGATCCAACTGCAATAACTA